CTCGAAATATGAATAGAATGCACCAAATCGATTCTATTTTTCAATATTTTCTTAGGAGAGAACCCTCACAGACGCTTCATAGTCCGATGCTTTCGACGATGGCGCTTCATCTCATGCAGTAAGAAAAAGACTAATATAAATATCAAATTTCTTATAGCTTGGTGTATAATATATGCGTTATCCCCTTATGATAATTTTATAATTTGAATTTCAGGTCATCATACTGAAACTGTGAAATATTTGATTCTAGCAGGCGCCAAATTAGATTGTGAAACATCGTCAGGTGTTCGTCCTATCAACTTTACACGTGTCAAGTCAGAAACTTGGCAGGTACTTCTAGCTGCTAGTCATGGTGAAATACCAGAAATTGAAGAAATCAACGAAGTTCCAGACGTACCAGATTTTGCTATCGAAGGTGGTGCTGCTAAATCGAAAACTAAAAGCGGCAAAAAGAAAAAGGGAAAGAAAGGAAAGAAGGGTGGCAAAAAAGGAAAGAAAAAGGGGAAAAAGAAATAATTGTTCACTTTTTTGTGTTAAAAATCTATTTAAAACTTTGTAAAAACTAAATAAATATTACCGTCTTCAAGTTTTTTGTTTGTTTTATTTTATTGCAAGACACCACGACCTTCGATGACATGACATTGCCCTTGGTAACAACAAATATAACTTGGTACATTGTATACTATAGTACAATCTAAGAGCAAATAATCTATCTTGTTGCAATTATACTCTACATTCTGCTAGCAACTAAATTGGGTAAGGTGCCCCGGTCCCTCCTACTGCGTACACTATGATCTCACTACGCTCTGTAACTTTGTGCAGCTATGTCTGAGTGCTATAGTTAAAGATGGAATTTTTGTTTGCCCTCCCCTCCCCCACATTGTCCACAGATAGCAGAATTACTCCCAGGTCACTGTTATGTGTTTGCACAGTCAAGAGAATGGCTTTATTTGACTGTGTTGTGGTACCGGGTATTGGTGTTAGGGGCTATAATGAACCGAAAAATGGATCTAAGCAACTCCCATAAAATGTGACTTTAGCACTAATCTTGACAATATCACATCCACTGGTTGACGTGTAATACATAAATGTTCCTATCTTCTTTTTCTTCACATTCATTCACAAATGATTAAGTTTTTGATAATTTTGTGCCTAAGTCATCCTTTTGATGACATCTTCAAGTTGTTGAATTTCTGAATTTTTATCGTCCAGGGGTTGCAGAGCCAGAGTTATTGACCTGAACGGCATCATGAAAATACAGTTTTTATTGGGTCCCAAACTGGCAAATCTCGCCACATATGCAATATTGTTTTTGATGGAAACATGATGGAAAGTGTCTCGTATTATAAGCCTTAATACCGCTCGATTAAATGTGTACTTGTCTTTTGTAAATTCCTTTATTAGCTGTTTGTTAATAAACCATATCATTGAAAACTTCAATCATATTATGTACCGGTAAAGAAGATAATATGATTGACTGCCTGTTCAATATAATTTTCGTCATAAGACTTAAAAATACTCAATCACTAAGGTCGATTTGTCGACGGCCTGTAAAGACGTTGGTCGAAATGTCATTGAAGGGGAGGTAACTCGAAGTTTGTTTTGATTGGAACTCTTCAATGGTTGTCATAACATTTTTCTGTCAACTGAACAGGTGCTCGACATGGATTGATGGTTGGCGTTTTAGAAATTTAGCAATATATTAATATCTGGGTGAGTATTTGATTGGTTGTATATCAGACACTGAAGCTCTAACTGATTAAACTATTTCTCAATACCAAACCCTTGGCAGTATTAGATCTGACTCTTTTGTTATCATGTCAAATCTATCTTCATAATATGTCACAAAAAATTAACCTTGAACTTCATAAATAATGTATCTTTATTGAGTAATCAGTCTGCTCTATTGACAGTATTCTAGTTTTAACACTGATATATTTGAACCTGTTATTTATCCCTTCATTCTTTACATAGGTTGAAAGAATCCAAAATGAAGCCTGATCAAGATTATACAGAGTTGGCCTCCCAGATTACAGAATATTCTAAAAGTGCCAGTAAATTATTGGAAGATCACAAGTTTGAAGAAGCTAAGAGTGATTTTGAAGAAGCCTATAGAATTTCTAAGCTTATTAGAGATCCCTTTACAATAAGAAAATGCGCTTTCAATCTTGGTGCAGTTTATATCAGATTATGTCAAGCAAGGAAAGGAATAGAGTATTTAGAACTGGCTATTCCACCTGACAGCGTAGAAGATATATTTACCAACAAGGGAGATTTATATTTTAATATTGGACTTGGTTATGAAATGTTAAAAGATTATCAAAATGCTGATTCATGTTTTAAAAAAGCTTTTAAAGATTACAGACATTTTCAAGAAAACATTAATGGTAAAATGATTGAGGAAACTTTAGAGAAGCTTGCCAAAACTTCACGATTTATAAAGAATTATGTAGAATCTGCCGACTGGAGTTCTGAATTATGCCAGATTTATTTTCAAAAAGGCCAAGAAGAAAAGAGAATAGTTACTGTTGGGGAACAGATAGTACAGTTACGAAAAGCCAACGAAAAAGAAAAGTGCCTAATTTTGTGTGATCAGATTGTTTGTAAGATAGCTGAGATTATTATTTCACCTCTAACAGGTATATATAGGCTAGAGAGTTTTCCGTTAAAATTGTTGCAAGTTGCCAAGATGTCCATTCAGTATTGGATTGCAACAAATGTATGTTACATGCAATAGAGTAGTACTAAAGAAATATTTACACAGTTTTGTTTTTCTGCTTTTCTGCACACCATACATATATCCAAATGCACAGAGTGAATTCCACAAATCTGTGGCCCTTGTCTCCAATCCAAATGAATTGCATACCCATTATTTTAAAGATACAGCAACATCAGTGTGTTTTGTTAATACGAGGTATGTCTTCTATATTTGCAGCCAACATGTTAAATGATGTAGGGTTAGTGTTATCACAATATGAAAGGTTAAATGAAGCTGAGAAATGTTATAAAAAAGCCTTATCAATGGTATCTGCCTTATCATCTACTGAAAAACTTACAGCTATCATACTACAGAACCTTGGTGCATTATATAACATCACCGGACAATACCATAACTCTATAGATTATCATATACAAGCTGCTGCCAAATTCGGTAAGTTGTCAATATAGAGAATTAATTGATTGAAGAGTAAGCTTACTCAATATTTTTGATCAGAAAATCAAGTATAATGCCTTTTATTTTCATCAAATCTTTATCTGTATTCAAATATACTGCTTATAATTGATTTAGCCTAATCTCCAGCTATATAAATGTTCACTATTTTTAGCTAAAAGCATGCATCACAACGAAAACAACTTTATGCAATTCATCTATTGTTTTTTTTTTTCAGGTGAATTAAAGAATGGTATCAACGAAGGCCATTGTTATGCTAATATGGGTTATGCCTATAATCAAGTTGGGGACTTAGATAAAGCCAAAGAATATTTTCTACTTGCTTTAAGAAAAGCTAAAGATAATGGTATGTATAAAGGGTACTTTTGTGTCTTGAAATTATTATGAAATTTTGGTAAAAAAGTGATGTTTTTTTTTATAGCAAAGAAACAGTATTATAAAAGAAGCAATACTAAACTCTTATCTTAAAACCGTGATATAAATTTAATGAGCTAGATATATCACTACAACTACTAAAGATATAGAACTTGTTTCCACTAATAGGATTATTTGTCTATTTTAGGTGACCCTCATGCTGAATGGCAGGTACTTGAGAGTCTTGGTTCCATTTGCTGTAACCTTGGTAACCATGATGTTGCCATAAAATATTACACAGATGCCTTTAAAGCTATTACCAAAGATTCCACTTCACAAACATCTCTGGCAGAAGACAGAATTCAGGCCAAATTGTTTACATTGATGAAACATCAATCAGAGAAACAGGAATCTACCTTGCAGCAACAGGTTAATGCTCAACATATGCAGGAACAAGAGATCATGATGTTAAAACAGCAACTGCAACAACAAGCTGTTATTAATTCTAAACTACAACAACAACATCAATATGATAACAATCAAATGTTTTCACGGCAACCAGTACATATAAATTCTCAAGTAAATATTAGGCAACCCCATGTTGAACACACAGTTACTGAGGTTAAAACAACCAAGGAAGTGGTGGTAAATATATTTTCATCATTATGATATTTGAATTTTAAATATTCATTCATATTGCTTTTTGAATTTAAGTAGTGTGCATATTTGGACAGATTTGCATATATTACATTGCCTGACAGATATTTTAATGTTTTCTTTTTGTTAGGGTGAACCAGACCATGATTCAAGTCTATCAACTGTTCAGTCTGCACCTGAACTATTACATAGTAAAATTGAACATACCAGGAAGGAACTAATTAAAAGGTAACTAAATTATTACAAAAGAACATTTTCGAAAATCTGCTACAGGTAGCTTAAATTGAGCTCAATCAAGACAAAAATAATAACAAATATTTTAATGACTATTTCTCTTTAATCATTGATTGAAATGGCTTTTCTTGGTTCTCATTTCAAATATGCAAACAAACTCTCAGTTTTGATTTAAGAGTTTTTTAGAAACAGTAGGCCTATCTTGAAAATCCTTAATGTAAGGAGTGAATGATTTTGCTTTACATTTTTTATGCAGTCTCTAAAAATGATCTTGGTTTCTTTGTTAGGAGATTGAAAGTAAGAAGATCAGGATCACAGAGAGAATTTGATAAAGTTGCTAGAGGAGTTTATGTTAGTATGGGTGCTGATGTTTTAGACTCTTTAATCAAAGAAGAGAAAGAAAGTGTCCATAGCAGTGATTTCCAGTTTACAGATCCTGGTAGTGCTTCAGATACCACTATATCCAGTTTATCTTCAAATTCATTAGATGATCCTAAATCACCACAGAAAAAAAAGAAAAGGTAATTGGAAATGAAACTAATTGATGCATTACAATTTACAGGTAGTATGATACTATAATTACAAATTGATATGAATAAATTGAAATGGTGTTCCATAATTAATTGTTGTCAATTTGTCATTAGTTAGTTCTCATTGCTTTCAATGTCGATTTGTATATTTTATAGTGAGAATTAAGAAAAAATCTTAGAAATTTAAATACTTAATCTCTTACAACCATCTACATGAAAAAATCCTGGTATAGATCAACATAGTGCATGTAGATTTTTTTTTATGCAATTTAAACCTGTCAGAAAGGCAAGTTGAAGAGTCAGACAAAATAGTTGTTCAGGTAGGGAGAATAAACACTTCCTACATGTGCTTTGATATGCAGATTAAAGACTCTCAGTAATGGAATGCCAAGGGGCCAACTCGACACAATTTCTCTGATTGATCATTGAATGAAGTATTTGAATTTATTCAGTATATTTAAAATGATAAAAGATAAAGCAGAACAAAAATTAAAATTATTAGAAAGAAAGAAGGAAGACAGAGTTGAAGAAGAACCTATGAGGTAGGATATTTCTGGATAAACATGAATTGCAATTACTACTATTATAGAAGATAAATACATTGAAAAAGGAGAATTGTGTGCTCAATGAGTTGAAATGATTTGAATAACAATATAAAGTATAATGTATAATGTATTGTTATATGATAAAAGTTACATTGAATACAAGTACAAGTATTATCAAGTAATTCCAACATTGCAAGAAACAAGAAAGAGTTAATTTGAAAATTGGTACTGAAAGAGATAAGAATGAAGCAAACCTCTTGGTATTGATCTCTCCAGAATTATCTGTGCCCATTGACATATGAGTTGACTGGAATAATGTGGAAGTCACAAGACTTTCAAACAGCGACTCAGATTAGAACCCACGACCACCATTTGTTGAATCTAACCAAGTAAATGATGTCATGTTGTTTGCAATGCTCTAAAAAACTGTCTGCCGAACTGGATTGATATTCCATTCCAATGTTTATTGTAGACGTAATATACGTTTGGCTCGCAGACAGAGTGAAGAAAAAGGAAGATTATTGAATCATTCTATGTTAGTTATGGATGATGAAAGGGAACAAGTAAAACAGGCCATGAGAGCACATTTACAAGAAGATGATGGTGAGAATTTAAACACACTACAAAGTTCTTTTCAGTTTTAATATGATTAAAATATTGATGCAGAAAATTTAACTTAAAACAGTTTTTGTATTGTAAAAACATAGTTTTCAAGGAAGAAAAACTCATAGTTAAGTTTCTTAATCTAAATTTCCTAATGTTATGATGTAAAATAACTAGATACAAATATTTCTATTCTTAGAAGAAAATTCACAACAAGAAAAGGTTAAAAAGAAAAAATATACAAAGGTTAGTAAGAATTGAATTGATTTCCCATTCATGTTCATTTATCACTGAAATGAGGCTATTGATAAAACTTTGTAAATCAGACTGATTTTTACATTGTTCGATCATGATTTTTTGCTATTTAGTAGAATTAGTAGGCTTAAAAACTCTGGATGTTGAAAACTTTGACTTTGACACAATATCAAGCCAAGTTAAGGTATCATACAGGAGTGGCAGCATTTACAGATTCAAATTTAATGTTTGTATCATTGTCGTTGTTGTTTCAGAAATCATCACCAACTCAACCACTATCATCATCTTCCTCATCTACTTCCATATCAAGTTCTGGTTCCTCTACAACATCATCATCATCATCAGAAGAAACAACTTCAGATTCTGAGACTGAAGAAATCGAACCACAATCCAAAAAGTAAGCTATAAAAAAAAGTTTGTTTTTTGAAGAGACTTAATGCACAATACAAGATAGATCAATAGGTGTCAAAATAGGAAAGGACACAACTTTTGTTATGGTATGACATGTTTCAACATTCCAGAAATTTGTTTTTATTGGGAATGGAAACGATGCTCTACTGTATTTCGACTTCAAATTGAAATGGATTCATATCAAACATGTATTAGTGTAAATATTTACAAATTGGTAGTGTTCAATTTTCATCCAATATCCTGTTTTTATGTAATTAAGCTGTCATATATGCACTCGACAAGCTTTTATTGTGTTTTTTATCCATAAGATAAAATAAACAGAATAGTTAATATAAACTTAAATTAAATTCCATTGTTTTGATCTTCCACTATTTCCAGAAGTGGTCCTCCAAATTTACCAGTAAATTCCCCTCCACAAACACTGGTAAATACTTACGAGGAAATACCTGCAGACAATCCACATTATACTGAGATTGAGCTTGACACATCCAAAGCAAAACCAGGTAGGAAGAAGGTGAAAATTGAAGAGCCTTTATATTCAGAGATAAATTTTGATGCCAAAAGAAGTTCCATCGATCACGGACCAAATTATTTTTATGATGATAATCTTCAGAAAGCCATATGTGGTGAACAAGGTAGCATGATTCTAATTAGCATGTCTAACATTGGCTTGTTTTAACCCATAGAGTTTGGTTGTGGGTAGAAATCATGTTTCATTATTAATTTGTCAGAAATCATATTTCATTTTTTTGTTGTTGTTTAGCAAACCTTTAGATGAGTTTTAATGTTGAATATTATTGATGTGTTTTATTCTGTTTTATCCCGTTCACCTTGTTATATACTGAACATACACTGTAATTAAAAATACTTCACATGTCACTTAAGCAATAGTTAAACCAGAAGTTCTGAAATCATGAATAGAAGACATTTCATCATCATTAAGTTTGTTTGGCTTGGCTAGTACTATATATATTTCTTACATTTTGAAAATCATATGCATTAACAAGAGCACCTTGTAACTGCTTGTATGATATTAAAAACACCCTTAGTTTTTGTTTATGATTGCAACAATTGCTATAAATCAAGATTAATATCATTTGAAGTGAACTAATGTCAAACAGTTTTAGAAGTTTTATACTGAAATGCTTATTCAAGCCTGTGAAAATGTGGTCCACAAGAAGATAAACATTCTTTAAAAATTCTCCATGTCTCCATGTCTCCATGAATTAATGTTACCGAAAAGCAAATTTGAAACACAAATTGGACAAGTCTTATTTTGGATAGCTTAAACTGATACTGAACAGATAAAAATATAAAATAGATTTGACTAAAAATCTAATTTCATTTTCTAACGTACATTTTTTACACCATTTTGAATATTGATGCATGCAGCTGTTACAATTTTGATAATTAATGTAGAATATCATAATTAAGCTCAAATTGTAACTTTTGTTACTTTATGAATGTGCTGTAAACTGATAAAACATTGATTGAGTATATTATGTAACTGTAACTTGAATTTGTTAGTGTATTAATATATCAATCTATTTACTAGGATTAAATTCAACCAGTTTAAGTGAAACAGTTTATGAAACTATTCAACAATCTGATTCTATTGACAAGTTACCAACAGTCAATAGGTAAGTTATAATTCATGTAACAACTGATATCACTGTGAGACTGTGAGCACAATTTCCGTTTTCTATGGCACTTTTTGAATTAAAATATTGAATGTCCAGTTCTCCTCCAAGTCAACAAAATATAGATTGTTGTTACTTCCATTGTGTTCACTTATTACCATTATAGGACATCAAAAGTAATCTACTTCATGCGAGAATGATAATAAAACCCTTTTAAACTTGCATCGTACACTTAGAGGAACCTGTTGTCAGATTTCATTTCTGATGATTGCTACGGATAGCTGAAATTGAGCAGATGGCTGATATTCATTATTATTGAGAGATATGAATTACCTTATCAACTGTTCCCAAGATATATATGATGAAGGTTGGCCTATTTAGGAGCGTAAATCAGCTAAACCTTTAGTTGGCATCTTTTCTTGTACATGATTATAATGTTATTTTTGTTGTTGAATATTTCAGTCCAACTCGATCAGATTTGTCTCAGATGTCAAGAGCAGAACGGTAAGATTATAGATTAACTATCTTCTCTCATATTTTATAAACATAACATACAAGTTCATTCAAACAAGCCCTCTGTATTATTCCAAAATTCAAAGCTAAGGTCATGAAAAGAATTCGCTTGTATAATGATACATCTAATATTATTTTGTTTCCAAAGAAATTCTATTGATATAGATGAAGATGAAGAAGAAGAATACAGGTAGTTTGCATATTGCATGCTTTTAAGAGATTGAATAGCACAGCATTAGAATCTCCACATGATATCATTTGCTTGGTTGGTTATGGGAAACAAATAGTGATTGAGGATTCTAATCTCATTCTTATTTCCTACCATGTCATAAGTCAAACTAAAAATTTTTTGTTTTTTTTACATCTAAAAAAATGTCCACACATCATAAAACACAGAGTAACAATGTTTCAGGTTCTCTTCCATTCCATTCTGAGTTTTAACTAACATGTTAGTGCATGATGAGAAAAGCGCAATGCATGTTCGAAACATCACTATTTTATAGCTATCATTATCCAATTGCATGAGAAATTAGTAGTTTTATGCACTTAACCAGCATGAATTGAGTATTTTAAGACTTGTAAATCAAGTAGGGAAGAGTCACTAATACTAAGACATAACTTATCAAGAAAATAATTTTAAATTTTTCCAAATATTTCGAAGAATAAGTTGAACAGTTGAATATTGGCTTGAAAAATTGTTTTAGTGATTTGAAAATTAGAAACTGAAAATTGTTACTACATTTCTCTCTGTATTTTCAGTGAGAGATTTTTATATGAACAACATTTAAAATCACAGCAATCTGTTGAACTACCTGAAGAGAAGGAAGAGAAATCTAAAGTTTGTGCTATCATGTAAATTTTCATGTCTAACGATTCAAGGAATGACTATCAAAATGTTTTGAAAAGATTTATTTTACTTTCTGTGTGATAAAACTGAACATAATTTAATATAATAATAAATATGCATGTACATTTCAAATACTTCTATGTAAAACTTTATTGCTTTTGGACTAATGCATTGATATTCTATTCTACTAGTATTCTATTTTAAAGGTTTATTTTATTAAAGGAATAGTCAGCTTTATGATGAATCCAAGTTTTATGATAAAAAACCCTTTATGAAATCACATAGTTTCAGTTGTGTACCCACAGGAATTAAACATAGTGACTTTTGTTGTCATTTTCAACAACCAATACAATCTGTAGAAAGCCTTTATTTAATCATCAGTGATCACAAACTCCTCAAACCTAACTATTCCTTTAAGTATATGAAGAATATTTATTCCTATTGATAGATTAATTGATATACATTCCATGAATATATATGTTTAATTGTTTTATTGGTGATAAATCTGTGATATTAATATTTACTGTGATATAATTAGTTATTCTGCCTATTGTGATAATTATTCTGTCATTGTAAAATGAATTTAAAACAAATTATTTAGTATATTATTTGATGCATTTATGTATTGATTATTTTATGAGTATTTGAGTAAGATCAAAGTAGGGGTTATTGTAGTTTTTATCAACATTTATGACATTAAATTAACACTATCTTTGAAAAATAAATGTCCTCAATTTGAATTTGGATAAATGAATTAAATTATTTAAGTAGATCTCAATAAGCTTATAAGCCACTTTTTAAGTTATAAATATAAATATTATAAAGGCTATAGAAGTAGTAGTTGTTTGTACTTTATTTTATGCTTTTTGTAGATTTTTTTTTATGATTTTTAAATCCATAGTCCTGAAGTTCAACAATCTATCATTGTGAGAATGTAAAAATGTGTTTAAATAACACTATAGCTGAATACACTTTTCATTTTCTTATGATTTAATCATCTCAAATTGCTATAAGCTGCCTCATAACTTTAAAGAGGGAGTGTGCACCAGCTTCAAGAGATGAATTGCTAATAATTCATTCCATTTCCATATGAGGGTGTAATGAAGTAGTATTCACATACCTCTCACTTTTAATATTTTAAACCACAGTTCATATCACATAAATATCTATCTTTATATCCTTATTTTTTTTTTGTTAGTATTATTTATTGTTAATGAATAAACATATGATTCATAAACTGATATTCCAGCTTACCTCTGTTGTTTTACTAATAGCAAAAAGTGTAAATGCAAATTACTTTACTGTGGTCCATATTGAGGGTGTTTAATAAAGGTGGTCACTTGAGCAGGATTCACTGTATTAAATTTAGCAGGAGATCGAATTCGAAAAGGATTTCGGTGGTGATATAAAAACTTGTCTTTCTATTAATAATTTATTGCACATTATAGGAAAATTCTCCAACACAGAATGCAAATAGACATGAATAATAATAATAATAATAATGGTAACAGCTAAATTCTTCTTTCTTAAAGATACAGTAAAAACAATCTGTACAGAAGTAACAAAAACATAATTTAACATTCCATTCGGTTCTTTAAAAGATAATTCTATTTCGATAATTGGCAAGGCTTATCACCTGTTTTCCAAATGTCTTTGCACTTAAAGCTGAGTCTTGAAAAATATGCAGAAGTACTGTGATCTTAAAGTGATTGTAAAAAGGTTTTTTATTAAAAGTTTAATGTTTATTGGAGAAGCTAATAGCATTGATTTGCATAATTCCAATTTTCAGTCACACATCTGTAGTTATTCCATTCTTTTAGAATATTCTATGAGGCCCCTTCAAAATCTTTAGCAGCTTTGTCGATATCGACATCATAAAATCCTTAGTCTTAGTCTCTGAAACACTTAAAAATATATAAGGAAATCTTTTTACAATCCCTTTAAAAGTATGAATACTATTGAAAAATAAAACTAAATGCTGATAGAACTGCAGTCTACTTATTCAGATACAAAACAACTCTGCTTTAAGAGGATAGGAATCTGAACTAGTGTTTTTATAACAAGTGCTAAATTATTTTCACATTAAGATAAAGGAAACTGAATACATCTAACATTAAAACTGAAACCTTTTACAAGGTATTTAACATGTTGCTACACATTAATGTAATATTATTATTTAATTTAAGAACAGTATAACATTCATATTATGAAATATACGATGATCACTCCATTTATACTGTTTTCCTCAAAAACATGAACAAGAACTAAAAAGGTCATGTGTGTGAAGATGGCTACTATATTTATATCTAAACAATTCCCTTCCAATATTCTGTACCAAATTGTTCTTAATATGAAAATTGTGAAATATGGTATTGCACCAATATAAAGAAGAATTAACAAGAAAGACATCAAATAAAAAAAACAAATTCTGAACAAAAAAGTCAAGTCTTAACAAAATAAACCTATTTACAGAGTAAAACAAATAAAATTATAGATAGTTTGTTTTCCTTTTGAGACAATAACCCTGTACATTTAATATAGAAAGTCGATTAATTTAAAATTTAACATTGACCAAACATATAATTTAAATTCTTCTCTTACAATATGAGATTTCAACCCCCTGCTGTTTGTGTTATTTAGTTAGAAATAAGTTAGTTATATTATTTGATCATTTTGCATCAAATCAGTATGGTATTCCTGGATGAATTTATCAGGTATTTAAACAGTGGTATATAAAGATGAGCCACTGAAATTAAATACAATAAATCAAAAAAAATATAATTATTCTGAATTATATGCAATGGAGCAACAATGTTTATGCACATATAGATATGATAATAATCAGAAACATGAATGGTCACTTTTGCTGTATGAGTAGTAAAAGCATGGATGCTATTTATACATTAGACTGCCTTTGATGTTCATCTGCGATTTCCACAGCTTAATTCATAAACATGCTTAGTAAAATCCAATGTTTACAGATAATTTGATTTCACAGTAAGGTTTGGATAAAACTAAAATATTATAAACAAATAAATAACAAAAGGATAACATAAACAGCCTTAAAAAATTAAACAACAATAATAAAAAACATTTGATTACTAAGATTTAAAATTATGTTATTATTCCAGATTTCAAGATGAACCAAAAGTAAGAAATATGAAATACTATAAACTCAGGTTTGCTCAAATCATTTGTTCTATACTGGTAATTATAATTTGTAAAGAATTCTATTTCCTACTTGTTAACTTCCTCTTTCAATTTGTCAGAGAGGTAACGAAAAAAAAAAAAATACAAGATAGAAAAAACCTTTTTGGTTTTGGTAAAAATACAATAAATAATGGGACCATTGAGATTTCTATATATTTGATTATGCTAATTTCTAATTTTCCTTATAAAACATTGAACATTTTGTACAACACAAACAAAGAACATGAAATGTGTTCTGCAGCACAACTAAAACAAGAGTCAATATTTATGACTTCTCAAATACTTGGGTACTTGACACTTTTAAGCCCTTCTGAATTAGCAGATAACATCAAACTTTACGAATGCCAGAAACAGGACTTGATCGGACCAAGTCCAGCAAATATGGCCAAATCAACAACCCTGTTTGGTCAGCAAAAAGATGAACCACATTTGGTTTATCACCACAATGTTGTAATCATCTTCCATTCCTAAAAGTTTGATATTCAGCAGAACTTCATCCAAAAATTGGGGTTGGTGAGTGAAGTTTAAAGTGAACCCTTATATTTAACAATCATAAATATACCCTGTTATATGTTCTATGCTACACATAATATAACTTTTTCTCTCTCGCACTATATATATATATATATATGTATATAACTATTGTACATAGAACTTGCATAATGATATTTTCTGAATAATTCACCTTTTAATGAACATTTCAGAGCATTATTTGAGTTTTCCAATTTACATTTTTATCTTATGCCAAATTCAAGCAATGAATTGCTATTTCGCAAATTCTATCTCAACCAGATTCATTTAATCAGAAAAACTAGGATGGCAATAACTGGTATATCTAGCTAGACATAAAGTTGTTCAATATATTAGGAATATCTGATTTTATATGTGGTATTAACATATGAATATACATTATACTTCTATAGAGACAGGTTCAACATCTGTTTGACCAATCGTACCTTAGTCTCGGAAAAAGCTCACAGCTTACGTTTATATTTGAGAAATTAATCCAGGTGGGTACATAATTATCTGCTTTTGAATGTTAAATGAAGATTCGTCATTTCTTGAGACTCTGTCATATATAGAAACGACACATATTGAAATAGAAAGTGAAGTTCCTAATTTGAGTGAAGGAATTATGCGATTTTTGTACATTTTTAGTACTTTTGAATTGTAGAATCTGAAAGCTATTTACATATATTAAACACCCAAATCAACCCCCCAAAATGACAAATCTGTCCCTTTAATAACAGGAAATCTGAAATAATGCTCTGAATACTATGAAATATTAAAATAAATAAAAATATATACACCGTAATAATAATTATAATCTTAGACAGAATATAGATGAACCTAATTAGCACTTCCTTGTTAATAAATAGATTAACGAGCTAGAAATATTTAAATTAATTGAAGATAAAAGCCAAAATTAAATCAGCCTGGAAATGTCCTTGTATTTATTAGTTAAACATGGAAAATGCAAATTACTAATATAATGAACCCTGAAAATGATATATGATTATAATAATAATTCAAATACTAAATTTAAAATAAATCAGGGAATAATGAAGTCAATTTCATCTAATATAACGAATATTGGTTATACAGTCTAGAAGAAATAACCAATAATATAACCCTGTATAGAGATAGACTAGAAATTAGAGACATCCAACCCTGACCTAACAAATCAACATCCACCTCGCTAGTTTTTAAAGGTTGTTTCTAATTGGTCAATAATTGAGATCGTTGTCTAAATGGCCTTGACATTTGAAAATGCTGGATGGTCCAGTCAAGACATCTGTACATAATAAAATTACACATCATGCCCATACCTAGAAAAAGAGAAAACCAAGCTTCAGGATTTTATGTAAAAAATAATTATACATATCAATTGAATTGACTTGCTGGTTTATATATTTTCATTTACTTGAAAACTACTCTAAAAAATGATGATAAGCAGAATTAATTCAACTTTAAGCACCTAGCTTGACTGGTATTTATCATTTCATTCTAAACAAACTAACAAATATTGTTAACCATTTTTGTATTTCTACTAGTTGATTTTTTAACGTGTTGGGAATTCCATTAAAAAGATGTTGCTATATATGAATAATTTTTATTTACTTACCCTTAAAGTATAGTCCCAACTACCAGTACATAGAGCTGTACCATCAGGTGATACCCCTAAACAACTGACTCTATTCTCATGTCCATATAATATAGATAATCTAGTTCCTTTTAATACGTCCCATAAATTAATAGTATAATCATTATAACCTCCAAATAATAAACGCCCTGTAAAAACAAAGAAATGATGAATAGCAAATCTGTACCATATTGAGTTATGGAAAAGAAAAATAATAAGAGAAATGTTTTAAAAATGTTGTCATATATATATACTTTATAGATTACTGGCTTATTAGAATGCCTTTAAAGCTATCATTTTTCAGGACAACAGGAATAAATTGTTTTTTTGTCAATCATGTCACCATGTGTCAGAGGCTTATTTGAATGTGGCTGCCAAAATTTCAAATCCTTCTTATGGTAAGAAACTGGCAGCATTTCCGAAAGTCAGCTTTCCATGCCTATCACCATGCAACATGAGAGGAATTAGGAAATCAGGTTAGTGAGTAGGCTCTTACTCATTGAGTCACTGTGACTTCTAAAGAAGCAGGCGATAGAGATTAATTTATTGCAAGTTATACAATAAAGTTCATACATACCACTAACAGAGAAATCAACAGAATTACACCCAAATATTATACTTTCTTTTTTATAACAACTAACTTCTCTATCAGCTCGTAGATCAAATAATCTGCACTGTAATATCAATAATCATATTTATATCATATTGTTACCTTAAAATATTGATGGGGTTCTGTGGCATAGTTAGCAAGAGCATCGATTCTTCATGTGGCACCATTTGCTTGTGGAGCAAATTGGGGATGTGTGTTCTAATCTTGTGTGTGAAAGTCAAATGAGCTTGAATAATGACTCATAATTCAATGCAGTAAATGGGTACAGATAATCTGTGAAAGATACTAGTAAGAGGAAAGGATTCTTTGAGAACCTCAGTAAAATATGGTTGATGCTTTCTTTTTATTCGAAACATGATGACAGTACCAAATATATAGCTAGCTTCAAAACTAGTTTTATTGTAAAATGATAAGTGGATTACTTACTGTAGCATCATCTGATCCTGTAGCAAAGGCATCACCACTAGGATAGAATCGTACACTATTTATATCTGAATCATGTCCTTCAAACATCTGTACACAATCACCTGTTCTCATATCCCATACCATAGCTACTTTATCACACCCCTACAATATCATATAACATTGTGTGCAATAAAGCTAAGGAGTAGAATACCATAAAATTGTGTTCTGTTATTTAATGTGATCTCTAAATGCTGTTTAAGTTATGACATAATATAATATCTTACGGTAGATATCAATGATATAAATTTAACTTTCAGACTACTGTACTGGTCCACAAAACATTCATATATACTAGTTCCAGCAGAATACATTGGTGAATTGATACAATTGCAATACAACACACCACCATATACATACTAATATTTTGCATCAAGAGGCATAGCAAAGAGTCATGTATAACATGGCATGTCGTATTGATGCATAATTGGGGATACCCAGTAATGAACACAAATATTCATAGTTTGCAGTTCCATATAGTTGTGGTTTGACTATGGACATGGATGTTCCAGATTTGAAAATATGTATGAATCTTACCCCAGAGACAAATATATTGCCTGTTTCTGTAGGTGATAAATCTATACTCATTACGTCTCCTGCATGACCATGGAAACTCTGTATCAGCTGACCACTTTCAACATCCCACAATGCACAGGTGCTGTCTCCACTTCCTGTTAAAATCTGAAAATAAAAGTTTTACAAACATAATAAATTGTGAAAAATGACATTAAATCTCAGAAATCAAGCCAATGCCAAACACCAACGACATATAATTTAAAATATTACCTGGAAATCTGAGTTAGTAAATGAACAACAAGATAAATAACTGGTATGTGTTGCTACAGCTTTCTTTTTACTTGCTGGATCTTCTTCTAAACTTAATGGATAAACTGTACACTTATTATCTAAACCACTGAAATAATAAAGACAAGTAAATAAACAATAACATTCTCTTCTAAATTCATTAGAGAGCCGTGGTGGATCTGTGAGTAAGATGTTTGCTCGCTAACCTGAAGGTTCTGGGTTCAATCCTGGCATAGGTCCCCCTGTCAGTGATACAGGTCATAGGGACGGACACGGAAAGAGAGCCTAGTTGTTTGGATGGGACAATAAACTGATGGCCCTGTAGACTAATGCCGCTGTGATGACTGCTGATGCAGGTAGGGGGCTATAGAAGTAAAACTCACCCACAAGCTACTATTGTACCAGAAGGACCATATGAACAGGCCATAACCCAGGTGGTTGGCATAGTAACTGCATGTTCCTTAAATAATAAAAGAGGTTTATCATAGATAGATCTCATAAAAAGCCATGCATGAAACATATTACAAGTTGGATACAAATTTAATATATGTCTGTTAATTTATATTACTTTATAGATCTAAGATAATTAAACCAAGGCTTAGATCTGATGAAATATATATATGCAGCTTTGCTAATCAGTAACCTGTCTGTTGCTTTTCAATCTCCAGCACTTGACTAATTAGCTTGATATTCCAGTCTTGATATTTGACCAATTAACCTTAAATCAGTGGTAACTTCTTGTTCTTTAAAGAGGGAGTATGCACAGATTTTAATGGATATATTTTGCAATATCTATATAAAAGACTCATTGTGATTGTAAGCCTCTCATTTATTTCTCTTTTAATGCTTACTAAGCTAAACATATCATGTTATATCATGTCACATTCACTTTAAATCTATTCTTATCATTTCTTGACAAAATATGATACAGACTATAGCTTCAGGATACTGACATTGATAGCTCAGCCTTTTCCAGGTCAATGAAATATGACCCTTGACCTATCAAGATTAGGATGATATAGGGATATGGGTATGAATTAATAATGTATTATAGAAGGTATAAGTATAAACTGATAAGACATAATATACAGCCTCTCCTTGCCTAATAAATCTTTACATCATTAGTTAGACATTTTATAATTCATTTCACTTGTCTCTTTAATTTCATTTCAATTGTGTCTGATTTATTACATAAACCAATTCAACAGCTGACAAGAATAAAGAGATAAAATATAACTTATTCTTGACATACTGGCATATGACATTTTCATCTGATCAGTAGACACTTGTGTTTTATGTGTTATCAATTCAAGTAATATGCAATGCAATTGTATACAATTTTAGGGTATTAAAAAGACTGATTTGGCCCCAGAAAATTATTTTTAACAACAGTGATGTTGAATCAAAAAGAATGATTTTAACATTTTGTTATAAAACATTGAACTATTATATGTAACTTTGAACTTTGAGTTTACAACAAGGAAGGAAAACATTAACTCCTATAACAAATGATAATAAGTCAAACCTTCCGTTTGAATTTTATATCAATGATTTTTATTTGAAATCTATACTATACTTACTTTATTAGTAGTAAATGCATCCCAAACTAACATTTTACCATCCTGAAACACAATAATATTCAAAATTGGTCTAAATAACAGAATGTGGTAACCTGGACAATAAACAACTTAGATTTTTAAAATTTAGTTTCATCACGTCAGATCAGACAAAAGACATATATCAGTTATTTTTTGTTAAAAATTTGTTCTGTAAAACTTGCTACTAACAAGTTGTTAGTCATATGAACAAATGGTTTCAATGATGGAAGTTCCAACTTCCGTTTTGTCAACTTTCAAATTACTGGGTACATTCTTATTTTTCATGGCTCTTCTGCTTTTTGCAAAATATTGGTGCATTAGCTTTGAAGACTTTGAGTAAGCACCTAACTCATAGGACAATTGACTTGAGGTGAAAAGTTACCTGTGAGGAGCTAACTATATGTCTTTTATCAGAAGACCAGTCCATGCATAAGACTTTTCCTTGATGTCCCTTTAATACCCGTCTTGGTTTAATATTAAACTGTGGTAAATTATCTAATCTTTGGGCAACAACACACACTGTAAATTATAGTGATAAATGTCAATTGAGAAAAACACAACAAATGCAAAATACATAGCTTAGTAGCAATAAAGTAATACAAGGTGTGGAAATTGGAAAAAAGGGAGGGGGCCACTGTTAGCTACATGGAAATCAATTTATGCTGTGTTATGCTTTTTGGTACGCCTTTAGCTTGTAGGCCTATCAATTTTAAAAGATTCTTAAATATAGCAGCAAAAAGCTCAAAACTTATTTTTTACTAAACTTATCAATAATGGTCCCTTTAAATCAATGTACAACATTGATATACAATGTTGCCAGTCTACTGTGAAATATCACTGATAATATAATAACAAACAGTGAGTGGGTGGGGCAACATTGTTAAACACAGGAATATTATGTTGCTCAAAATAAACACAGTAATACCGAATATACGCAAAGTTATATTGTGCAGAATACTGAAGGTTATACCGTTATGTTATGGTTTGTCATCCTTCTTATAGAGAAATACACGGATAGAATTAAACAGTTAGGAATAAATCAAGCTAAAACAGTAGGGGCTAGGGGCGTAATTTTTGACTTACTGTCGACATCGTTCAATTTGGCCTTCTCTTCTTCTAGTCTCGATTTCAGAGATTCTGCCTCGCGACTCAGAGATTCGATAGATTCTGGATTATCGGCTCGCAAGGCTTCTGTGGCCGCCATCTTGTGTTGCCAGTAAATGCCCGGATGAAAAGCAGACGGCAGGAACATTATAATTATAGATTATATTAGCTCCTCCTTCTCCCAATTATAATTATTATAATTAACTTTCCCTTTCCTTGAGTATATTTCATCATTCACAATATCTTACAGTATGGGAATGCTTTGCAGATGTTTTCATGCCTACTTATCGGAGGAGCATTGATATGGTCAAGAAGACTATGGTTCCCAATACTAAAGAGAAGATTTTTTTACTTGAAGACTTCATAATTTTAATCGGGTGATTCGAAAATACACTAAAATCAGGAAACACTGTCAAGACCTTTCAAGAAAAATTCCTGCGTCTATTATAGATAAGGACCAGCTAGAAACTTCTAAGAAAAATTGACCCCGAGGTTTCTATTATGTTCAGAGACTAATTGTCACCGATCAGTGAAAATTGCCTAGGTTGAATTGTACTTAAATTTTTAATCCTAAACGTCGGATACAGTCATAGCTACTTGTAAGTCTAAGACCTCAAAAGAATGTAATCATTTCAATTACTATGTCAGTGAGTAGATCTACTGTTATACAGTATGTTAAGCACCAGTTTGATTAGTGGGCCGAGTAGAGTTCTAAAGCCCACATTGTCCCATACGTTTACAATTTTTTTTTTAAAGGAGTAGTATATCCATAATAGTGTTCTTAATTATTCCATCTACTTCTAAATGTCATTTAAAGAGTATATTTCATAATGTTTGCTTGGAAAATATATTCTCTTTGACATTTAATTTGAACATTTTGATCGCATGAATACTCATAAAGAAACGTTCGTACTTTTGTACATGCTTCGAATTTTAGGAATAAACTTCGTCTCAAGTTTAAACACAGAGATGCCTAACGTGGCGCGCTTAGAGCTCTGAAAAGGACGATTTTCGATCTTGAATGGTTATTGGACAAATTTATGTCTTCAAAAGTAAGATTGCCGTTTGGATAGGTGAATGTCGGTTTTCTGATTGTGTTGGCAATTTAACTATTATTGATTCATTGTTGTTTATGATGGGACGCAACTCTTGCTGTCTTAATAAGACTAGCCCACAATAAAGCATTTAAAGACTTTAACAAAAAATTCTATTCTTTTTGATAAACTGGGAAACTCAAATTATGACGATGTAAATACTACTTTTGGGAGCAAATAATCCGAAAAGAACATTGTACATATTACGTAAAGAGATTGTAAGGTTGTTACATTAGCACAATATATCATTGGTTTAAATTATGGCCATTCAAAAATTTTGCAGAAGAGATGACTATTGGTATTTTGTCTGCATTACCTTTATTATATTTTTCTTCTCCCCTCTTTGCTGTTAATTTATATCATCTTACTTTTCTTGAGATCACAGCTCATTCGTCACAGATTTTCGGACAATCAAAAAATTTATATAACTTTTCAAAAGTGAAAAATTCTGCAGTTTAACAATTACTATCGTTCGACTACACGAAGTTCTATACAACGTTTAGAGAATGAACAATTGATTGAAGAGTATCTTCTATAAAAGCTCCAGCACACCTCCACTGCCAATATAAGGTTATGCCCATTTTCCATGCTGACAAATGGTCAGGGTTTCATTTCAAAACATGCATGTTTTGTTTTTAACTTAGCTCGTTAGATTCTAAACTGGTTATTATAAATGTGGTTATGTGTTTATGTCACTTAAACATATCCAAATCGCCCAAACAAAAATTTACGTTACATTAATCTTTTACAAGAATTCGGATTCACATTACAGTGGCATTGATTAATAAAACTCTCTTCAATAAATTCTCGATTTCGTTGCACGACTTCAATTAACAAAAATTAATATCAGATTCAAATAAATGCTTTCTGCTTGGATGAAAATGTGAAGGAAATTTGATGATTATAAGAATTATTAAGCGGTGTACGATAGTCGCGTGGTCTTGATATACTTGTATATTGATTAGAAGGCAGTGTATTTCCAGTCAACAGATTTCTCCAGACTGACCGGGGGAATTTCATCAACTATGAGATTTGTGTTACTACAACTGTTAATTTCTCTTAACATGGATTATTTCTTATTAATCACATATTTCATCAGTTTTATTCCCCAGTTTCACGGTAAGTTTTCTTATCTTTTCTTATTGTAAATAACTCTTTCGTTTTTTTATTATTGGAAAATTGATCAGACAGAGGCGTGTCAATTTTGAAAACTTTTTTGTTGAAAAAACTATGATCGATGAAATAAAGATGATAAATCATGGAGGAAATATAAACTGGAATGGAAGAAACTTATAAATGGACAAAAGATCAACTTATACATAGATATATTTACTATCCTATCTGTAGCTCCCATTCGTGGACCAAGAAAGAAAGACAAAGTTCGTAGATGGTTATGCTTATAATTCTATGAAATACTTTTGATTAAAAAACTAGAGAACTTTCGCTTTTTGACAAATAGAAATCAACTATTAGAGTATTTTCTGTGTGATGATGAAATGTTACCACTCATTCAGAAGTCCTGGAAACCATTTTACTAGTCTTACATTGCTTCTTCAAAAGATATTTGGTACTCAGTTGCATTGTACTATAATCTAAACAGTTTTGATGAAACCACATTGATTTGTCGACAGAAGAAATCTTTACACATGACTACCTAAATATCTGTCATAAAATATAAGCTTTGACACCTGGTGGAGACATGTACCATTATATATATATATATATATATATAAAATTCACCAAAATATTCACACTGGAACAGAAGTCGTCTCTGATATAAGTCAGGTTTGGTTGCGAGATCATAATGGTAACAAATTACCATATTATTTTGTTCCCAGCGTTGTAAACATGAAGGACGTTGTTGTTCCTTATGATGAAAGATTAGTTAATTTATAATGATTTCCTCCTGAGATTAAGTTGGTGGGCATGGAAGAAAATTATCCAAAATTTCAACATCGAGTGCAGTATAGACTTTAACATCATCCTCCTACGTAGGTCGAAACTCAACGTTTTATTAACGAATGATAAGTACCACACCACGTCAAAACTAAGCTCCTGGATTTAAAAACTATGATAGAACATGTTGCAGACACGTTTCAATTTGACATTTTTAATAAGAGACTGTTTCCGGATTTACCAAAAGCTTTTGACACCATGTAGCATTTAACACTAAGGTCTGTTTCGTGAATTATCAATGTAGTTGGGAGAGAATTATTTTGTATTTAATCCTTTCAATACAACGCTGTTTAAATAATCTTACCTTAACCTCTTCTCACTGGTAAGACTTTGAAACTAGTCAGTTCAGTTTGTTCCAACAGAACAAGAAATAGAAGACGAAACAGTTCAACAACTCGATCCTGTTGCATCATATGCTCGTACTCTGTTGCTGGTGATGTTCAATCACCTAGAAAATACGTGCTGTTTGTATGGTCATGGACGCACAAAGTTTAGTTCTATTGATATATTTTAATTGGAATTGCCAGAGTCTAGCCAATTTAAAACCACCGATGAGGCAACGATAACGCCACTATATAATTATAAGACATTGTCCAGACGATTGGCATTTGACAATGCAAAGACTTTGCAGAAGACGAAATATTGATGTTTTTCACTTCAGTTTGTCTCAGAGTAGATTTGTAGAAGTTTTGTTTTGATAGTGTTAAGGGAAAACAAAACTTTTAACTGTTTGGTGCTTTAAAGAATAGTGTTAAGGGAATAATGACGTCTAGTATCACCGAAGCTAGCAGACTTTTGTTACATATATCAATAACACAATATGTCAGAATAAAAACTTTATTAGTCTTTAAAATAGTAACAACAAACCGAAAGAAGAGAAAGCATAGTAATAATTTCAAGCCTTTCACTATCATTCTACAAAATGAAAAAGTTTGTCTGGCCAAATGGAAATAAATCTAACCGAAGTCATTAGAAAGTAATCTGATTTTTTTTTCAGTCGTAGACAACATTAATAGTAATATTCATAGCTGAATTTAAGTTTGTTAGCTGGTTAACCGAATGAATATAAGATTGTCTTTTTCAATGGAAACATCGCTTTTATTACTTGATACAGGTTTGACTATGGTTAGACCGATCATTGACAGTGAGAAAGACCCAAGACAACTGATAGCATGAATCAGAATGTCTATTGCGTGTTGTGGACTTCATCTCTTCTTTACATCAATTTGACTATCGACTGTTCGCTTAATCCATCATCTGTAAGACTTGATCTGACTGCCTTTCATGTTTTCAATAGGATATAACTTCCAGTAATCTTATTTTAACTCAAAATCGATTTTTACTTCTCCATTATCGATTTTTACAGTTCACAAGGGCTAAATTTTGGTAATTCAAATAACTTTATAGACTCACTGACTCGCCAATTCATTTGAGAAAGGTAATTTTCTTGGCAACTTTTAAATTCTTCAGATAACAGTGAACTTTATTAATGAACCCCAGACTTTTCTAGTAACGAAAATAGACGAAGCTATATCCTACGAGAATCCTGGTCAGCTTATTTTTGGACGAAATGTAAGTTCTGTTAGATAGCTTTGAAGGGAAGTATTTTGACTATGGCGGATATACATGATTTAATTAGTTTGGATACAATAAATCCAGATAGTAAATAGTACCATCGTGTCCCTCAAGGTTTGCTCAATTTAAAACATTAAAAAATAACATTTCGTGATAAACTTCTCAAATGTTACAATTCGTTTTGTGAAATGTCATGTTTTGGTTGTAGAGAATGAGAGGAGACAGCACAAGAACTCCAAGAAGAGCTGATGTTGGTTTTTCAAATTTTCTCCAGCCTAACCAAACTCACTTAATTGCAAAAGCACAGCGACAAACCACAATCTCCATGTAAATGAAAACCGTGATTTGAACTGAAAATTCTTTTTACTTGTACAACGTACCAAATGCACCAGTCCAATAATTCTCACAATCAGCATGTGTACAGGATATGACGTCACATATATTCAGATTGATAGACAGACTAATATGTAACCATTAAGATAAATGTGTAATTTGAATGTCTAGGACTTTTTTCTATTAAATAACCTGATCAATCCAAACAACTTGACCTGGTGAAAATTAATACTCTATAAAATGATCAATGTCAAATGTTAACAGGTCGATTGAGAAATTGTGAAGACAGAAAATAATGCGTCGAGACAACCTTTTAAAATTTTTCCAACTCTGTTATTTTGAGCCCTTTTTGTTTTAGTTTTAGTTTACGCGCAGTTTATGCTGATAAATGCATTATTGCCTTTTTTTACTGTAAGATGACTTTAATGAGACGAATTAACAAGAAGGAGTGTTTCTTAAGATGCATTTTGGAGATATATAGGATACTATATTTTGGAATGAAAATGCTGTAGTAAAAATGTGAAAAAATTGTCTGAACGCAAATTAAGGAATCTCTCTTCGATACTATGACAATACCAATACTACTGCATCATTCTTGTCTTGGAAAGCTAAAGTTAACGTCTGTTGCTATTTCCAATATTGATACGATTGATCAAGGACCAGCAACTCAAATAACTCTGTGGTCGCAACGACAGCAATGTAAATGATTACCTTTTGTAAGAAGAGGTAATCCAATAAGGCCAATGAAGTGATTAACATCGGCTATCAATACTGTTGAAAGTAATTCAGCCAGTCTAAGCACGTAAACCTCTATTGCTTTCCACCATCTAAATTCGCCCACAATACAATAGAGGTTTAAGTGGCTACTCCCAAGAGATCAAAATATGCCAAATGGAACCAATTTCTTTATATTTAATCATTTCTTCGCCAGTATTGAATATCTCGTAAACACTCATAATTGTACAGCAGACTAAATCCTTCTGAGACATTCATGTCATTGTTACTGCGTCATTTCGGACTGATATTTCGAGTCACATTGGCTTATCATTCATGTATCTCGAATTGTTGATTATCACACCGAAGGTATTATCTGTCAAATATTCCTTGAAATACAGAAATCGAAAAGGTTAGACTGTCGCAACCCTGGATAAAATTCCCCCGCTTTATGGTTGAGTCTATGTTTATATCAGGATAATTTATTTCCAAAGTACATGTCATAAATAATTAATAAATGAATGTGCATAAAGAAAAATCAGCATTCAATAAACCGCCTGTTATTGTGTGTTATTGATAAGGTTTTTAACAAACGAAACAAATGGTTTGTAAGAAATCTTTGATTTCTAACACCAGTGAAATAAAGTACGTATTCAGTCAGCATATTGTGTATTCGATATTCACTGCACATTTTCAACTCATTTTCTTAATATTGATCTGGAAAGAAAAATTGCCTCTCGTTAAGTGTTTAGCAACAAATTTCATCATTGATTAGGAAGATTGTGTGAGAAAAGATTTGAGGTAATGGGTGTGAGTTGAAGATTGAGGAGAAACTCTAAACAACTGTTGACAATTATACATGATTAGACTAGAGTATTTACTAAACATTTCAACATACATTTACATTCTTTACATTGCAAGGATGAAATACAATTCAGAGTGTCCCTCATTGTACACAGATCATGTTCGTTTGCTTTTGTTCAAAGCAGTAGGATGTTAACCCTGATTTAATAAAGAGATACAAGAATGGCTGTTGAGAATGTAATAAAGCAGACTGAGTATGTTCTGGTTCGTTGTAGATAATTACATTTGTATGTATAGGTGTCAATTAAAAATTCTTCCAAAATTATACAAAGCAGAATTCAGTCCCTTAACTATCATCGTTTCTGTTCACCATCAATCATATATTTGGTTGTATATTGATAACCTGGTTATTTACAAAACAAATCAATTTCGTTCTTTGCAGAATTTTCATTGTGAAACTAACAAGGAAGATGTCTTCCAGGAGTTCAAACTTTGACAGGAGCTTAAAGTGAAGAACTAATAGTGCCAGTATTGCAGGAAAAGTCTAAAGCATTGAGGATATATGTGATTCCGTGACAGTCCTTCTGTACCTTGTCTGGCACCTTAGTTTATCAGTTCTTTATATGTAATTATGTCACTATCAAGGCCATTGTTGTAAATCTTGTACTTGATCAATACCTTTATAGTTCTTTGTGAATCTATCTTTATAGATACAGCTTCAAGACGTCCACCTAGCACCACGCAATATCGTAAGACATACCATCCATTATATTTCAATTTGTTTTTTTGGTTGCATTTCAAGCCAGTTATAGGAACCCGACTGCAGGACCTTTAACTGTTGAAGATGTATGTTGGTGTTTATGAGACTGTGATTTTGTATCGACAGTTTATTTTAGTGTAACAGTTTTTATTAAATAACATTCTATCTTGAGTTTTAACATTGTGAAAATTAATTATTTATAAACTCATGTCTTAGACCTTCTCTCCTAAATCATTTAAAACTCTTGTCGCCATCTTCTTCCCAATGTGTAAATAAATGATAAACTTTGCCATTTATTCGCCATTAGCAATCAGTCCATTAAATGCTCGATTGAAATCGTGGTGATATTTAAAGCATCAGCGAAAATAAACCTTAGGATAAATTTGTCTGGAATAACATCATTGCAATTCACATGGTATAACCAGAATAGTACATAATGATCTGGATTCAGACTAAATGATAAGCATGAATGTCAACGTGGTTTAATTACTTTTGATTGGTGCAAACATCACAGCCTACAAAAAGTCCACTTTACAAATTTACAAAATGGTGAATTGATGATTGTAGCACTCAAACGTCAAATTAGAAAGAAAACTGCTCATTTCCAAATAAATCATGCTATGAACTAAGCTAATACAAAATACAACCTGCAACCCAAGTTGTCATGAAATAAGGCTTTACATGCTATGTTTCTGCTTCGGAGTGAGCCAATTAATAATGTCATTCAGTGCACAATGGGACAAATATGATATCACTGATAGTTCGTGATATTTACTACGAGGATCAACCACGGTACAGCGATGATGGAATCCTTCTAGAGCTGGAGTGATCTACATTCACAGTCATGAGGCTATAGCTTGGCAAAGAAGAATAACATGTCTCAGGAACCTCATATGCCCCTTTGAACCTTATGTTTCCTCCGGAACCTCACGTTTCCCCGAGAACCTAATGTCCTATGTACCAGCATCGTAAGAAAATGTAAATGTTATATGAATAAGAATTCTGTTTGAATTATATCAAATTGTTTTAAAATACATGTAGCTAGAAAAAAAGGGCGTGAAATCGACTTAAAACGGAATTTCACATTATAACTTTTTATAATGTCATAGTCTTCATTAGTCTAATGTAGTGTGATGGTCGCAATGCATATAATATATTAAAAAGTACCTGAAAATATCAATTATACTAAAAGTATCATTGACGATATCAGTATTCTAGATATATTCTAGACAGTTAAGGAGATGAAAGTAGACGGGTGTCTATTAAGTAATATACAGATAGGATCTTCAGAATATTTCATTATTTCTGTACTCTAGACTGAAGCTATTTAAAACTAGTAATTAATTCATAAATATCTCTCTGCAAATCAATTTCTGTCCGTTATAGCTATTATTTAAAGTGCGTCTTAATGGTTAGACTGCTATTTATGCTTTGTCCTGGTGTCCGCCAGTCAGCAATTTTTTTCTATTGTCATATATAATTATGTCTTATACTAACTGAGTACTTGATGTACTATTGATGCGGTTCAGTTGAAAATCCAAAGAACATCAGACCAGTGGCTCGTGATATACTTAATACATTGCATTCGGTACATATGCAGTTTGCCTGCAATTGATAAAATAGGAGTTAATAATAAAGATCAGAACAAGGTGAAATTCATATAAATGTACCTTGTTATTGAAGGTCTTGTGAGAATCTAATTCATATATCCCATGGTAACTGTTGTTATTTAACGATCTAATTAGTGCTATAGGGTTCCACGAGGACTCATTAATAGTGATTAAGAAAGATTATTGCCATCATATTATCGTATACTGTCATTTTACATACTCTTGGTATCATTAATAGCAAATGGAAGCGACGAACAGTTATCATTCATAATATATATATCTAAATTGAAGGCTATCGGGTTATTTAAACCAATTCTTGTGACACATTCTGAATGTGTTGTACCACTTTAATATGCCCACCTACATACAACAGAAAATCGTAAGACTTACCACCCCATTCATTTCAAGCACAATTTACAAAAAATTTAAAAAGAATAATTCAGTCACTTTTAGAAAATCGAAATGTCATTCATGAGATCAAAAATCCAGAAGCAAACCACCGTTTCAAGATTCTTGGTGTTCCCCATTCTCTCAAACCACTTGAGATGTAGGAGGTTAATGAGTCCCGAGAAAATTCACTTTATCAGGTTTACCGGGATTCGAGAGTTGTCATGTAGTAAAGTTAGTATTTCGGGAGAGGATATCCAACTTTCTACGTAGATAGTTGTTTCTACAAGTGATGTATTAAGCACTATTTTAACAAAGAAAATATTTTGTTATTGTAGGTAGTTTGAAATGTAAATATATTATCTTCTATTGCAGGTAAAACTATAGAAGATAAAATACAAATATTACCCTTTGGTAGTCCAATATGGATGTTGGAAAACGAACCTTTCGAAGTAGCATGTGAAATCACTAGATCTGAAGAAACTACATCTCCCATAGTTGATATATCTAAAGATGGTTTTCCAATAGAACATCATACTGGATATACTGTTACAAAAACTGAATCTGTTAAACAGGACAAAATAGTGTTAAGACATACAGTAACTAAAGATTCCACGTCCATTACTGATGAAGGAAGATATTCTTGTCAAGCAGGAAGATTTGATGATTTTAAAATTATAAAAGTTTTCTCAGGTAAGTGTTACTTACATAACCAACATCATCATCATTTTTTATACACTACCCTTCACTGAACATTTGGCTAAATGAAGATCTGTACACAAATGAAGCTATTGACAGTATCAAAGATAACTATATATATTATGTGATAAAATACAATTTGGATTACAGTTTCTGGATTTTAACATTATTTTAGTTTCGTATTCATAGAATTAATAATATTTAATTTTAAATGGTGTCGTTTAGCTTCACTATTTATATCTGGTCACACTAAAAATCTTAATTGCCAGAAAAATAGATATTTTATTTTTATCAGTGTCAGGGGACTAAATGACAGACTATAATCTACTCAAATGTTTTAAAGGTAATTTTAGTTTTTCGCTAAAATTACATTTTCAGGTCTGATGGTAAGTTGGAACTAGATTAAGTTTTAGAACTTCGTGTTACTTTTGACCAGACAGTAATACTAATATCTTTATATAAAAAGTATCTATTGTCTAGTAGCAGTGTTATAATTAAACTGTGAAGGTGAAGTAAGATGAACTACAAGCTCTGTACCCAGGTTTACCATTAACGTAACGCTAAAAAACTTTTTCTAAGGCTTACGATGGTTTGGCAAAATATAACGTTCAAGATCTTTACCTAGGTTTACCATTAATAGTAAGTAACATTTACCTAGGTTTAGCAAATGACTTTTAAAAACCTTTTCTAGGTCTAGCATGGAAGCCACGAAACATAATATTTGGTTTACCATGATTACTATGAGACAAGTGCGGTGCGATGTTTTACGGTGAAAATAATGACAAATGGGCATCAAGAACCTGAGTTTATTATTATCCCATACGAATTGTGTAGCTAATTTTAGAAGTCATTCTAGAAGCTGTCGCCATCAATAGCCTTGTTTTTACAAGGATGTGTTTCAAATTGAAGTCAATAACAAGTTTTAACAAAGCGATCAATGGCTTGATTTTTGACTTCCTGTTTTTCTTTAATTTCTTGTCTACATGACGTGTTGATCAATTACTGAATGTGGCTCTAATTTGGAAACAAACTATTTGGAATCAATGTTGGCTTTTTAGTCTGTGCGGCTACTGTCCCTTTGAAGTGAGGAAACGGGGGTACCCGTAGCTACAGGGGGATGGGGGGGGGGGGCGGACAAGGAGGGCAATGCCGCCCTCTCTTTCCTCTGGATAGATTACTTGCCCCTCCGAATAATCTTGTCTGGCCTCCAATTGGTGTCATTTCCCATGCGCTCTTTTTCTTTCTCGACATCTCTACATATTTTTCTCGAAAGTTTCGCAACGTAAAAAAAAATGGAACAGAGTGATGACTTGAATTGAATATTTTCTAATTAGAACAACTCATCAATGTAATCATTACGTATGCTATTACTATCTTGGTGGTTATTTTTATAGTTTTTTAAGAGACTAAAATTGATGCCTTCTCTTTATAGATATTGTAGAATAAGTTATATATTAGATAGCGTGAATAGAAATCATTATTATATTGTATCTGATTTAAGTTGGAATGATTACCGAGTTACATCTCGCCATCATGTCTGAACTATATGACTTTACAAGTCAATAAGAGTGGAGAAATCTTTATTAATATGATTGTACCAAATAGAATGGAAATTTTATCGAGGTCACCTCCCAGATTTATCGAATAAAATATGCCAACATGCTTTGTCTCCACTGGTAAAATTGCTATTTATTTTGAGGAACTGGTCGAGTATTAATTTCTAGTTTTTTTTCATGAATAAAGATTTGATCTTGTTTTAAAGAATAATTTACCACTTCATACCTGTGCAGCGATCAGGTTTTTTTCATATTGTCATCCCTTTCGGAGAGTCCACATAGCAAAATTTTCTTCGTTTGGTAAAAATATTGTACAAGGCTGTGATGTAATGCGAGATTTATTCCTCTTTAGTGTCGTTACATATGTAATTTAATTAATGTATGGTCATAATTTGCTCTTTTACAATAATGATATTGTATGTTGTGTATATAATGCAAGTTGCTGAGAAAAGTGTGGCAGTAACCGAAGGATATAAAAGGAAAAAAAACTTAAAATGATTGAAATCCAACATGTTTGTTAGCGTTTCACACCACTGGCAATAAATGAAACTATATCTAAAACATCGTCAACTTGTTAAATCTATCCAACAGTGAAATTTGTTTCTCCAGTTTTTCCCACTTAAATTGAAATTACAAGTTATTAACACAAAATGTCAGGATATCAATTAGGATAAAAACCGTTTGGTTGAACTTAAAAATAATTTCTTTCTTGAAACATGTCATTCTCAGTGGTATAGACATTTATAAAAAGATATGACATCGATGCATCCTTTCTTTCAGTCAATTGTAACCAAAATGGGCCATTGTAGAAAGTGACCTGTTAACGATAAAGTTGCAGGTGACTTGGGCTTTCACATCTATTGTTTTGTTCGAAAAAAAAACCCACAGTTTGATTAAAAGTATACGCATAGCATCACTGAATTAACAATTCCGAGACAATCAGACACTTGCATTTCAAAATCTTAGCAGTTAGTTTCATGCAAATTGATTCCAAGAAAATTGATTATATAAATTCTCAAATAGAAATATGACATTTTCATCTATATCTTGCCTTGAGGTCTGAAGATAATTATTCTAGTTTGATATGCAATGGTATAATCTAAATTCATAGAACTCAAATTAAAGGTATCCAGCACGCTACAGGCGATGAATAGGACTTAAAGATGGTGGAATGTTTCTGGAATAATTCTGGAGTACAACGATTTAAAAATCCACAGAGACTTGTTATATTTTAAACATTTATAAAGCGACTAAATTTGTTTGTATAGAGATAATTGAATAATTGTAATGAACACGATTGTTATCAGAACACAAAGAAATCAACCTCGATTACAATATGCGATGTTCTATGATGAACCATCATTAACCGAATTATAATCATATAGCTGCCAGAGATTAACGTAATCGTAGGTTCGTATTTGTGATCGATTGAACACCAAACTGATTTTTTTTCCCGAATGTTGAAATAAACTCGTATTACGATTATCTGTACAGCATCTAAAGCAGCCTACTGACGAATTGGAAATAAAACGACTAGAGCTAATGCGATTTTATTCCTGGAGTTGATGGTATCAACGTTAGTCGAGTACTAGACATTTCCCTTAACTTACTGATTGGAATCTAAATGCGTCATTCCGGTGCCATAGTGTTAGAGAGGAAATAAAAATAAGAATTATCGGCAAACCTCTCTTCTATTGCTTGAATCTAACATTTAAACAACTGATTAGTCCTTGCTCTTGTATGTCGATTTCAGTTTCAATTTGAGTTTCCCTTGATGTAAACTCTTTCAGCATACCATTTGGGCAATACAGCAAACCATCGTGACGCTGACGGTTTCATTTTGTTACTTCAGTTCACTTAAGGACACAAGCAATGGTACGATTTCAAATAAAATCGCATCAATATTACTTCATCCATTACCCCCAAGGGCCACTAGATATACAATACTGATGTTATTTCTAATACTTTATATCGGTCAATGGTGTTTACACTGAGAGAATCAAGAAATCATTGAAGATATAAGCCTTATTTTGGTACATGGTCAGTGGAAATGAAACAAAAGGAAATAATATCTCAGCTGTCAGGACAAACTGGACAACCAGTTCAGCAGTACATTCCTTATTACTACAATCTTAATCAATATACTAATTTACTCGCGTCTTACTTTTCAATTACGGCATAAGTCTTGCTATCGATACTACATCCTGTCGTTTGAACCTTGGTTAATAGGGGGCGGTAATGTCTGTTAGTGTCATAAGTCATCTATGGTTGCTGAATTGACTGTAATTTGTTGAGGTCCTAGATTGAAATGACCTCATGATATTATTACATGATTTCCTCTATTCAAATTTATTGTCCAGCATTAATGAGTTTTGATGACACATCGTGGTGAGTCTTTGGTGTTTAATAGTGTTCAATCTGGTGTCTAGGCTACCTTTGTCCTTTGCTGCTGAGTACATCATTAATTACGATCTTTGGTATCCAAGAATGTGTTTGTTACCAAGAATAGGGCGCTGTTTGCAACTTACCTATTAAGTATAATATAGATATAACTTTGCGAATTCGATAAATCACCTGTGTTTATACATTATGTTACACTCTGCCAACAATTATTGCCAGCACTCAATTTTAGGATAATGTGAATGTCTTAAATCATTTTGTCAGTTTATAAAACACGATGAGCATGTCCAGAGAGCCTTGAAAGTTTCTCGAATTTCATAGAGTGGTCTTCAATTTTTAATCAAAAGTCAGTTACATATTTCTCTCACCATATCCACTCTCTTTTTATTCAAAATACTTGAAGTATGAAAACTGTTTCGGATAGTTCTATAAATTTGATTTAGATCATATACTTTTAGGAACCAATCTCCCAAGACCATTATTTATGAAGAAATCTGTATTAGGAAACAAATTCATCGATTTCTATTAACTTTTCTTATAAAGTTATTTTTCTAATAATTATTCAAATATCATAATTTGATAAAAAAAAAACCCTAAAAATATGAATAATAAAATGGCTATATTTCACGATTATATTTGGCATTGTTTATTGGTAAAATATAACGATATAATTAGATTTAGTAACGGTGAAATACGGTTTAATGTCTATAATAAAAAGTACTTTTAAGTACTATATTTAATACGTGATATGTTACAGGAGAATCAGTTTTCTTAATTAATTATTCCTTGTCTTGATGAAAAAAAAGGTAAGGTCATATAACGTTCTGTCAATCTTAAAATACTTCCTTTTATTTAACTTTCATACTTGTGTATCTTTAAGATGCATACTGTTTAGTACACGGAATCCAATTACTGGTGTCAGGCTTTAAGTTTCTTCCTTTTGACAACTGTTATATTTTGTCTATTTAAAGACTTTTAATACATGTAACTTTTTTTGACTCATTATTCTGGATAAATTTTGTTGCTTCTTACGTATATTTTTATTCTATTACATAAGAAACTATGTTTTATGGTTAGATTTGACCAAGTTGATGAAAGGGTAACAGAAATACCGGATATAGCCGACCTGCATAACCTGGAGCTATATAGGCTCTCTTTTGTTACATCTGAATTATTGCTTCTGACTCTCCATATAGTCATTTGTTTTTATACCAATCAGGCTTAAAGTTGGACTCCAATCAATAAATGTTATGAGCTTAAGGCTAAATAATTATAGGTCACGCCAACTTTAACTCGTTTGACATGGAAAGCCCGCAGTCACATTTACTGTTCAATATATATAGAATATATTTGTTCTGTCTTGAACTTGATCAAATCACCAACATTTATGACTGGAATATTGAAGATATTCACTCATTTACACGTTAAATTCTTACTCACCGCTAGTTCTTGATATACGTCGGTTACGGTGATACCACCAAACAATTAAATTCATTAACCTTCTGACAATTGCCGCAGAGACGTAGGACGTAAAACTCCATTCATTTCATCATTGACAGTTACCATCTTTACTGAACAATACGAAAAGTCAATGAAGCTTAGAAGTACCACTTGCTTTTAGAAAGATATATATTTGGTAGGACACCAATACCCTTTTTGAAGGCTGAAAAATTCATGCAAGATTTATATCAAAGAAGGTATTTGCGGTTCAGCAATGGTAATCATGATGTCTGGTATGAATTAGGAAAATAAAAAATTCTATGTCTGATTATATTCCTGGCAATAAGGACCCTTATCTTTCTAATAATACCTTTCAACGGTGAACGATATCATTTTGTTTCCATTGTCTTCTTTAATCCAATATACAGACGGTGACAGTATCTGAAATCAATATGGCGACCATGGAAAGTTATTGACAAAATTCAAAAGAATTTCTTCAGACCTTCATTAGTTTCATTAACATGGCATGTCAATAGAGGAGACTAATTCAAGAAACCAGGAGAAAAGAGCATAAAAGAATATTCCATTGAGATATTCAGGTTTCTTGTTAAGGGAATATGAAATAATACTCTGTGATCTTCTTCTATAATCTTTTATAGTGCATTGACACGAGAGTCTGAAATTTATTTTCTTACATTGTCCACGATCCATGTCTGTTTTACAGCACGAAGGCAAACATCTTGTCATATAATAGACATTGCAGTTGGCATTCTTCAACTCATACGTGGAAGGGATTTTCATAAAACACATATTGTGAAATCATTGAAGACTTCAAAACAAATCCTCTTGTTTGTTTGTTTGTAATAACTGTAGCCTCAGAATTGAGGGAATAGCTCGTCTTGGCATTTCAATTCCCAAACCTCACTGTTCTGTTTTTCCTCTCTGGCCATGCGTCACTTGTAGAAAATATGGATAATGTACATCATGTTCAGTTTTAGATATATAAACCGGAATGGTGCAACATATTTCACAGTGAACTGGCGTCGAGTCTACATTTGATATCAGGAACCAAAACGTTCTAGTCCTTTTGGACAAAAGCTTTTTCAGATCAGTTTTGGTAACAAGCCACACCGGTTATAGAAATATAGAAATAAGCTTGTCGGATCTTTCAGAGCCCAACAATACATATCCTGGAATTAGAAGACATCACCTCATAGGCCGATAGTAATCGAGTTTGTAAGACAATGTTTTTATGTTGACTGACAGTTGAAGTTCCTGATATTGCGTGATTCTTTATGTCTCTCTTATTTTAATCAGACAGATCAATAATTATAAAAAGATTAGAATTCAACCTGGTCTTCTATTAAAGATAAGATCCCCATTTCTTCTGGAATGTATTGTATGAAAATACTTTCACGAGTAACCTCCCTTGAACTTTTGAAATTGGTCAGCCAAGTCAATGTTTGTCGTATGTTGAGCAGTAATGGTAGGTGTGCATCCAGGCAGGCTATGCTTACTCTTAAAAACACCCGATACAACTTTTCATTATGAAATACTTACTTACTTGTGATTGATATAATTCCTCGTGAAAAATTCATTAACTACTACCAATATTTCGCCAATATGTTGTTTTGGATTTCGGGATTCATTTTGTGGTTCGTATCGTTAGTACTTGGTTTATTTATGTAACCAGAATTCCAAACCAAACCAATGGCAAGAAAATGAAAAAAAAGAACTATTATTGCATGGAATTTAAAGAAACCGGCTTATAAATTTTTGCTTTTATTCCAATGTTATATTGTCAATAGTGTTCGCCTTTGTTTTTTCTCCAAAAACACATTACTTCCTGATTTAAAGACTCTGACTCACTGTTGAATGATTGTGAAGTACTTATGTAGATATTAATGACACCATCTTTAAACCTTATTTATACAAAATATCACAAGATATCGAACAATAGCTGCTAGTTATTGACATTTCTTTAAGCTAACAGTGAAGTGAGGGATAGTCCACAAATCCATACAACGTGAAGGGTATTTTCTTACTTTAACCTGTCACGAAGATGGTGAAATTGAAACGAAAAAGGATGAAAATACACGTTGTTTAAAAAGAAACATGTTAAAAAGATTATCTCTCATGACATCTCAAATATCTTTCTTCATATACCACTTTTTGCAACGACAAAATTTCTTTGACGTAACATATCAATAAGCTATATTGAGCTTAAAATTGCTTTGGTTCTTTTGCAAAATTTATACTCTTCGAATACGTAGAGTGAGTTGTAGATAACCGCTTTCAAAGACTCTTGATAAATACGATCATATGAAGGAAGCAAATTTCTTGTAAGATCATTGGATTGCATGGTCCCTTTCTGTATCAATATTATCAAAATTGATGAAATATCTCAGTGTATCTTAAATATTCCTTAAGAATAAACAGAGTTTGACTTTGATTCGTATTAGTAGGACTAGTAGTAGGTTTGAGTACTATAAAGTACTCTAAAGTAATCAGTATAATATTGACCAAACTATTAGTAACTATCAATACCATTAAACACTATAATTAAATGAACAAGTCAAGACTATTGAGAACTATATCTTTATTATTCCATTAATTGGTTTGTAGACGTCCAAGATTTTGCTGTAGAAATAGTTATTTAGATGGTAGATAATAGCTTCTATTGATTTGGTTCTTACTACTTATAATAGTTCTATGATTACTCTTTGAGGGCTCTTTTTTAGGGCATTTCACTAAAAATATCAATATGTATTTAAGATGCAGGAAGAGGTGATTTACGACTGAGATTGGCGTCATTCACCCCGGACGAACATTGGGCCAAAAGGTTACATTGAACTATCTAGATATGTGGAGTTTGATTTTATATTCATTCGTGCTTTATCGTTGACTACATTTTTCGAGTGAAATATTTTTCGCAATTTTTTGTTGTTGTAAGAACTCTTCCGGGGAGGAATGATCTCACGGAGGTTGAGAAGCACTGTCCGTAATACTATGATTACCAAAAAAATTTGTTTTCAAATAATTCCAGTCTTGTAATCAAATTATGGAGTTCTTCTTTTACTTACGTAAATATGAATTATGTATACATTTTTCTACAAAATTGTTTTATGTAATTATTTCAGTGTATGTACAAGATACTAATATAACACACGGAGAAGATGCTATTATAAAATGTGATCCTGAACCACATTTAGAACAGTTAGAAGTAATATGGTATAAATTTAATCAACCATTGGAATCGGTGCCTGGTTTATATCCTAGAATACATTTAACAGATCATAATCACACCTTAACAATTAAACAGGCCAGTAAGTATTTATTTTTACATTTTGATATTATTTTAGTGAGCAATAAACACTTATAAAATATAGGCAAATGTGTTTATTCATAAACAGCGTGTAAATATTCAATTATAGATTTTACTCATTCTGGCTAGCATTTACTGAAAATAATCAAATATTTAAATACTCCACTAAGTATTTACTCATAAAGCTTGTAAGCGTTTAAATATGCAAGGAATTATTATTGAGTTATTACACTGAGCAGTAAGTATTTACTCAAAATAGTAAGTATTTGCTTTTAAAACTCCAGAAAATATGTATAGATGTACAGCCAGTATGTACTTATAGAGCAATAAGTGCTATAGCCGGTAAGTATTTCGTAAGGCTAATTTAGATTGGAAGCGCACATTTACATTGACCAGTATTTACCGAATAACAGTAAGTATAAACAATCATGAAGTATAAACACAAGTAAGTATTTATACGTTAAAAACTACAGTAAGTATTTACAATCATATGTATATAAGCCTGTAAGTATTTCGTAAGATGTTTTTTATGACATATAAAATAGCTTGGTCAGCTTTCTTTTTCTAGAATATAGGTCAATTTATTGCAGACAATCCTACACATATTTTTTTTATTTCAAATACATGTACTTGTATTCTGTTTCAGACTTTTCCCTCCTACTTCTTCGAGCATAATATGACGTCTCTGTTTTCTTTGATAGCAAATAACTAAAACATTCGTTTGGTAATATGTCTCATATATGTATGATGCTTAGAGCTACTGATATAGCCATCAGTCATTGGAAGTTTTCTTATCTCTGTGCCATAACTCTAAAGCACGTTTTTTAAGATCCATAGATAAATTCATGGGTTATTTTTTCGGAGCCATTTAGTGATAACGTAATATTAAAGTTATTTATTATATTCTTATTTTATGTGTTGAACCAAACGTTGGTGATAAACCGATAAGCTCTTGAACATTCCCCAATGCATTGCTCACTGCAAGCTTCTATATTGATTTTATACTATGAGAAAATTAACTCACTCCCCTACTATCAAATTTATGGCCTCCAATTTGTTAAGAGATACATCTTGTCTGTCCATAACCTTCTTCGCTTTACTTTTCTTCTTTTATTCGGAGAGAGTAGAAGAAAGTAATTGTGCATGTCTCAGTAGACGGTGAAAGGAGAATGAATTCAACTCGGTCTAATCAACATCTAATTTATTGCTATATTGATGTGCTTTTAGTCAGAGAAGGTCAATCGGAAATGTTGCATTCGATCATCTTTCTTCCATTCGCGTACTTTTTACTACTTAATAGTTTTAATGCGTCTTGTACGTGGGAATTTTTTGCTGGCTGTTTAATTGGTCGTATTAATCTTTCGTTATTGAATGTTTTATCTGTCAACTGAACAAGATGTCCCCTTAGTTCCATTTAACATACCAATTTGATTAGAAGAAATACTTTTTTCTGGTTTATCGGTAATATTGAATAATTTTATAGCATCGCCATGATTTATTTGTAGTTTCGGAAATAAATGCACCAATCTCTATGTGAATACTATTAATTGTTAAAAGATAGTATTTCAGACATAGTACTTAGGGGAAGAGTCGACTTTTTCAGGGGTTGATTTTGGTGTTTAAAATCCTTCGGAAGTTCTAGAACTGCACGAAAATCGCGTAATTCCTTCAAATATACCTAAAACCAGGAATTTCACTCTCTATTTCTATATACATTTACATTTAATGTCTTTTATATATATCGTAGTCACAAGAAAAGACAAGTCGTCATTTTAACTTTCAAGCGCGGATAATTGGACATACGTGGATTTCAAGGCTCAAATTTCGACGCAAAGTTGTGATTATTACGACTAAGGTACGATTGGTCGAACGGATTGCGAACATGTCCCTCTAACAATCGTTCCAGGCAGATTTTGCTGACTCTTATTTCATTAAGACAAATAAATAACGATTCGACTACCTCTAGCAGAACGTTTTCAACATTCTAGACGAACTTATCCGTCTTTTTTCCCTGTATGAATTGCCATGGGTATTTGAAGTTAAATAAAGCAGATCTGAAACCAGAAACCTACGTCCTTATAAGCCGGTCAAAGTACTTCGGTTCGGTAGAGCTTTTTGTCGTGAACGATTTGTCAAATCGTATCTTTCACACCGTAAAAATACCTTTTAAAGGTTGTAACTGGTAATTTGGCCATCAGACTTCCTTTACATGTGACAATTTATATTAAACAAAGATCTATTACTTCTACTTTTAAGTTAGGTGATAATGGACTGCTGTTATCTTTCACTAGTAAGTCAATTATCGTTTTTTTTTCACTTCTCATTTCATTTTTATTTTATAATTCTGAATTTGAAATATTGATATGACATTAACACCATCCGTCCAAGCAGCAGAATGCCTGAGTTTAAACATGTGTTATTCTGCTCGCTCTGGTATGACAACAAGGCGGCATAAACATAATATGCTGAGACATCGATCCTTAAAGGGACAGATGTGCCATTTTGGGGGGTTGATTTTAGTCTTGAATATATGTAAATAGTCTTCAGGAGAATTAGACATTTAAAGATACTTCAATATAAGAATGTTACTCACTATTTCTATATGTGTCTTTTATATATATTACAGAGTATCTTAAATTGACGAGTCGTCATTTAAAGACTCAAACACAGATAATTCTGGACACAAATGGAATTGAAGACTCAAATTTCGACGGTGAGCTGTGAACACTATTACTGATTAGCTCAGCTAAAAACTTTCAGTTTCTGAGACTAAAGTATGATTGGTAAAAAAAATGGCCCACTGCCCCCTTAATGCCCTTATCAGTTTTGATGGGATGATCTATATATGGTTCTGAATCAAATCTTAGTGAACATTCAATGTCACGTTTTATCAAATATTTTCTATAATTGATCAATCAGTTCGATTCCAACAAACAGTTCCAAACATGCCGATGGTCATTTCGTCATATGATTTTGAAGGCGTGTCAGTCATTTGTATTTAAGCAACACTTCTGACAAGACAGTACAAGATAAAGAACATATTGAATGGCAGTCTCCAGAGAAAGTTCTTCTATCTTCATTACACTATTTCTCTCATTTATTCTTTCTATATTTAAATTTACCGATATATTAAAATTCTCACACGGCATCATGTCTCCTCTTTTATATCAAATATCCAGTTTTTATGGTAAAATGGGCGAATCGATTGCTACAAGTCATTCTGTATCAATTTAATGAATACTTATATCTTGAATTCTGATTTCTCTATAGAATTCTAAGTCTTTATTTCTTTGACTAGTCAAATTAGTCTCACTGGTAAATGATTTGACTCAAGATGGTTAATATTTCGTGCGTTGTGTGCCTTTTTGTCATTGTGAAGAAATTGTTCTTTTATTGGTGTAAAAGGTTGAAGCTGCAGTTCTGAAAGAGTTGCATTTCTGTAACTCTTCATGAGCTTCTACCAACTGCTTGTTGGCTGGATGGGATGGCACCAATTATTATACACCATTAGTATGAACTTCTCCCTACACTATATGTGCTGTAACCAGCTGGCACTGGACTGGCACCAAATATTTACAGGTGCGCACATTTCTTTTTTTACCAATCATACTTTAGTCTCAGAAACTCAAAGTAGCTCACTCTCGAAATTTGAGCCTTCAAATCCATGTGTGTCTAGAACTAGAAGTCCATTTACATATATTCACGACCCAAATCAAACCATAAAAATGGCACTTCTTCCCCTTTAATGGCCGATACTAGATCTTAAAAGACCGATACCAATTTATAAAGAGGTGTCACAAAGTATGTAAGTGCTAGTTGTATATCGTGCTTCAAACCTTCGCAAAATGGTTGGAAAGAAATAAAATAGGAGATGAAATCTATTACATAAATTGGAATGGCAAAACACATGTTTTCAATTCGACATTGCGAAATTTATATTCCAATTGGGGAATTTAATAGGATATAATAGCAGTGTAGAATCTCACTTCATTAATATTGCGACATATATTCAGTAATAATAGGCACATATCTTTAATGGAAGTCTAATTAACCGATAATTTCAATAAGATTAATTCCCTGGTATAATATTACTGCATTTATGAGAATCGGCCATATTGAAGTGAATTCCTGTCGATAATCATTGAGAGAAGTTGAAGAGTGGGTAATTTGTGATAAAATGCGCTTATTAATTATCGATTTGTTCCACCATCTTGGGTTTCAATATTGGTGACGATTAAAGTATGATATTGAATAACAATAAAATATGGCGATTTGTTCTGCTGTATCGTGCTTGTTAGAACATTAGCCAGTGATTCTATATGTTTTAATACCACAGACACGATACGATTCCAAATACACCGGCAAGGTTAATTAGAATTAATCAAGATCGAATGAATGAATGAACTAATGAAATGAATTAATGAATTACATGTGTATGATATCGAGAGAATTCCATTTCTTCAAGATTCTGTCTTCAGTCTCTAATCTTACAATGTTTGAATTAAAATCTCTTTCATTTTATCCATAGAGACCAAAAATAACCAAAACACGAGTAGATACTATTTAGTTTCAACTGTGTATGTATAAACGTCAGGTCTTACTTGGGCGTCTTACAAATCAGGCTAATTAACTAACGAGCAGTGCTTGTTGAGGGAATTGCTTGTGAGTTACTGGAATCAAACGTTCTACCAACCGACCGACCGGCCGGTTAAATATCTTAAAACCTGCGTTTCGTGTAACAACAAGGTTGAAGTAAATCCAGTTCCATAAATATCACAGAACTTGCAGGATGGACGTGGCCGTTATGATTGGTCGATTGGAACTCGTTAAAATTCTATCTTAATAAGAATCTGTACCATGAATAATGTTGGCATAAAATGACGATAGTTTTAGAGCCTTCATCACACATAAAACTCCAGATTGAATTTCTCAATTCAATAAACCGGCAACTTCGTGTTGGATCAATCGACAGCAAATTGCACACGAACAGACCCGACTTTCCCGCCTCAACGTTTCCATAGAGATTCTTTATTTTAGTAAATGGCTTCTTAATCTGTAGACAAATTACAACAAATGATACAAAATCACTAAACACTTATTTTAAATACTTGGCTTTTTACAGAAATAAACTAGTCCCTCGCTAGAGTTGTCACGTACTTTCTTTTTACACTGGAGTTGATACGTCTGATATCCTGATAATTTCAGTTTGTACTTTAGAAGGAAATGTACTAAGTGGCAAAACTGATAGTTTTCATGCATTTGCTATTTAAGAGATTTAGGTAACAGAAATAATCGATAAAAAATCTTAATGCTAGGTTCCCACTATCACGATACGCGGCACGATTTAAATCGTGGTCTTAATCGTTGACAAATCGTGATTATTCTATCCGATCTGTAGGGCGGCCATGATTATCCTGTAGTTAAATGGTTGAAACATTGACTACGATCAACACGATTTGGAAGGACTATTATATCAGCTCCATTGCGCTTTGTTACGATGCAATACGATCTGATACGATGACCCCGACTGACAATAATATTGTTCGCGTGTTTGTGCCAATTGTTCCGGGTGTGTTTTTCTTGATGCTCAGGACTCATTGATAAAAGTTTGAAAATTTTGACGATAACAGTTTTGGTAATGTGGATAAATCATTTATATACATAATTTTTCACCATTGATATGATACTGTACAAATCATTTGTTGTTAATAGTTGGATAACAATGTATAACATTCGTTCGAACAGAAAAAATAAGAGAGCTCCATGTAGTGTAATTGTAGAAGAGTTTTCCTGAATAATACTACAAATACAATTACAGTACATGAAAACATCTCAAAATCGATTTGAGAAAGTCAAATATCATCTAAATTACCCCCTTGCTTATCTTTTAAATCGTATTTTATTAGTGATTAGAATAAATCAAATTGGCTGGCAAGAAAACGGGAAATAAACTAAAAATGACGAGTGTTTAAAACAGTACGATATTCCCCAAGTCTGTGATTGATGGTTTAAAAACAGTTATTATAGTCTATAGATTCCCCAGCGACAAAATTACGATTTTCTTCAAGTTTTCTTCCAATTTCTATGTCTAGAACAAGTTAAACTTTTCAATTATGTATTGACGAGCATCACAAAGAGTGTCGCTTCCAACTGCTTTGAGTCCGAGTTGTTACATAGATTGCCTACAGAATGTCCTTTGTCATTTCAGATTTTGAAACAGTACTTCCAAAATCGGACAAGGTTTTCTTTCAGCAAAATTATCCCACATACATATCTAACCCCATTTCATCAGTCGGGCGGATTCACCATCCTTTTAATCAATCGTAGCCTACCTTAGTCTCCGAAACGTTTTTTTTGTAATCATTAATAGTTTTGACACCATCAAAATGTGACAAGTGTGTCCAGAATTATCCGCGTTAAAGTTAAAATGATGAATCGTCTTTTCTTCAGACTCCGTCATATATAGAGAAAAGATATATAAAGAAATATAAAGTGATAATTATCTGCTATCTATCGTTTGTAGACTTTATCTAACACATTCTAATTGGTATCAACAATCTTACAGTGACAGAATGCCTTTCCCAGTGGGCTCATTTACAGTCACGAATATTTCTTATTATCCCGTGACATCCTCTTGCTTCTATAAGCTTTCTTTTGACAGTGCTGAATGATCGGACCAAGAACATAAATATTACACACTATAACATCAAATCAAAATTATAATCTTATTGCTCACAGGCTTTAACTAGATTAAAAACATCAGTCCATACCGAAGAATTTTTACCTAAAGGGACCCTCACACCATAGGTTACAAATTGAAAAAAACGGTTGCTTTTGTTGCGTATACAAATATATTTCACAAGCAACTCAAAAGTTTCATACGCTATGGTGTAAGGCCCCCTTTAAGAAAGTTTATATATTGAAAAGCCTTTCTAGAGCTCACTCTAGACAGGTAGGATTAATATCCGCGGTGGCTCACGCTTGCTCGCTAACCTGCAGGTCCAGGGTTCAATCCCGGCATAGGTCAAGATAATCCGTGTGCTACAGACTCGACAATTGGAAATCGAAGAAGAACAGGCTAATACCACTGTCCTGGCAAAATTTCCCTCATTGCACCCTGCATGAAGTTGTCCGTCTTCACTCACCCAAATGGTACAGAAAAGTAGGAAGTAAAACTCTATTCGTTTTAAGAAAGTTTATATATTGAGAAGCTTTTCTAGAGCTACCTCTAGATAGGTAGGATTAGTACCAAGAATAAAAGGATACTACCTCTTAGAATGGACATCATTTTAAGTATCAACAAGTGTATATAGTCATTAGTTTAATTTTCTTGACTTACTTGATTGTATGGTTTTGTCACCAAGTAAGTCCACTGGTGAACAAAGACTTTAAAATTTTTTTTTTAGGTCATCCTAAAAGGTAGTAAACCTTTAACTGCAATAGTTATTCATGATTTCTGGTTTCCATTCTTTAATATCGGTACTTTAACTTGATTATTAATTCCTCTCGTTTTATAAATTGGATTCTGGTTCGAATTTATTGTTTTCTGTTCAAATCTCTTGCATTTCAACTACATTTTAATTTCTGTGCTCTTATGTTTTTATTTTCAATTAAATTGTTGATTTGTCATTCGCATATTTATGGTTGTCTCTCACGATTGATTTATATTGGAGAAGATATTTCTTCTCGCGACTTTCATTTGGTTACTTTATGTTATTGGTGTTCAATTTCTGTACTACGTGTGTAAATCACAAATGCATTTCACAATACCATAAAGTATATAGATTCATATAATTGTGCGTAAAATTGGAGTCTTCAACAACCGGAGTTGTAAGCACTCGTTTCACTCGTATATACAATATATACAATGCAGAAATCTCTTAAAGCTTTATTCTATCCCTGGAGTTGATGTAGGTAGGTAGAGTTTCTTTTTGTGATGGGACAACAAACCGGGACACAACAGTGGCTTTCACCATAAGGTGGAGGGGTCGGGCCACATATTTGCCAATGAGAGCTCACAACAAACAGATACCAACTAGATAAATGATGCTGTTATTCAATAAACAATTGATATCACTTGATAGAAAAATAAGATTTTAACCAGATTGATATTTGGAACTGTGTTTAGTATGGAACGGATATGAGCAAATGTAAGGAAGGGATCGGGTTTCCCTAATAGTCCAGCTGCTTCTGTTCTGTTCCAACCTCTGGTAGATATTTTGACAGTTGTCGGTTGGAGTAGAGTCAGACAAACTAGGCCTTGTGTTATGGGGATCATTTCAAAAAGGTTTCATGACCTAACATGGGAAACCTATTCTTAATTTTTACAGGAAAACAAACTGTTAATAGGAATTCTCCTGAAAGTAATTAAACATATTTTCTAGATAATTTTCTCAAATAGAAAAAGGTTAATTGAACTCAAACGTGACAGAAATAGTGTTCAAGACGTAATTGGTACTGCTTCAGGAATATGTAGAAGATGGAAAGGGACCTGTTTATTTGAAATGTTTAAAGTGCCATTTTCTGTCTATCTGATCTGATTAGGCGATTTTGTTGTTTCGTTTCTTGTTTTCTTGTAATAAATTCTATTAGTCTGAGGGGATTGTTATACAAAACGATATCTAGATATACCTTGAAATATGCAACTTATAAAATGACTTTAAATCTTTTAATCTACAACATATGCCTACTTTTATTAATTATTAAGATAATAATGACACAATTTCTGGGTCGAAAATAGAATGAACTCGATTTAAAGACTAATTCGTCAGATCATGGATCATTGATGGCCAACATGGTAACTCGCCACGATACGTTACGTACATATCTGTATAATTTGATGTAGGTTGATAAATCAATATGATGAAATTTTAATGTGACAAATTTCAAATGTTACAAGTATATCTGATTACTTTCAGCTGCCGTGGACGCAGGTGAATATAGATGTGATATTATATTTTATCATGGTTTTAAAAGGTTAGAACAAACATTTACCAAGACAGCAAAAATGTATGGTATGTATTTACATGTTTCTTGTAATGTAATGTAAATTCCTGTCTAGCATTGTCAGTACAATTCAACGCATAGACTGCAAAAGTTCCACAAGAAGACCTCTCTAATGACTTGTACTATTGTCGGAATTTTGCATTTTGAATGTTAGCCCTCTAGTCAAGTATTGATATCACAGTGGCTGAGAATGTGTTATCGTTAAACGGCAATCAAATTAAAATAAGATTACGATTTCTTTTCGTTATAATTTTTCTTCTGTCTCTTTTGTACGACAAAAAAAAAAAAAACAAATAAATAGATTGTTAGAAGACACTGTTTCCCATTGCAGAATGCATTAATAAATACTTTTCGTATTCAACAGAAAGCACCCTTCAAATTTTTGTATTGAGGCTTTTTCAAAAACATTTACTAATGCAACTGCATAATTATTGTTTGTATTCAAGTGCATATTATACTCGATCTAACCTTGTACATATTGTGACCCATAAACTATACAGAATATGTATGCATTGCTATCATGTTATCATGTAGATTATATCAAGAACGATCTCTACTAGGAGTTTAGTTTAATGTAGAAGAATTCTCGAGAGAGGAGACATTAGAGACAACGTCAAGATGATGATGATAATAGAGCTTCATATTTACTAGTCATTTTACCAGAAATAATTAAGATGAATTGATTTTACTGCAAAAATGTTCACGAGTTGTGATTCATGAGAAAGAGCAGGTTTTACGATTAATTCCTCAATCAATGGATATAATATTTGAATTCTCTAGAGTAACATTGTTGAGGAATTGATTAATCTGATGCTTTATGTTTTATAACTATTTTAAGTACAAATACAGTAGGCGGTAAAGGTGGCAGGCTGCAGACGATTTCATTTTGAATTTCTATACAAATTTCATGCAATGATTTTGATAAGTTTACTTCATGACCTTTTATACTATTAACAGATCGTGACAGAATTACCTTGTGAAATACCATACTAATCACGAAATAAAAACCATTGTTTTCATTTATAGATTTATTGATTGTTACTGATATTATCTTTTAAATAAAATTAATTTCCGAATAATATGATATGATTGACACTGTTAGTCAATAATGATTAATTAGGCTCTTATTTCATAAGTTCTACGAACTACATGGGAAATGACCACTGCTAAACAGGTGCAGATTGCATAAAAAATAAAATCCATCGTGTACAACTTTGACATAACATTTAAATGTAATGTAACTCGGGTACTTTTGGATTGGAAAACGTACGTAGTTAATTGTCACTTTACCTAACCAGACCGGACAATACGTATTGAATGATAATGTCAAAAATCATACTCGAAATCATCGTCTTTTTTCAGGTAAGCCGAAAATAATAGACAGTGGTACCTCAAGTAGGAAATTTACAGTGATGAAGAACGAAACTTTGAGACTGGTGTGCAGTGTTACCGGTTATCCCTCACCGGATGTCGTCTGGTTGAAAAATGGTGAGATTGTGCGAGAACAAAACATAGCCAGTTCCAAACGGGCACCATTTCTAATAACCTATACTATCAGAAACCTGTCTAAATCCGACGCTGGAGAATACGCCTGTTCGTTTGAGAATATGATGGGTAGGGCCATTAAGACAATCCAGGTAGACATAACTGGTTTAGGTGTAAACAGTGGACACTGCGTAACGTACTTTTCAATGTTCTTTCTGTGTATTTTGACTTTTGTTTTAAACGTGTTTAGTTAACATATTTATCTTTTTTATTACTCTATCGCGCTTCACTCATTAAGACATTGTAAGAAACAAAAATGGAGAAAGCTGAAAGTGTATCATAATTATTGTGCAGGTGAGGCCTGATGAAGAACCATTTCAACATAGGCGACTGTAACATTTTGATGGCGATACATTCCGTTTAGAAATTTGCTATTTGAATGAAAGGAAAGACTCGAGTGGACATAAACGAACTTTCTACTGCGTTACCTTCAAAATAACTTAGTAAGATTTTGAATGGAAGACGATCATGCTACTGCGTCTGATAATCATGGGAAGATATAAAAGCGTTTGCTTTAAACCGATTTTATCAGTTAGATCAACATATATTTAATGTATGAATCCCTTTGACCTTGTTCGATTGTTGATTTGATGCCTACGCTTTCTGGTATGAGCACGTTGGAACTGGATGTATGCCTTTTTTGGAACTCGTGCCTACAATCTGAAAGAGACCGATTACCAAGTAACCTTGTTTTCGTCTGAGCTCACCACCTGCATTGGTCTCAGAAAGGTACTGAAAAGGGAGATGATCGTAATTACTGGTTGAACTTAATGTAGCTACTTTATTAACCAATCAGATCTCTTAGAATTATTGTTCTCATATTGTATCGTTGCTAAGGAACTTGAAATATACAAATTTTCTATGTTGGCGAGCTTTCTGGCAACCAACATCAGAGCAGAGCAGCCATTGCTTCGGTGATGTTTTTCAAGGTCAAGGATAAAGTAGGTTGAATGCTGCTCATGGTCCATGAGTTGATAGTTAAAGATTTATACGGGTTTGGTCAAGTGATTGAAAGCAATGAAAGAGAACATTCAAACGCATTCCATTATTACAATCATGCTGTTCAAAATCAAATGTGCTTTATTATTTGTAAAATGTTGTGACTTTGTTCTTTATATGTAAAAATGTACATTGACTAAATGTATAACGATAGGCGAGAAAGTTATTCAATTCCATTTATGAGTGCTGTAGTCAAGAGTAATGTCTTATGCTCTATATTTTTATATTACATCAGTCTTGTTTCCTGCTTTTTAAAAGGGGAAACATTATGTGGTCTTCTCTAATAATCGTGAAATTGGGTTCTAATTCTTTAAATTAATTCGAATTTCCTGAGTAAATTGGCCCTATAAATACCATTTCTTGCTGAAAGAGGTCAGCTCATAATTCTATTCTATTCGTAGAAGCTGAATCCAAGGTCAGAAATGACCCTTTATTATTTGTTTACATGTATGACATAATTATTGTGTGTAGCTTATGAGCTTTTTACCATTTAGAAATTCTAAATAGTCAGATTAGTAATTAGACCTCTTTAATCCGATCTTTCCATTTTATACTTTAAATTTTAACTATATACTAACTTCCAAGACCTGATACATATCATTTATGGAAAATTTCCATTTATTTAGGATTCTTATACAAAATGTGTGCATGGTATTTTATCATTTTTATGAATTAAATGTTATATTATAGCTTGACATATTAAATTGTATATTTTCAATATTCCATTCTAAATAAATTCGACCTTTTCTTGCCGCATTTGCATTTTATTCCTCTTTTGGTGTTAAGTTTATCTCTAGTTGTACGTATGGGCACTGCCCATCTTGTTGAACAAAGATACTATTTTCATGTCCGAGAGTAATGCTTTTGTTATCCATAAATCTCAAAATCCCGTAAAGCTCTTTAACATTCGGCAATTCTCGGCAGTTTCCGTAAAGCTGTCGAGTAGCAGCGTAATCTTCATGGAAAACCGTTTGAATCTTAAATGATATTATTATTATTTTGGTTTAAGGAGTATAAAGTGGTGAATATCAGTGACAGATTGAATATTGGCGGGAGATTTGCAGGTGATAACATGTACATGATATATTGAGTGTAGACTAAAAGAATAATAAACTATAAATATTGATTATATAATACATATACACTTCCAATCAATCATCAACTAGTTAATATCTTTATCCAAGTTTCATATACCACAGCTTTTCTCTCAGGATAAATCACGTGCAGCATTTGACTTCTATTATACTCTGATTCGTATTCTCTTACTGTGTACCATATTAAGCTGTCTTTGGTGGCCCTTACCCGAACATATGGCCACCGCTGTGCTTCACTAGCCCTATTAGCTGCCCAAATCCAGGTCGTAAGAACCAATCCATTCCATCGAACATTGTCTTAAAGGGATTCACAGGTACATTGTACAAATGCACAACAGTGTCAAAGAACTTTCTTTGTTTTATGGAAGGCATCAGCATTAAGATGTACGTGTAACCACCTTATTCCCGTCTGCATTGTGAACAGTTTGATTTTAAACTGACTTTAAAGTACCTACTGATGTCAAGATATTAGACGGAGTTCTTGAAACCTTGGCAATGTGAAGATCCAATTCCTTATTCCACGGGCATAGCTGAGAGATTAGAGAAAATTTCAAACAATCAATTCAAGGAGCGATTCAGTCCGATTACACATACACTTAGTAGGTGATTTTCAGACGTCTTGTAAACATGGGAACAAATATTATCGATTGCCTTATCTAACCATTAACTTCGTGAATTCGCAGATTGTATGCAGATGGAACAAATTTGCAAACTTCAATTATGTAGAGTAAGCCTTCTTGACAATCAGTTCCATAACATAATATTCCCCAAATAACTTCGTGTGTTTGACAAAGCACTGTTTGATTCATTAACATGTTCCTTCCGGATTTTCTGCTCTTACCACAAATCACAATTATATTTAAGGGGAAATAACCGGATTGATAAAGGATTTAGATGCAGAAGTTATATCCATGGCTTTTCTAAATTGCAAAATATTTGCAGAAACGACACGGCTGAGAATCTTTGTGTAACCTGTGATGCATTTTGTCAAGGAAAGATGTCGTCTCATTGCATTAACAAACATAATTCAACAAAGCAACAAGCTGATCTTGGTCAATTATGGATTGCTTTAGTATACATGTACTTTATTACAACAAAAGATAATGACTGTAATTTCACAAATATAACTTTATTGCTTAACAAAACATTTAACAATTTCAGAATTATAAAGGTTCAATTTATGTCATGGCCTTGTGTACTGTATATTCGATGTTGTAACAGAGACAAATAACAATATCAAATAGGTAGCTTATATGCATTATACCACAAAATACTCCCTTAACTAACATTACTTAACAAGCCACGACCACAAAACAAAAGCGTTACGTGATGTGGTCTGATTTTTTAAAGACTTAAATTCGGACTAAATTTACATATTGGACCTACTAATTAGCACATCAAAGCGCTTATCATTAGCAATATTAAGCACGGAATTGAGGCATTTGGTAGCATAATGCAAAGACAACCGAAGAACACTTCACAATATTTTCATATTATACACCGTAGATTTTCATTTTAGTAATTAAGTTTATAAGACTCAAGGGCTGACCTTGATGACCTTGATGACACATTATAGCATAATAAAATAGCAGGATAACACATGTTTACAGTTGTTTATTTCACAAAAGCCTAATATTAGGTCTGAAAGAAAGCTTGTACTGTCCTTTCTTGTATTGAAATTAACATTTAACAAATTAAACATGACTGACAATAGAAAAACAAAACAATGAATTACCTCCCCTTAGAAGACAATGCCAACAACAACCGACATTTTGTCTTCTTCAACCTGAACAATAGATTGTTGTTTAGAATGCTCTTTTCCTGTCTTTTCAAAACCAACCAAAACTCTTCCCAAAATAGTTTTTTTGGTTGTTACTAAATCTGTACACCCGACTTCCCAGAGTACCAATATCACCAAGATATACATCATTTCCGTTTGGTGATACAGTTACATCGTGTGGCTGCGAATCAACCTGTACAAAAAAACAAAATAGAAATTTTGAAACAAATCTTTCACGAGAACAACGAGGGCATTAATACAAGATGGCATAGTGTTGAGATTAAATGAACTTAATATGCAATGTACTTACTGATTTTTCAATGATACCAAAAGGCAATTTCTGTCCTGTTGACATGTCAATAGCAAACCCACGAGCATTCAGATTGTTGGTTGACGGATCAACTACGGCATACATCAATTTATCTGGAGTAAATACAAATCATATACTAGATAGAATTCTCGAAGGAGGATTTGGGAATGGTACTTAGGAAAAGGGTAAGGCCTAGACAGAGTTGTTGCTTGTTAGTAAAATGGTGGGGAATTGGTGCCATAATATTTTTTGTTGGCTGGCCAGTGTATACAGAGAAAATCAACATTTCACCAACATTCTTTCAAACTTTCTTTCCAACTTGTCATGTGACTCATGTGATTGACAGAATAGCAACCATGTAGATAGATGAGTATAATAGCATTGATTTCCCTAAGTGATGAGGAAACAGAACCGGTATGGACCGGTATGGTAAAATTATTCCAAAGGCATATTGAATATCAAAAATAAACACTTACCAAGGGGACTGTACTCAATAGCAAAAACTCTTCCAATTTCGTTTGGTTGAACCAAATAAATAGTTGGTTCACCGGTTTTACTTGGATCTTGTATACCAGCATTGTAACATATAACCCTATAATAATAATGGGTGTCGTAACACTATACATGCAGATGCAGCTCAGTTCATCATATAATCACAAGCATAGTGGTCATTGATATCATGAGAATGACAATCTTGAGTCATATTGTAAAACACAAATCCTTTCAAGGACAGATGAACACAGTGAAATGTAGGGCTATTCTATTCTATACCTTATTTTGTTTACATAATACATAGGTTGAGAGATATAACATTATACCTTCTATCTTCACGGTCAGCAACACACAATACATCGTGATTTTCAATTAGAGACAGACTATGAGGTATTTTAAACATGTCATCGACCAGTTCTTCACCTGAAAATATTAATTTTACTTACCAATAAAATCAACAGAAACAAATTAGGTTCATGGCAATAACTCAGTCATATTGAACAAAATTGATTATCTTTGTAATAACAGATACTTTAAAGGTTTCAAAATACATACCACTATCTCGACTTCGACCCCATTTGTTCAACAGAGTTCCATTTTTAGAGAACTTCAAAATTCTGCTGTTACAATACCTGAAGAATTATATATGAAAAAATGAAATCTCATTCTAAACAAAATATATTATGCGCAATAGCAGTATTCTTATGTCAAAATGCTTTTACACGAGATCCCTTTTGAGGAGATAAGTTCACTTTGATAAACAGATAAATTCCTCACCCGTCAGCAACAAAGAAATCTCCATTAGAAGCCACTGCCACATCTGTTGGTTTACAGAAGGTGGTATCCGAATCACCCGGTATGAAAGCTGTACCAAGAGTCAAGTCAGCCGATTTAGCACCAGGTGGGAATCGGAACACTTGATGTAAGGCCACATCTGTTAACCAGTGGTTGCCTTCTGCATCAATAGTCAGTCCATGAGGCATGTAGAACCTACAAATACATAAACTTATTAACTAAATTAAAAAAAAAAAAAACTTTCGTATCACGAATACGGGTTTTGACATGGTCTTATTAACCCCGAGGAAGTATGACGAAGGAAGGGGGGGGGGGGGGGGAGGTTCCGACACGATGACTTCAGTCAAAGTCATTATAAAATGTTGTAATGAGAAAGTGAAAGTGCTAAAATTACATCACTCATATAGCCAACCATGTAAAGCTTCAGATGAACAGGATGAACATAATACATATAAGGCAAAGGCAACAGCCGGAGTTGACAACACTAAATCAAAAACTATAATCTTCTATGACTATTGTAAAACTATACACTAGGACTAAGTGCATCTTCATAATGTCAAGCTGTAAAGACGAAGTTCGTTACAACTTGCTATTGTGAAAAACGACTAAGGTATAATAAATAACTTACAAGTTGCTGCCATGACTATTGGTCTTTTTACCAGTTTTGGTATCGATGTGAACCAACGTATCATTAACAATTGGCCCTAAACTTTTTAATGCGTATGTGTTATCACTGTTAAATGTGCTGAAATGGTAAGAACAATTCTTTCTTCAACATCAAATTATACGAACAGAAACATTTCACAGTGTTTTCTCAAATCGTTTTGTCTTCTCTTCCGTAATACAGTGACACGACTCTTTTAGTGGAAAATGTCAAAACACTACGGAATGTTTTGATAACCGAAAGTTTTGTCTTTTAGACCATGAAATTTGGTTTAAGTGATAAAATAGACTTACTCCCATGACCATCGCCTGTTACCTCGATGAAACACAACTAGGTTATCATTAGGTGCTACAGCTAAACCACCAACCTGGCCTAGTTTAATTTCTGCATTGGGCCAATGACTGTCTTCTAAAAGTGCCTGAAATGATTCAAGATAATTTACCCTTTTTATCCATAAAATTTACCAGGGTCAAAAAGGTGACAGAAAAACAGATTTTAAATCTCTTATTGAGTCCTGTTATCCATTTCTGTTCTCACATCACTGCAATTGACATTCTGCATACTGACATAGGCCTACCTAAAAATCAAAATCGGGAAGGTCTCCTGCTGAAAATTGATTCAAGAAATTTGAAATGTTGCATTTAAGAACTCAGATTACAAGAATTTCATGCATGGAATATAACTTGAACTGAATTATTGCGTTTTAATTTTTGATCATCGTGTTGGTGTCATAATCCACTTTTGACACCATGAAAATAACTTTGATGAAAATCTTTGATTATGTTCCTATAATTCGAACTAAAATATAAGCTACATTACCTCTCTTGGTCCATCATCCCGGTACAATTGGTATAAACTGTCCCTGAGATCGTAGCCTGCTTGATTGGGGTAGGCTCTGGCGAATACTGCCAGAGTAGCCACTAAAACACATTGAACAGTGAACAACATATTGTCAGTAAACGTCACTTAACAGACTATCTCTGTTCTATATCTAGCTTATCAGCCTTAGGAAAATATTGTACCTTTTTTTTATCACCTGGTTTGTTATAAAAACAATCCCACGAAATTCATGCGATCACCAAATTATATGAGTTCTTATTTTGACGCCATTGTTTACTGAATTTATTATTATAATTGGAGAAACTGTGAATGACGTCTGATATCTTATTAAGGACGTTCTTCTTGTTACCATGGATACCATTATTGATCTTGTCGTTTTGACTCGGGGTAGAGTGTAAAGGGAGAGAACTGAGTCTAATTAATGATCGATATCTGTTGATTGATAGAAGTACTAATTTGATTCATTGATTGTGTTTGAAGGTATAAACAAGTTATTGCTGACAAGGGGATATCTTACCATGGATCATAAATCATTTGTACATAATCTGTTTCTCCCAGTACTTGATTGCTCTTCTCTTTCTGTAGGCCTATTGTTCTAGACAGTTAAACCGCTCACACTAACAACAATGGGCTTTCAAAAGTAGGATGGTGCAGGTAACTTTGACATGTGGAAACCTTACGAAGTTCAAAGAATTTGTAGCTTTGTTCAACCTTCCCCGACATCCTTTCAATCTTTTGTAACATCAGGCTATTTGCAATCTGACTTGTACATCCCTGTACTGATACTTGGTATTTAATTTTTGACCATTCAAGGTCTGCTCAATGTATTCGATTTTGTAAACCCTTCTAAAATGTGTGTATACTGTTTGCATTTGAGTGTTCATCTTTAAGGAACTAGAAGACACACATGCATGTATTTGAATTTGGATTTGTACATGCTTTGAATCATCAAATATCACTACTTCGTGAGTCTCTAAAGACACTTGTCATTCTAATGCTGTCTCTCCTAAACACCTACAAATCTTATGGTTCCAATCATCTTTGATAAAAATGATTTACATTTGGAACGGATTTGTTAACCCACTGGCATTTTCAATTTGCAGTACGTCTGCAACACTTGTAACTTTTGATGTGTCCACCTTTACGTTTAGCTCAAATTTGTCAACCCTCTGCCATTCTATTTTTCAGTAGATTTTTGTAGATACCATGCTTCTGAAAAGGGAACATGAAATGCCTACAGTGCTAATAGTTGCCCTAATGCATACACTCTATTCTTTTATAAAGAGTGTATTTATTCTACTCCCTTTTTTAATCAGAGATAGTTACAATAGATGGAAGTATTAACAGGAACCGATAGAAAAATCATGGTTTTTTCGTGCATGAAAAGAAATCTCCTTCAATTGTTCGTCTTTGAGACAGTTTGTCTCCAAAAGGATGATTAACACTATGATTCACAAGGATCAAACAAAAACTGCTGATGTAATCAGTTTGAATCACTGGCTCACATGGAATAAATCAACAACTTGAATTCTAATCAGACTTCTTTAATGTTCATCGTATAAGGAAATTGTCAAAATCGAAACATTGTGTTTGAAGACTGAAGCAACTAATGTCTGTCCTACAGTACAATATCTAAGATAGTATTGGTTCTATCTAATCTATGAACACTTGGAGAAGAGATGTAACAATTTGGCTATATGGAGCGAAACTAAATATCGATTCGTCCTTCAATCCACACTGCGTTTTGCTCTGATTAATAGGCTCGTTATAAGCCTCGAAAATTCAGTCGGGATTTGTTATTTCTACAGACGCGTTGTGGAACCATTTTTGCGGATATTACGTCACGATATTGAAAATTGCTGGGCTGTCAGCGTGTGAATAGTAAAAAGTATTGAATGCAAACAATGGATGTATAAAGAAATACAGCAATAAGTATATGATAATGGATTTGTACTCTCTTCAATGGTTATGTAGATTATTACTGGCGTTTTTAACCACTAGTAACTGTAAGTAGAAATTTTCATATAGGTGAGACGCCATGCGAGTTTATATTAGAGATCAATAGACATTATACATTGACATTCTACTTGACTATATCTAGAAAATACTACCATATTATTATATCATTTCTTTTTATGTTCGTGTCTTCCGTATTCGAACATTGCAATGCTGTGTAAGCAATTATAGTATGCTTTGATGTGTTAACTCAAAGAATCATATGCATAAACATAAGCAAAGTGCAATGACACATGGAAAGGTTTCATAGCATTTGTTTGTAATAGTCGAATGCAAAAATGACTTGTCAGTATCTGCAATGGCTAGCTTGATTTGGTGGTTAATTTCATCAAAATGAATGATCGATAGTAATAAACCAAAAGATCCCGGATCAGTCAACTGTTTAGGACCTGATTTACATAATATATATTTGGGAATGGGGTCAGCTATATCTCCATGTTGCCATAGTGTTAATCTTGGTCGCATTAGTTAACACAAGTGGTATTGACCTTTATTGATTCATGTAAGTTGTCTTCTAATGGAACACATGATTCTACATTCTCTGAAATACATCAGGCTTACGCTTCATATATCATCCCTATCCAAGTATATGCCGTACGTTTCACGTGATATCGTTTCAAATATTCACAAAAGATATTGCCATGATATTCGTGTTATCAGTTATAAATGAGAAGTTTTCAGTGATATTAGCCAAGATAGTTTATAAATGAACCACAACAAAGTAAAATATTCAAAAGTCAAGTGCATGTAACTCGACAGCAGCGAGTTTGGGGTAAAATGAAATTAAAATTCTGTGTTGAAAGTATCAATTTCAAAATCGTGTCTAAACGGTCATAATGTAGATTTCCACAAGATGTAGAGCTGTTCAGAAATGCACATGTGATAAGACAGATTTTAACCATATACGTGGGTAAGATCAAACGTTTTAAGCCCAAAACAGATATCTCCATCAGATTGAAACAAATTTTTGCCACCAACAACTAGAAACATTTAATGAAGAATAGTAACTGTTATGCTACCCATTGAAACCACTAGGGATGGACAAAACTGGCTTTAGGGCAGTAATCAAGTACCTGCAACGGAAGAGTTAACTCTAATACAGATGCATGCTGACGAAGATGTTTCCCCTTACTTTTCTTCTGAGACAGCAAAGAGAGTCTGGATAACCAACGTCCAGGAAGATCTTAAACATCAACAGCAACTGTAATCTGGTTGCATGATATGGTGATGGCTGATCGACGATTGATAACCCACCATACTGCCAGTGTTCTGGACAAATATTATGAGAGGATCACCGAGAACACATGTTAAGTCCTTGTGTTCAGATGCACATGCCTTGTAGGTTTGCATTACATGATATGTGCAGTATTCCATGAACACAGAATCTCACAATGAGTATATCCATGTCGTGTGGCATACATTCATGGGCTTCAGCTGCTTGTAAAAAATTACCACCTCAGATAATATTATAACTTTATGGTCGTAATGTCATTAATTCATCATGCTTTATTTTATTTTTCAGGCCAAATTCTAACAACGAAACCTGTATCCAGGGTATTAGATGTTGCTGTGGGACAGAAAATCAGTTTATCATGCATGTACCAGAGTGACTCGGTGTCTATAAAATGGTTTAAGAATAATCAAAATGTGGAAAATCTAGGCTTTGTGTTGTATGATAAGGCATATATTGATGACAATAATCAAGATATAGTGGAAGTAACTGCTGTCAAAGACAAATCACATTTTAATGATGCTGGAAACTACAGATGTGTTTCTGGTGATCAGGAAAAAACATTCCAAGTTCGTGTCACAGGTACAGTATCATAGAGATCAGTCTCTAAGTCGTCTTTTTACGATTTTGATTCTGAATATTGTCTTTTATTCCTTATTGCAATCGTTGACATGTATCACGCTCGTATTAATTAGTTTATCATCATGGAAAATGGTCTATGGACATAGGTCAAATTGCAGTGCCTGAAATTCTTTCAGAGTAACCCTATCTGACAAAGCAAAAATCGTTAAAAATCAGTTTCCTGTCAAGGAGGTTAATTTAATCTACGAGTTTACGATGTTTCTTTTATGGTTTGCAAAAAAACCTTAATACAGCAGAGATTCATGTTCCGAAAAATCCACCACCTTGCACCAAAAATTTAAAATGTTCTCATTCTTCAGCAAAGGTTTACGCTGTTTCTAATATTTTTATACAGCATTATCCCATTGCAACGATTTAAGACGTTCTAAGCATGTCTACAGTGATGAATTGGGATGTTCTTATATCATACAGCAACGACGTTTTACGATGTTCCAAACATCTCCTACAACAACAGTTAACGATGATGTCATCTACCTACAAAAACGTTTCACGATATTCCTTGTATCCTCCTACAGCAATCGTTTACGATGTTCCTTGCATCTCCCTATAGCAACGGTTTATGATGTTCCCAAAATCTTCCTACTATAGTAAATGATGTTCTGAACATCATCTCCCTTCAGAAACTGTTTAAGACGTTCTTATCATTCCTACAGCAATGATTTAAGATGTCCTAAACATCTTCTACGGCAATGGTTTACGATGTCCTTAACATCTCCTACAGCAAGGGTTTACGATGTTCCCAACATCTTCCTGGTACAGTTAATGATGAACAACATTTCCCTTCAGAAACGGTTCCCAACATCTTTCTACTACAGTCAATGATGTTCTGAACATCATCTCCCTTCAGAAAATCTTTAAGACGTTCTTAACATCTCCTACAGCAATGATTTGAGATGTTTTCAACATTTTTGTTTTCTGCAGCAACAGTTTATGTTCTACACAGTAAGCTTTTAGATGTTCCAAAAAACATCTTGAAGCATTGACACTGCTGTTTATCCTTCAAAAACGGTTTACATCTAACATTTATATTTAAAAGTTGATAACCTATAATGTATGCGTAAATGATACATACAAAATTACTAGATATTTGCAGACGTTTGATCGAGGATCCGGATATCTTATTGAAAATAAAGTTTTAACTCAATTATATCCATTCTGCCTGGAACTGTACCGTGGTTACACCATTTATTGCTGTAAAAGTAATAATTTTGTGGGGAAAAAAACATCGGAAAGAGTAGTTAACGCGAGTTTTTTTTATATTTAATATAGATGTCTTCAGACAACAGAATATATTATATGCGAGTATATCTATTTTTATCAAGCAATCAAGCAATTATTTGGTTTAATTCGACATTAAGTTATGAATAAATATGAAAAAATAAACTTGCTATTTGACTCCGAAAAGTGTGTCGAGTTGGCAAACAAATGGCCAGATATACAGGAAGTGTAAGTCCTACCTCGCCAGAAACAGTATGCGCAGTCCCTGTTTCGAAGGGGATTAAATATAATACATGTACAAGATCTTGAGTCAAAATGCCTGCCAAATGCAATGTCTAGTGTATCCCTAATATAGTTTAATACGCCGCCCCTTTCCTTCTGGTAAGATCAGATTGACACATTCCAAGGTTTGACCATCGAAAAAGGGTTATTTCCGCTATACCAGGTAGGATTTCCATAACAGTGGGTTTTTGCAATAAGTACAAATTGGTCAAATCACAACAAAATAAATGGTTATTTCCTTGCCATACATCTTTCTCTTAGTGGTAGACGACAATTTAAAAAAAATGACTAAAAATAATTCGAAAAAATATACACGGGAAGATAAAATTGAATACTACCAATTTATACGAGTAAATGTATTTTATCCCCTTGAATGGCATTATAGCCACCTTATTAAAATTGCATGGTTTCGTGGCAACAAACCCAATTAATGTAGAAAGTAATGATGTTTTTCCATCAAGATGAATAATAGATATTGTGGTGCTTTTGGTTGATTAATAGTAAGCTGTACCTTTGTACAAATAATCACATTATTGTCACCGACTATTGTGTAACAAAAGCTCGCCCTCGCCTATGATGTCATACAAACATGAAACTTTAAGACAATCCAGCTGATCGAACGTATGATCTATACATGTATTTTTAATCAAAGTATAGAAAATTCCTCGGAGGAAAAATTGTCTTCATTAACACCTGATACTTGCTGTTTTAGCTTGATCAAAGCCATAAAAATTTTAAAATATCTCTTCGCTGTGAAATCAAACAGCCGCACACAAATTTATACTAAATTCATTATAAATTTCCGTTTGCAGATGTGTGATAACATCTTTCAAACTTGAACTGTGTGGGTGGGGGGGGGGGGGGGGTATGAGCACCGAAAGTGCGATATTACGAGAGGTTCTTGGTACCTTCCCCGGTCGGGAAGTTTTAAGGAAAATAAGTCATTATTTAGACGCTTTTCAGTTTAAGACCCGATATTTTCTGATGAAATATATATAGGCCTATTTGAACCCTGCGGGGGCATAATAGTTTCTCTAATGTTTAGGTCCAGTTTATCAGGTCCAAATTTATTTCATGATAGGGGAGGTAATTATCACAAATTACAAAAGAGAATTTTTCAATAATCAAGGGAGACAACTCTAAACCAAACATTTCATATTTTGGAACGCTTCAAATTATTTTGAGGCCTTTATTTATTTAACGAATAAATTTAAAAATATCAGGTCGGACACAAAGCAAATTCCTATGAATACTTGGCTCTAATTTTAGATATTGTGAAATGCTATCATATTTCCGGTGGCATCTAATCATTTGTTAAAAAGGCTGTAGAAGGGCTTAGTCAGCCGTTATCTCCTTAATTTTGTTCCTAAAAAAAGACAACGTATAGGCATGGTATGGGGTAGACGATTTGGTTAGTGATTTATATAGATCATGAAAGCCTAACCCACCCTTCGGAAAAATTCGGACACACCTATATCCCAATATTGATATTAGTTTCAATCTATCAATGTTGATCCTCCAGGACTACTTCCGTGATCCACGACGAACCCATCTTTACAATAGTCAAAATATACGTCTCCATCTTATACTTTGACTGCAATGCCCACTTTATTGTTTCACCGAAGTGTGTGAATGCATCAATTTGTTTGGACTGTCGGCAAGCGAATACAATCAATCTCAGCCCTCAACACAAAGACTGTAAAAAAAATAATTACGTGTGACATCGAGGCCTCTGATATTCGCCTGTATTCGTTGGCGTACAAACTAATCAAATCGCTGGCTTAAAACAAAGAAGTGTGCCATTGAAGACAAGGTATAGGATGAAGATGAAATACATGACCTTCAAGATGCCACCAACCCCACTGACACTCTCCCGATCCGGATATTTTACTTCCACTCCCCCTCCCCTGGCCTAATATTAGCATGTATCAGGCCTACATGATCGACTTCTTAGAGAATTTGTAGAATCGCAGCCTATAGACTTATACATGTACTTAATTTTTGCTCTCCAAAAGTAGTTTTAATAAGCCTAAAAAATGAAATTGTGCAAGTGGTACAGTATTTGAGCAAAACATTTGCTTTGTACTAGTATAGATAAATGTAAAAGTTTGGCTTATCGTTATATAGAATTAATAATCAGCAGGTAGCCTAATTCTATGCCAATCTTTACTTAAAAGTTTTCGGCAAAATTATTCATGAAACATTTTTTTTTAAAACGGTTTTACTAAATCTTTTAGTGGAAATATTTTAGAACGCATATAACCAGATTAATTACGAAATCCAACAACCTTTCTGCGTCTATTTAATACAGAGCAAGGATCATTTTATTTACGACCAGTTAATTGATACAGACCATAACTTTTTTACCGCAAGGTCGAATTACAATGCGCATGCGCTCCTATATTATAATACATCGTCCATGTTGAATTTTGTGAGAGAAGACGAATAACTGAGGGTATAAATTTTGTGTTGCCATTGTGAGATATTACGATTTAAGAATATCTCAGGATGGCGAGAACATCGATGATGATTAGTCTTTTAGTAGCCATTACTTTGGTTGCACGTTGTAAGTATTTATAGAGAGATTTTTAGTCCTTTTTTCGAACAAGTTGAAACATATATTTCCATTTCGTCATTTCATTTGGAGAGGCCTATTTCTCATTGGCACGAAGCCTTTCCGATCAGCTGATCTGGGACAATGACCCATCGTCGTTAAACCTATATGCGTAATTGAAATAATAGGAAAGATTAACTTACTTGTACTGAATTTCTCATAGATTACATTAACAAGCATAGTATTTTGTCGATGACATTTATTTTTTTAAGGTAGATCCAGGATTCTAGAATCTAGGCCTGAATTATAGGTATAGGTTGTAATGTAAGACTTTTTGTATGGTTGGTCACTGTTAGGTTGGTATGTACAGCTGCCTGGAGAAAGAGCTAAAAAGAAACACAGTTTGTTATATATGTTTGAGGATAGCAGCATTGCTGTCAATGTGTTCGAAACTTTTTTTTAATGTTGCAAGAAACTAGAAATGATTGATTTTGACCCCTTCTTTTGCAGTCATTTTTGGCATTAGTCTGCAGTGGCACTCTACAAAGAATTTTTTTTATTTTCAAAATGCTTTTCATTAGATCAAATGCAAATTAAGGCTGCCATTTTAAGCCGTCTAAATGATGTCATACTGGATAACAATTGTACAAAGGTTTTGAAGAGTTGATAATCAGCTAGTCATGCAAAGCAATTTCATCATTTGGTGTTTTTCATTTACAATATCCAACATAATACTAAATGTATGCAGTCTATGTAGGCCTACTAAGTAATCCAAATTCATTACAATCCCAACAAAATATTTTTCCATATATCTCTTTATTGATATTTCCATACTTTTAAGTGTGAAAACATTAATAAAACTGACATCTATACTTTTTTGGGGTAGGATTTAGAAAAACGGTCCGAAGTTCGATGTATTACTTACAATTGAGTGACATATATAATTAGTGTGTTATTATAAACTATTTGCTGTATTGTGTGGTGCTAGTAATTTGGTTAATTTATGGCTTTTATAAAGTATAGTGATAAATTATTTGGTAGTATAATAAAATGATAAGGTAGTGGCATGATATAAGTAGGGACATAAGCTATTTGTCTCCAGTGCCTCCAGCTTTGTGTCAGTTGTGATAAATAGGTGGATTAAAATTAACAATTGAGTTGCTGTTTTACGCATTTTTCTTTCAATCAGTATAAAGTTGGCTGCTCATGCGAGCTTATCGTGTTTTGACCAGAACTTACCAGTTTATATGTAACACAATATAGAGAATAAATGTTTATTCATTGACCTGGTTTTATTGCTTAAAATAGGTCAATGTTTCTTTCAGAAGTAAATAAATGTTTTGTGTTGCATTTTAACTCACTTTTTTCTAAACATTAAAAATACAGCTGTTGTAGACTTTTTTTTGGTTTTCCATTATCATTACTATGGTTGGGTTACATTCAGACAAATATGTCAAGCCTGGATGGGTTTAGATGTACTTGGATGTTGGATAGGAATAGCAGTATTGTATATTTGCTGTGAACTGAAAAGCTGACTCATTAGAATTTTCTACTCATCCATTGATTCATATTTGAACTTTTTGCACTGTATGCGTTTATATATTTGACAATTTTTTCAGGTTATGGTCTAGCTCCAAGTATTGAACCAGCAGCGGCAAACATATTTATTGTCGAACCTGCTCAGATTAACATCACCTGCACATTTACTGGTGATACTGGTACATCTGTCCAATGGCAAAAAGGTGGTCAAGTGGTTGAAGATCTAGGGTTTAGTGTGAATGCTGTGAGTAGTACAGCTGGAGGACAAAGGACCACTACAAAAAAAGCCATTAAAGCAACTTCATCTCTGTCAGATTCTGGAGAATATAGATGTATTGCTGGACAAGAATCATCTACTATTTATGTTGAGGTCTTCAAAGGTATATACACATTCTTTTATCTAGATCAACTTGGGTTTATGCATGACTTCAAATAAGACTAATTTGTATATATCTCTTCTGAAGTATTTATTTTTAGGGTAGGTGTATGAATTCAGTCTAAAACTATTTTAGGGAGAGAGTTTTTGTGGCATGCTTGCAAACTAGGGTTAGGGTTATGCCATGGTCTACCTTGTCCTATTATGATTTATTATTATAAAATTTACCATTAGTACCTACATCTCAAGTACCACATAAGATGGATAGGCCTATATGACTGTTTCACAAGCTGCTTAAGACAAGCAATCCATTAAAATGTAAGAGAAAATTGTACTTAACTTCTTCTCTATAGTGCTTTTATTCAAACTGACGGCCTTCAAAAATTTTCCTTGCTATCCAATAATTGTTTTATTGTATATGTAGTTGAAACAAAAGAAGATGTTTACCAATATCCTATGGAGGAAGCTTCATTGGCCTGTAACCCTACTGTACCAGATATTGATAATAATCCAGTTAAATATCAAAAGAAATGGCAGAGGAATCATCAAGATTTGACTACATTTGAAGATCATGAAACAAAGTACACAATTTATGAATCTAATTTTACTCTTGTATTGAATAAACCAAGTAAGTTGATATGCTAGTTTTTAACTTGTCTTAAATTCAACTATTGCCATTTGCTGATCACAAAACCTGGTTATGGCAATGGTCACTTCTAACTGGTTTTGAATGGTTAAAATGATTACTGTCAAAGTTGACATAGAATGACCTGGTCTCATGAAATGATCAAAATTTGAAGCACACAATCATTTCATTAACCAAGCTTGCATTTGCCTCTAATTTCAGGAAGAGATGATGCTGATGCTTATCAGTGTGTTCTGATGATTCAAGATCAATCGGCCAATAACAGTACTTTTGATGTTTCTATTGATGTCAACTTTTATGGTAGGTAGAAAGACTTTGATTATTTTAGTAATTTCAGTGCAGGACATTTAATGTTAACATTGAACTGTTTATAATGTCCCTTCCTTTCTGTAACTGGTATAAATGATGATTTATTGTTTCAATATGAGCTAAGGATGACTTAAACTTGTTATTTTGATGTGTTTCAGCTACACCATATGTGAAGAAATTTGATAAATCCAAAAATCTGATCCAAGGTGATCCATTAGAAATTAAGTGTGCAGTACTTGGATATCCTAGAGCCAATGTAACATGGAAGAAAGATGATGTTATATTAGAGGCTAATGAGAGAATAGTATTTAAACCATATGGTGGAGTAGACAACACTATATTATATATTGAAGAAATAGAATTTGAAGATAAAGGAACATACATGTGTCATGCTGCAGTAGCCGCTGGTATAGCAAATGGTACCTTTAATCGTACTATAGTAGTTAGAGTTAAAGGTATGTACAAGATATTTTCATAATAGGAATGTGGGATAGACATGTTGCTTTTGGGCCTGGTTATATGTAACTGGCCAGCCCAGTGAGCCGAGCCAGCTCAGTTACCTGGATTAGACTTTTTCCTCTCTATATGAACACGAGCTGGCACTTATTCTGTTTATATGGTATGAAGTTTAAATCAGCATAAATAACAAAAATGGTGCCTTAATGTAATAGCTTAAAATACTGATGGTGTGCAAACCGATTTTCGGTACATATTTGAGTGCATATCATGTTCTCTGTCAACAACAGGATGGTATATGCGTCATGTTGCTACTTGTATATCATGTTGTTGTAGTCATGTAGGTTAATAAAAGTGTGCTTGATGCATGCGCTGGCCAGGTTTCCCCACCTTCCATATAAATGCATTTGAGTAAACAGTAATCTGAGTGGATGACAAATTCAAAATTTAAATCTAAATCAGTTATTGATCTGTTGATTAGGGCATTAGAATCATCATCTAAGGTTAAGTTTAAGAGAATAACTGGTCTGAGCTTAAAATTGCTTAATTATATGAAATATATGATGTAAAATAGTGCTCAGGAAACTTTTCTATTGTTTTCCTGATTGACATTGGGTTTTCATTTCTTGTTTATAGATAAATTAGCTGCATTATGGCCATTCCTAGGAATAGTAGCTGAAGTTATTATTCTATGTATAATCATATTTATTTATGAAAAGAAACGTAGTAAAGATGATAATTCTGATGATGATGATACCAATGTAAAAGGGTGAGTGATTTTTTTTTTAATATGATTTGACTTTAAGAGAAGATTAAAGGAGCAGCATCTATTCTTGTTACTTTGTTGACCAGAATAATGGTTTATTCCCATTCTCACCCCAAAATTGATGGCAGATGATGGCACAGTTTATTGAATGTCGTCAGTTTGAATCGATCCAAAAGTTTTCTTGTACTGTGTTGAATGCTTCCAGAGTCTTCTTCTGAGATTTTCTACGACATGAACATGCAGGTCCGGAGCCGACATGGAAGACTGCCATTGTCCGTGTTAAAAACTACTTGACATTGTCTGCCTTTAGTAGCCCAGTGCAGAAAAGTAGGGCGTAGAATTTTAATCATTTCATTTCTTATTGTGCACCACCTTAAGTTTTTACATCCTTTTGGTACTATATTTCAGAGCCAGTACAAATGCAGCTGAATCTAATGAAGTAAGACAGAGAAATGTTAGAACCTAGAGATTATTGAGTACTCTTTTCCTTCCTACCATGTTCATGTTCAAAAAACAGATTTCCATGTTGGCTTAAACATACATAATTACTGAGAGAACTGTCTCGTTTGTTATGAAATTTTTTTAGTGAAATAACTTGATTCTAAATTGAACAGTTTCTGTCTGATTGGGTATTCCTGTAGAACACAAGCTGCCATGTTTGTTTGATTGAACCGTGTCTTTATATTCGAGGAATGTTTTATAAATGATCTTGACCCTGTAGTAAAATATATTAGCATTGGTTATAGATGAAGTCTTTCTGATTATTTACTAATAGCTTGTCTTTCCTGTATCCAACTATTCATAGTGTGAAAGTACATTGAGAGTGTGTTTGTATGTGAGACTACAAAATAGAGTGACTTTTAGTTGTTTTTTTCTTTTTACGATAATTGTTTTTTTTGACTCAAATTATGTCAGTTTTTAGTTTGGTATAATGGCTATACATGTTGCTCAGAGTGAACATTTGTATTTGATTGTATAATATAAAGATATAATTGTATAGCTATGTATAATAATTAGGATGTGTTATATTAGTTATTGTATTTAATAATTGTAGTGTTAGCTGGACTCTCTATTAACTCACTTCAAATCATTCTACATTCCACCTAAGTAATCCAAATCACACCAAGGAATGTAGCACAAAAAGTAAAAACTATTTCAGTACTTGTGTATTGTTATGAATTAAATGTCATTGGCAGTTAAAATTATAATAAATATCTATAGATTCTATTAATAAACCCATTTATTATTGAATTTATTGTTATATTTATATTATATGTAATAACAATGAGTGTATATAGGCTCTTTGTTAATGATATAACTTTATCCCCTTTTCATGATCATCAGTTTTCTTTCCCATTTTATTATATTTTTATGAATAGAACTTTTTTTTTATTGATTGGATATATTGCACCTTTTCAATTTTATAACTTACACAAGAGTGATGTATACAATTATTTGTTTGATTTTAGGGGGTAGAGATAGGCAAGGTCAAAGGTTGAATTTCTTTATGTGATATTGAGATGTATATCTATTGGTAAAGTGTTTTTGAAAGTAGGCCTAAATTTATTCTGGAAGTGAATTGGCCATGTTAATAAATGTTTATGGCCAATTATCTCTATTTCCATGTTGCTTGAAATATTACTGGATAGTAGATAATTTCAAATGATCGGTCATGTACATTAAAAAGATAAGGCATGAAAGGGTTTTTTTTAGAAATATTTAAATGAACTGAATATCAATAGATATAATTAGCATAAATATAGTCTATTTCAAAGAAGTTAACTTTTCAGGTCAATCAATGACAGATGATTGTCTTTCACAACATCACGGAATATTACTTTGACAAGATAATGGTTGAGGTGATCCTTTTTTAGTTCTGAAAATTATGCTACATCATGAAAATTGAGTATTCAAATTCAAGTTGACCTATTTGTACTGAAGTTTTTATGGATTATATTTGTATATATAATATATTAACATCACTCTACAAGCATGTATTTTAATGTTGATTTAATAAATTGTTCTTTCCTAAGTTTTGTTTATAGCCCAACTGTTTGATAAGTGATTGAATGACATGATACCTGAGAAAATTGCAGTTGCATTTTATCAAGCCCATTTACGGATTATGTAATAGTGTTGGTGCTCGATTGAACAGTTCTGTCTGTTCCACTTTTGGCCCACGGTACAGAAGCAATTATGTCACATTCAGAATTTTTCTATAATTATTTCTCCGTCATTTTAAATTGTGTACACCTAATCTGAACTCTGTTCAACTAATTGAACGTCTGGTCGGAATCCCGACAGTGCAGGGCTCACCTATTGAGTGACCCCTAAGAATACACTGCTGGCCCCGTATTCTCAAAACGATCTTAGCGCTAGGATGTCCTAGAATCAATGTTAGAATTCTAGCACTAAGATTGTTTCAAGAATATTGGGCCTGATCTCTTATGAAACTGACATATACATAAAGAAATGTCTGTTACAAAACAGAAATTTAAATATTTTAATGTGAACAATGCTATGATATATAATGAAAGTATAAATAAAATAATTACAATTAATAACTTCATATATACCAACAAATAAATAGTTTTTATAACTTTAAATATCTTACATACACTCAACAATAACAAATGTTTAAAAACCGTTTAGTCCACAACGCATAAAACTATGCTGTAACCCATTCAGAAGCAAATTCATTTCTTTATCCCATTACTTAACAGGACTAGACCCAGATGCACATATAGTTTCAGTTTCATAAACATTTTATTTATTTAGTTATTACGGTTACCCAATCTTGAGCGACATTATTTTAATTGAATATACCAACTGTCCCATCAAATTGAAACATAATTATATGGAGAATTTTAAAAAAAGATCTAGTACATTTACTAAATGCCAAACTTTAACTCAATTAAAATAAACTCTTGCCCATTCACTCAAGGCCAAATACCATTATATCAATTATCATGCACATACAGCCAATTAATGCCAAAAACTATGAACATGTTCCTGAATAACAAGGTGTATTTATAGCATCTAACACTCCATCTACAACAGCAAAACTTAAAGGTCCTGAAATATGCAACAAATAAATATCTCATTTTCACTTCCACATATATTTTATGCATAATATAAAAAAACAAATCATCTCAATTAAAATCTTATTTTTCCCCAAAAATTGATAACCATCTGGGATCCCATCGCATTAAATACATATTTGTATTAACTTTTGTTACACTGCACTATATCTTATGAATGTCTTACATTAGCATAAGCAGTCTACTGTAGTTTTTTTTATGGAAGAATGAAAAGCACAGGAAATAGAAACTAACTTAATAGCATAGTTGATAGAAACTTGACTTATGTTGTGTTGATTACTATTCAAACTACCTTGGACTATTCAGGTTTATATTTAGAATCAGACACGGATATGTATGAATATCTTTGCTTGACAATTGAAAGTTTCACAGATTTTATAACATCTTTTAAGTACACTTACTATCTGGATCCTCATTAACAAAAGCATCATCTGGAAAACCAACTACAGGTACAAGACATTTTTTACGAGGTCTACCCAGTCTATCAAGTGATCTGAAATAACCATTAATTGTTTTAACAACAAATAAACTTTCATTTTTCATCAAATAACAGATTGGATGTTGCCATGGATAATTGTTAATCAACTCTCATCAACTAGTAGAACAAATATTTAAACTATACCTCTTTGAATGCAGTAAAGGTAAGATAATAATAATAAACTTAAACAATTGGCGATAAAACTTACTCAGTACTATCTGACGGTATTTTGATATTCAGAAAATTTAATAAAATAATTGGTTTAGTATTTCTCTCAACCAGTGCCTAAAATAAAAATAGTAAATTTAACTATACATTAAACGTCTAAAATTACAAGTCAACTAGGATGTCCTATAAAAAGTTTTCCTCTTGATAATCAATGACTAGGAATACTAGTATGAGACATAAAGATAATTCACCTTCAAATATGCTTCCAAAGCCTGTCTTCTGTGTTCTAATACCTTTGAGTTCCATTTTAAAACTTTTTTAGGAGGAAAAAAGGGAGTAGCCATCAATTTCTTTAACTGAAATAATAGAAAATCACTAAATAAAAGCATAGTGTCAAACACATAGGTCTATGCCTTACATTTTGCTTAGATTTACTTCATTAAAAAAAAAATTAAAATGACACCATGATTAAAATCATTAATTGTAAAATTATATTCAGATGCCCTATGATAATTTTACCTCTTTGTTCAGTTCTTCAAATTCTGAATATCGTTTTTCTACGATCTGTTTTCTCCCTGAATTCCATACTTCTATTGTGTACACCTGAAAAAGATCAAGGGTTATAAAATCAATTCATGAAGTAGATTTATAATGTTTTAATGAATTGAAATTGCAATAAAAAAAACTGCAAATGGAGTCTTTTTAACTCATTCACAACCTACCCAACACTAACACTTTCAAACTTCTTGGCATTCCTGACTGGCAAAATATGCAGTGTTAGTGTCAAGGGTTCTAACCATTAAAATGTCTTACTGTTATCTATTTTTTAGTTGTAGCTATCATAACTTATGACATAAGTAGCATTATTATGTCTATTACGCCCCCATTGCATTCGAACACTACTACTAGCATTCTTTGTCCAACAGTCAACTGCCAGCCTAATACTCTACATAAAAATCAGTGTGAACACTGCTCAGTAAAGCGTACCGTATATGTCTGAGGGCCCTTTACTTTCTTAAAACTTGGGATAAAGACTCTAATGAGCATCGTTATGGAAAATATCTTATGCCGGAAGTTCCTAGCCAATTTATCTGGTTACACATTTGTTTCACAAAACGTACCTACTTTCTTGGATAGTGACGAGACACACAAATTTATAAAACAATTTTATTTCAATAATTGTTTACAATATTTTGACGTATTAATTACTGATTTCAATGTATCTTTTATTTCAAGAAAAGTAACATTTTTAGACCCATTAATTGCAGTTGACTGAACAGTTATGGAGAGCTTCAAAGAGGTGTCATTTTATCGAATGGGTACGTTCTATCAATACAAATCGTAACCAAAAAAAAAAACAACCGATAGACATCCGGGTTGGGCTATCTTGCTATTTTTAACTTACAAGATTCATGATGAGCAAAATATAAAAATAGATACAAAAACAAATCCAATACAATTAATAGAGTTTAATCCTTTCGTTAATGATGGCTTCTAAATTTGTTGACACTGTTCCAGTAAGTAAAAAAAACCAAACAAGTTTAGTTATCATTATCATAGCTATTATTGTTTTCCAAGCCTTTCCTTTCTTTTTTATCTGAAACTGACAATATTTATTTAATACTTGTTTGTCATTTCAATATTGTACATGAAGTTGATATCCCAATATTTAAGCGACTCTAACAACAATTAAGCAAACAGCAGCGGTGGCTAAAAAGAAATTAAGGCTTGTATAGTTGTATGCAGGGCCATTGATGTATATTATAACTCTTTGTTACCTATTTACCTGACACTTTATAAATAATATTATTTGTTGAGCAATGGTTGATATCAAGGCTCAAGTAATGCAAAAAGACTGATATGATCTGCAAAATGCTATGTAACCTACTGTATTATTAATTTTTTAGATGAGTGTTATGGAAGACTACATAAACTGTACCATATGTATGAATATTTTGAAGAAAACTGTTACCACTAGTTGCTGCCATAGATTCTGTGATACATGTATAAGAGAATGGATTGATAGAAATTCTTCTTGTCCATGTTGTAATACAAGACTGACACATGAAAATCTGTATAATGATCGTCAGTTTGATAGTCTAATAGGTAAATTACTTTTTCTTGGTATTTTATGAAAATAAGAAAGTAAGATAGCTATTTTATATTTAGGAAAAATCTATATTAAAGAATGAAAAGCAGGGTTGGTTTTAATATAAACTTTTGAAGGATATGAAGACAATATAGATAATTTTGTTTGATATTTTATTATTACAATGATACATATGAACATACCATTTATTTTTAGAGGATATAATGAAAGATAAAGAAAGATCTGAGTTAAAATATTATGAAGAAGTTTGTAATCAGAGAGGTAATATGTTTTCTTTTCATAAAATAGACTAACAGATTTTGAACTGAAAAGCCATGGCAGCTTAGTGAGTTAAATACTTTCTATCTAACATTGGCTTTGTCAAGTAAAGGCTTCCATCCAGACAGAAAATAAGATATTACTCATGTTTTAAACCCAGTTTCTCCGCCTTTCATTGAAGTCTGAGGAACTATTGTGGAATATGCATGGTATTCATGTGTTAGATGCTTGCCAGAGACAGAGATCAAGATAGCAACTGTGATGTTTCCAACCCAGTTTACCCCTATTCAGTGAGGCAAAAATCATGGTTATGATGCCACAATAAACATTGGCTCTGTTTGCTGCAAATGATGCACATATGGCATATTGATCTTATCACATAGATAAGTAATTGTACCTGGCATTTCATGATCAGAATGATACATGATGTATGAATTTCTGTTTACTGTATTGTAGTTTCGATGAGAGAATGTTGTGACTTAGGTCAGAAAGAAGTTTATGTTGAAACTAGTTCTTCAGGACAGAATACACTTAATCAACCACAAGAAGAATTAGAAACAGTAGAGGTTGTATTCCGTAGTAAGTTTTTATAGATTCTTATCAACAGTTCAACTAGTTGAACTGAAATTCAGGCATATAATAAAGGAGGAGGAATATAGTTAGGAATATTTAAAAAATAACACTAGTATTATTATTGATGCATTACCAATAAACATTTTGATTTTAGAACATCAACAGAAAAGTTTAGCAGATCATGGCAGATATTTTCAGGTGAGAAAGTCATTTATCTGAATTCATTGGCATTTGATAGAAATTTAGAAATTGATATGTGATGTAGGAATATGGCAAACTACTAATGCAGTCACAAATAGCATATTGTTATTCTTTGCAGATGAAATTAAAAAATCATCTGATGATTTTGTGTCAAAATTCTATTTCTATTTTCTATTTGAAAGCTATTAGTTTAATCACATCATTATTGTAATTTTTTTTTAAGTCTTTAAAAAATGAATACGAAAAGAAAAGGAAGAAGTTAGAGCAAGAAAAACAGAAAACAATAGATGAAAATACTAGTGGTATGTAATTAAAAGGATACTACCTTTGAGAATGGACACACAATTTAAAGTCTCAAACTTAGTCAACAAGTGTATGTATTTATCAGTTTGACATACCAGTTGCCATGACTAAAGATTTCAACAACAAGCATGCTATTATTGGTTTCCTAAAATATAAAAATTTGTGGTAATGATTTGAAAAGGATTACATTTACTAGTCAACCGTTTAAGCTAGACATATAGAAAGAATATATTTGTTGGTAAATGAATATTTGTGTAATCATTGTTTTGTAAACTTGTACAATAATTGTTTGTGTGTATTTCAGATGTCATGAAAGTTGAACATTTAAATACAGAAATTGAGAAACTAACTACAGAATATAATAATTGTCAACACTTAGTAGCACAAGCCTATGACAGGTATTCTATATAAACAACAATATTTCAGTTAATGCTTTTATAAAAAAGAACTTTTTATATTATCTCAAAATTAAAGGGCATATGTAAAGTGGAATTCAACCAACAACATACAACCAATACAATAAGTATTTCAATTTATAAAGCTTTTATATATTATTATACTTAACTACAACAGTCCTAATATTACAATGATAATAATAAATCTGACAAAATTAAGTAAAATTTCGATATCTATAGTCAATTTGAAAATGTCTGTATAAACAGGTATAATATGTTATATTTTATAGATATTTAACAGAGAAGATTCCTAGTTTATATATATTACCAGTCTCAGTATCAGTCTATATTGTGGAAAAAAATATACGTTTACAAGATTTTATTTTTCAACCAGAGGAAAGGTTGGTTTTCATTTGATTTAATTTCTATTCATGAATATTTGGAGAAGATGCGAGGTGGTATTTTAGTTTTTAAAAGTGTTTTTCTTGCTTTAAATAGTACACCCGATGTTTCAGCAATGAAACAGTCAGTGGTAAGCTTACAGAAACATCTCTGTGGAGAAAAGAACTTTATTATGGCTATCATTCAACGACTGAAATGGTTATTGGTGATACCATATTTTTATGTAAATTGTATTTTTACAGTATGAAGAAATTACAAGATTTATTGAGCAGAACAATGTTAGAAAGACATGATGAGATCATAGAATATACTGACAAAACTATTTATATATTTGGGTAAATACACTTTATTTTGAAATTTTCAAATTAAAAAAACATTTCATTATTTAAGTATAACTACATCCATTTTTGACATTTTTTAACATGGGAAATTTATGGTTTACCTATAGTGCTCTAAATGGATACAGGAAAGATTGATGTCAAGAGATCTGCCCATACTCATACCTCATGCTGCTGTTGATCCCTTGACAGTTGGCAATGGAAAAGAGTGGACAGATTTCTCTTCTCACTGCCCATTTTATTAGCCCAGTATGTTGCAGAACTTGTGAAACCCTTAGTAATCATATTTTTTCTTCAATCGCACTTAGTTGTATACTCTCAACAGAAATGTTTGTATTTTAGTCCCATGTGTAAAGTGAAAGGTGGAGATGAAATAAAAAATATAATAGATGAACTAGAGAATGGTAGGATATATGAAGGTATTAGAAGAACACGATGGTGTGAGAAACCAGTTTTACAGTGTGAAATGGTAACAGTCTAATTTAGATGTAGATTTCCCCAGGCTCACAATAACATTATATATGTTAGATTATATAATGCATTATAATAACATGTAACATCCAGAGCTGCTTTTTGCAACTTTCTGAGGTCAAAGACTTTTTTATTTCAAAAAATTATGTATGGAGATGTTTGAATGGTTTGTATTCTTGAGCATGAGTTGAGGTGCTTTATATAGGTCGGAAGGGAAGAAATCTACGCTGGAATTAATGAACAATGGCTTAATCCAATTGTATTATTTGTTTATTTTGTTTCTATTAGAAACCAGGATCTGAGATTGTGTTATTAAACTGTATGAAATATGAAAGTGATAATCCACCAACATGTTTTGTTAAGAAATATAAAGAAGGAGAAGACCATATAGTTGATTACTATAAATGTCAAGATTGTAAATTTAATTGTAAGTTTCTCGATAAATTTATGCATAATTTTATCTCCTATGAAAGTGCCTTTAGAAGATGCTGTTTTTACTACATGATTCTAAAATTCTGTAAAGAATTATGATTAAATCATATGTTGTGTTGCTTAGATAAATACAGCAATTTTAGCAAATCATATTTAGATCATAAAAAGATTTGTCTAATAGCCATTTGTGATGTTAATGTATATGTTGTCTAATTTAGTTACCAGTGATAAACATAATGTTAATGTTTATCACTTGAGAACTTTGTGTTCAAATAATACACATAAGACTATATCCATAAAACTGTTGTTTCTTAATAATGTTAATTTATTTGTAGGGATCTGTAAATCCTGTATCAGAATATGTCATGAAGGTAAAGTCAAAACTTTTTATCTTAATTTGTAAATAGTGACATACCATTGACATACCCTTACTTAAGGCAATACAAGGCTCGAATGATTGTCCCTATCAAATCATGTGTACATTCTATGTTTTACTTGTTGCAGCTAAGACGACCCATTCTATCCTTACACATGGTGTAAATATTACATTAATGCAACTTTTGCTTGATTTCAACAATTTGAGATAAGTTATACCACAGGTTTTTTATCATTTTCACAAGTGATGTACTTTCAAATGATAATATGTCACTTTCATTTTGAAAAATTGTGGAATTACCTTAAAGATACTCATCTATCAGTGTGTGAATGATTTTATTTTTCTCTTCCAGATCATAGAACATCAGTACATGTTTTAAACAACAAACCAACTTGGTATGTTGTATTTAGTCCTTTCAATTTAATTCAATTAAAAAGTAGTGAAAAAACATCTCTTGGGCAAATTATCATTAGGTTAAGTACATGTGAATTTGAGTTAAGAAGGACATGAAACTCTTAAATATTTGCTCTACCTACTCTTCCTGAGCTCAGTTTCAAATATCCCTAGAACTTTTCATATTCAGATTGTCGGTTTCCCCCCCACAATTCAACAAAAATTTAATGTGAAATTTTATGCTGATATTTTTGCTGTTGATATTCTACATGCAATAAATTCTATCTTTTTTATTGATATAATGACTTGAAATATTTCACATGATAGTTATCAGGGGGTGAAAGCAGACACCGGGCTGACTCTCGAAAGCACAGGCACAGGCATCAGAACATGATAGTGTGACTATATGAATTGATGTAATCTATTACAGGGCTTGTTGTTATTGTCCAAAGAAAAAGAAGTGTTGTATATGAAGTTCTTTAAGAGTTTAATATTTTTGAATAGCAATAATGAGAGAATGGAAAGTTGAAAATTACATAGTGTGAGAAGTTTCTGTGAGAAGAATCTTACTACTGAAATCTTAAAAATGTTGAATTTTAAATTCAGAGAAAGCACCATTAAATTAAATATCGATTGTTAGATCTATTGAGATTTTTTTTATTTCCCTTTCTTCATTAACATGTGTTTGAGCTTACTTTGACCTCAGAGTGTCAAAGTTATCATACTGTATGGTTAGCAATAAAAAACACTGTTGAAAATTACTTTTTCTCTATGTTAAGATATTAGGAGATTGTGCTCCATCTTTTTAATTTAAAAATCATGATATATTTATGAATATATTTGTTATGTTATGGTTATATTTATCATCTTTAATAAAGAATTTTTATTTAAATGTCTTGTTAATTTCCTGATTTTAAAGGGACAAATTGGCCATGTTCAGGGGTTAATTTTAGTCTTGAATATTCTTAAATAGTCTACAGAAATACTAGAAATGTACAAAAATCCTCCATAATTCCCTCAAGGTATCTCACTTTGTATTTCTATATAGGCTAGAGCTATAGAAAAGACAAGTCTTTTTTTTTAATTTTTAAACGCAGATAATTCTAGACACACATGGATTTGAAGGCTGAAATTTCATTAATACTGATTGACTTAGGTAAGAAAGGACTAAGGTACCATCATCCTTACTGTGAATTTCATAATCAATTGTATAATTTTGATTGGAAGAGAATATGGCACTCTGGCATGAGTGTAACAAATGGTCTATCAAAAAATAAAATTTTCAGTCACAAGCAAAATAGTTCAAATTTGACTTGTTTCACTCAATAATATGACATCCTTCAAAAATAATTTTCTGCCTACAGGATTTTCCATATATGATTTTGTCTAATAAAGATTTTATTAATTTGAACAAAACTTAAACCCATACATATCTCTAGCAATCCAGTGTGTTAGATGTAGAAATAGATTTATTTTTAAATAGATATTGTCACCTATTACACAATTTGGTTTTGAAAATTTAAAAGAAGACAAAAACTTTGCATGAATGCAATCTGAACTTTCTGGCAAAAATATCTGAATATTCAAATAATTATCAATTTTGGCCCTAAATTTCCCACATTCCAAACTGAGATACCATTAGGTTTCACATACGTATGAGAGGCAAATAAGAGACTCTACACTTTGGTAAATTACATAAAAATGGAAATCTAAAAGGTATAATTTTCGAGTTGTCTTCTGTTCTCATCTTTATAAGGCAATTTTGATGGTACAGGTAATGAGGTCGGTCTAGATAATCTTAGCTACAGTCTGGATCACTAAGACATCTGTTCATGTATGAAAATGAGATTTTTCGGGTATAAATTATGAAGTCTTGAAAGACGATAACTTAGTAGACTTCGTGTTTTTATTTCAATTGTCAATAAATTTTTGAAAAATGTTTCCATATATATCATTATCATACAGAAAATTCAGCGAAATTCGTCCTTTCAAAATCAATCGAGCGTCTTTGACATACTTGTACAAAGATCACCGTCAAAATTTTACCCACAATGCACTATAATGACCCACTACGCTTGCGCAGATGACATTTTGCGGAGAAATTTTGGACACAAAAAATTACGGGTGCTTGTGATTTTTCTTCAAATTGACTGAAAAGACAGAAAAAGAATAACAAAACTTATGAGATGTCGACTACAAAGCATAAAGATTGGATTTTGGCATCCATTGATCAACTTAGAACAAGGAAAGCCCGTCCGGACCTCAACAGAATTTGCCACATGGTGCGACGAAGATTCGGACTGAGTGTACAAGAAGCGACGGCCAGTCTAGAGAAATTGGTAGATGAGCGAATTGTTGTTAAAGTCGAATATAAAGGTCTCACAAGCTACAGAAATGCTGCAAAATGGAAAAAGAGTGCAATGGGAGGACATATCCTTAATTCTAATGCTTTCATTCAAGACATTCAGAAGGCCGTATCCGAAATTTGTCGCAACAACTCGAGCGGAGAAAGGGGGGCGAACATCCGTGACATAGAAAAATGGCTAATGACCAATGCATCCGAGGACACTGAAAAGTTATCTTCAACCCACTTGGAAGAAGCGCTCAACAGAGAAGTAGAAAACAAAAGATTGAAGAAACTATTTTTCAATGGTCACTACATAATAAGCAAAAAATCTGAAGAACCTGCGTCGAAAACTAAACCTAGTGCAACAAGTGTTAAAACCGAAAGTGCGGCCGAAAATGAAATGGAAAAGAAGAGGGGTCGACCTCCTTCAAAAAGAATGGTGCGTGTCATTTAGTGGCCTAATTACATAACTTTTATTCATTCTCTTTTCAACATTAATGGAATATCCAACATATTATTTTTATAGCTTGCTCTCTTTCCAAAAGTCCAAAGAGAAAAGTAGAATTAAGACCTCATTCATCTTTTCTTTCAGAAATTCAAGAAAACTCATGGACCAGACTTTGAAATGGTAGACCCATTTAGTGTGGGTAAAAGAATGAAAAGCTCTGATAAGAATTCAAATGATGGGGATGCTGTTTGTAGTTATTGTAAATTAGATTCAAGTAAAAATACTAAAGGCAAACCTGAAAAGTTACTTGTGTGTCAAGATTGTAAAACAACAGGTAAAAACTACCCCATTTAACTTTTTAAAAAATCCAGAACTAAAAGTATACAACTAAGTTCCTATTGGAATTAAAAATGTCATCCATCTGAATACAACCCTATGTGAAGTTAAGTTAGATAGTGTCTATATGTTATTGTGCCGTGATTTTTTTTCATATTTCTTGTAACCCTGAAGCTTCAATTCAAGGATGTTAAGAGTGTATTTTGTTTCTTATTTTTCAGCTCATCCCTCCTGTATGAAGTATTCACCAAAACTAGCAAAGAAAGCATATAAAGGTGTTTGGCAATGTATAGATTGTAAATCTTGTTGCGTCTGTGATCGTGGTGAAGATGCTGTAAGTTTGGTAATCCATCCTTTAATTTGATCAAGTAATAAGTTATTGGCAGAACTAAGCCCAGAGGCAGCCTAGTTGCGTTTGGTCATCAACTTCCATAGTTGATAACACTTATTTTCAGCTACAGTGTCACTTGTAGAATAAAAGTTTGATATCTGGTTTGTCTACTATTAAATAACATTAACTGCTTAAATGAGGAAGTGATAAAACGTCTAATATTCCAGATTGTTATAAGCATTTTTTCATGCAGAGTAGATATCATGATGTCAATTTTTCGGCATAGTGCAATATGTTTTTAACTTCAGAAAAACCAGAGGCCCTAAATTCATGTTGAAAACTCTTTACATCAGTGAGACCAGTGTAATGCCACCATCTAAACTGAACAAAACTCAACCAAACTTGTATCTGAATATGACATATTTTATGATTATTTACAGACCACTATGTTATTCTGTGATGCTTGTGATAGAGGATATCATATGGAATGCCATCAACCTGTTCTTAAAGATAAACCTAAAGGTATAAATATAAGATATCATTATCAATACCTAAGAAAATAAACTGACCTTACACAGAGTTGTAGGTACAAGCCAAGGATGTGTTCTTTGAATATACCAAAACATTTGCTGTGAAATCAGATTGAACCAATATGTGTATTCTAAGTTGTTAAATGAAGTCATTATTTATTGTATGTCCAGTTTGAACTTGTATTACAATATATTTTGTAGGTAAATGGGTATGTTCAGATTGTGATAGTAGTTTATATCAAACACGAGAGATGGAATGGAGCAGTGAGAGTGAAAGTTTACATCATGAATGTAAGTATTATTATATCTGATGGTGTAAATGGTCGTATTTTGAGTGAAATACATTTAATATTTTGTAAATAAAATTGAATCATAATTTATGTAAGCATTATTTCAAAACTTATTTGTAGCGCTTTCCAAGTTTAAAATACATAATTGAAAATTAATTGTGTTTGTTTACAGATGGATCCTTTCCACCAACACCATGTGATTCCCCTGTACAAGGTGAAGACCAGAAATTTAGATATCAGTAAGTTAATACTGCCATTTTCAGTAGTGTACATAGAACATGAATATCTTTGAGTCTATTTAAAATTAGGCCAAACTTTCTCTTCAACATTCGTCTGTTTGATGACAACGTCAGCCAATCGAATTTCTGTTATCTGAATGTAACTTTTGTTTGCATTTCTCAAAATCCAATTGATGAAGAGGACAGAAATTTGATTGGCTGGAGGTGTCATCAAACAGACCAATGTACAAGAGGCCTGTATTTAACCCCTGACTGGAGTAGCTAAATTAAGAATAAAAGCTAGAACTACGGAATAAAAGTTTGGTCTAAGATTGACTGTTTTTATCTTAATGTCTTGTCTATTGCAGAATGTGAAATATTAACTGTAGTAGTTACTATCTCATATATAGTAACAATACCATTAGAACAGATATAAATATTTTATTCATATAATTCCCTGTAATATTTTAGTAGACTTTACAGACATCCTCAACCTTCCAAAGATTCTATAGCCAGAGTTTTATCAAAGGAGCCCAAATTAGATGGTAATTATTATCCGGATGCATCAGAATGGTCTATTGATGATGTTTTACAGTTTTTCCAATCATTAGGTTTCACTGATGATCAGATTGAAGTTTTTAGAGAACAGGTACTTTTTAAAATTTGTCTTTGGTTATTTATTATTTATATATCAGTGGTTCAGTGAGTTTGATCCTTTCTCACTAACCTAAAGATCCTGGCTGGATTCAACCCTAGCATAGGTCAAGATCATATACCTTCTTTACAGGGTTTCTTCATAGCACACGACATAACATTGTCAGTTCTCATTAACCAAATAAGCAGCAGAAAAGTAAGACTAAAAAAACTCAATTTGATTAATATTATCTGCATTATACTATCTATTTGATTATTTTTACAGGAAGTTGATGGAAAGTCTATTTTATTAATGAAAAGATGTGATGTGGTTTCTGGGTTGAGTTTAAAACTTGGTCCAGCTTTAAAACTATTTCAACATATAGAGGGATTACAGAGAGCAGGATTTGAAGATTGACAGCAGAAGACTAAAAGTTCCATTTTGATGACATAATTATGCAATAACTGATATTGTCATATATTGACACTGCACACAAATGTATATATTACATGTTTATTTGGGCTTTAAGATATTTGTGCGCATTTGCAAACATAAACACAAACATTAACACAAACATGGATTGTCCATTGTATTTTAGATAGTAAGTAATCAACACAATATAAGACAAGTCTGTATAGTTTCTATTTATTGTGTTTATGGTCAGATTCATCCCTAAATGAGCCAAAGTATCTTGGTTTGTAAACACTATTTCATTCATATACAAAATTGAAAGGGATAAGGGAACAGGCTTTGGCCTATATTACTTCTCTCCCGAAAATAGAAAGACATACATAACCTTCTATTGGCCATTAAGGTATTCTTAGTATAACAAATATCAAAATATTACAGTATTCATTATGTAAAGAGTGTTTGGAGAAATGGTATTATACACAGAAACTCAAAGTTTCAGTTTTATTGTAAAAGGATATAGAACATGTATATAATTGTTTATTAGCTTCTAAAGCATTGTTAACTTATTGTTATTATTTTGTGTTCATCTTTTAATTCTTACTGGTTGTCCATAGTTAATTAATCACTGTTTCTTCATCAAATAAACTCATGGGTTAAAATCATTTAAATATTTGATTTCCCAACTGAGAAAGCTGTTTCTATTGTACTTAGCACTTTACAAGATGGAAAATCTGATGTCCAAAAGAAACTTTATCCCAATACTGGTTTAGTTGCTTGAAAGCTCACAGAGAAAATTTGATATGTTACTTGTGAATGTCAGATAGACAGGACACTGTGCTTCCAAACTGATAGTTGTTAAATAAATGTTCATAAGGCACAAACCTGTAACTCTAGTTTATTTATCACTTTTGAATTTTAATTTTAGTAATAGTTTGAAGAATTTTCAGAATGGTGTATGCTTTTTGAATTGTTAAATGTTGATTTTTGTCTGTATATGAAATGCAATGGTATTCAAATTTGCCACATAAGTGTTATTTAAAATGAATGGTTCTAACTTGTTTTTATGTTCTTGAATAAATTTATCAAATGTTAAATGAAATGAAGTAATTCTGCGAGCTATCTTGAGAGACAAAATCCACCAAGCTATCCAAAATCCACCAAGCTATCTTGAGAGACAAAATCCACTAAGCTATCTTGAGAGACGAAAACTACTAAGCTATCTTGAGAGACAAAATCCACCAAGCTATCTTGAGAGAAAAAATCCATTAAGCTATCTTGAGAGACAAAATCCACCAAGCTATCTTGAGAGAAAAAATCCATTAAGCTATCTTGAGAGACAAAATCCACCAAGCTAACTTGAGAGACAAATCCACCAAGCTATCTTGGGGTAATACTGCAAGTAGTCTTGATTTTGTACATTGTTGACATGTGTTTAGCAATTCGGAAAATACTATAACTCAAGTGGAATTTGTAATTTCTGGACAGTGGTATCCAATATTTGCTGTATTGTTATATAACACATATGTCAGAATATGACCAATGGCATCCACCACAATGGATGAAAAAGATAATAAGTATAATGATAAAAGACACTATAAAATCAAGATGTATTTAATTCTACCAAAATGAGATGATCAATCATGCAGATTTCATTAATAAAGCACTTAGAAATATTAACAAACTTTAACAAAATATTAACAATAAAATCAATAACAATATATTACAATTAACAGTATGCACCCAGTCTTAATGTATCTAGAACAATATGAGCATTTAATTTACATGCATTCTTTATCAATATATCAGAGAGTAGACATTGCCCACTTCAACAAGTAGTTGATAGATATCTATACCAGAAAAAAGTTCTATGAAATATTTGAGTATAGTGCAATTACACATATAACAAGCATAATTTATACCACACTGGACTTTGTTTATCACTTAAATTACACTTCATTCATTATCAAAGTATCTTTGTAAAAAAAACATCAAAAAGAGAGAGCACTAACATGAGAATGATTGGGCAAATTACATTACCAATAAGCATAAGAAATAAATATAATAAATGTTGCCTCATTAGGACAATGAGATCATGCCACTGGCAATAGAACTCTCAACATCAAATAACTAATATGCTTAATACAGAATCTGAATGTGACTTAAGCGAGTGGTCGATAACTCTACAACAAAAATTTATAATTAACAAGTTGATGAATTTTGCATAATCATGAAATATTATGTTAAGCCTTTTCAATCTTCATAATAAATTATTTTATGTGTGAATTTAACAAATATAACATTTATGGAATAAAACTTACAGAGAAATGTGCTGTGGATAGTTAAAATTGATCTGTATGAATTTGAAGACCATACCCTCAGGCTGTCCAGCATTTAATGAGGAAAAATTAGGGGTAATTTTGGGGCTAAAGAAACTTTAAAGCTCAAACTAGGAATTTTATAACTATATTAGGGAAGTTTTAGACATTAAAATGGATTACTTTCGCACTTTTGACACTAAAGAAACTTTTATAGGATTTCCCCTTGGATTTCAGCATTTTTAAGGAAATTTAGCAAAACTGAAATATATAAGGGTTTTTATAAGAATTATAAGGACAGCCTGTACTCTTCTACTCTTGTCTAATATTAAACATAGATGACTCAGGTCAATTCAAATGAAACAAAATATGTAAGAACAAGAAATTGGCAAGATATTAAGGTATACAATTGTCTAATTATTCCCTCAACGAGCTGTAAAAATTTTAGTATGAGAACTTCATTTCAAGTTCCCTGTGCTATTGGATATGCAAACTTTTTTAACAATTTATCACAGATGAGTTTTCCTCAGACCTTAGGACTAATATTCAAAATTGCAGTTTAAGGTGTTATCTCACACGTACTATTAACAATTATAATCATTTGTAATATTCAAGAGACAACTGTATCTCTTTTTACAAAATTAAAATCAGAAACTAACGAATATCTTCACTTGCTGTCTGTAATTTCTGTACATGTTTATAGATTTTCAATGCCGGTCCTAGTTTCAGGGATAGACCAATTAAAACATCACTTCTTTTCATTAGGAGCAAAGACTTGCCATCAATTTCCTGTCAACAAAAATGATCTTAAATAAGTAGTGTCATAAATAATTTGACTTTTAATCTAATGAAAATCTAATTCATATACTAATATCAAGTCCAGCTGTTCCAATCATTAAAAAACAGTTGCCAAGCAACATATGCCAACTTGCGCAATAATTCTTTAGTGTATCAAGGGTCAGTCTCAGTTATGTTATCTGATCTGATCTCAAATCTCTGTTATAACTGTTATCTAATCTGATCTTGAGTATCTTATCTCTGTTATCTAACCTGATCACAAAAGTCTTATCTCTATTCTTATCTGATCTCAAATATCTTATCTCTGTTATCTAATCTCAAATATTGTATCCCAGTTATCTAATCTGATCCCAAATATCTTATCTCTGTTATCTAATATGATCTCATATATCTTATCTCAGTTATTTTATCTGATCCAAAATATCTTATCTGTTATCTAATATGATCTCAAATATCTTATCTCAGTTACCTTATTTTTCAGTTTTATAATCTGATCTCAAATATTATATCTCTGTTATCTAACATGATCTCAAATATCTTATCTCTGTTATCTGATCCCAAATATCTTATCACTGATATCTAATATGATCTTAAATATATCATCTCTGTTATCTATCTCATTTACCTTATCTCAAATATCTTATTTCAGTTTTCTAATTTGAGCTCAAATATTGTATCTCTGTTATCTACTCTGATCTCAAATATCTATCTGAGTTATCTAATCTGACCCCAAATATCTTATCACTGTTATCTCATTATCTTAAATATGCTATCTCTGATCTTAAAAACCTTATCTCTGTTATTTAATCTATTCTCGAATATATTATCTCAGTTATTAAACTCAATCTCAGATATCTTATATCTCTATTATCTAATCTGTTATCAAAGTCATGTAATGTTATCTCAAATATCTTCAGTCTGTTATCTTTATCCAATTTCTTACCTGTTCTTTAAATGCCTCAGACTGTTCAGTAAAACCAACAGAAGATATAAAAGTAACTACATCATCTATTGTCCACTCAGAGGCATCAGGATAAAAAGTACCATCCAATCGTGGATCTCGAGATAACACTTTAGGTTTTAATAATGGAGGATTTGCTAATCTACAAAATTTAATTGAACAGTCTATTAACTTTCAGTGCTAAAACCTTTTTCCGACCATACTTTCAAAAATTATTGGAATAATAGAAATGAAGGTGTAGATAACTAGATATAATTAGGTATGTAAATGAAGAAAGTTCTACTTAAAAGTTTTACTTATGTTTTTATGTGTATCAGGGACACTGATAGCATCCATTTGCAACATTCCAATTTTCAATCAGACATCTGTGGTTCCTGCAATTCCATTTAGTTTTACCGAAATTGCATGAATCATAGACATCTGATAAAAAATTTGAATGGTGCAAATTGATGCTATCAGTGTCAGTGTTCCTGATGCACATAAAATATCTACAAAAACCTTTTACAATCTCTCAAATGATAGACTGATTAATACTTGCCCATGTGATATTGGTTGATCAAATTGAGGAGAATCACAGGGTGTTAATGGTAGAGCTGAGTCACTAACTATAAACAAATAAACAACTATAAACAAAATAACAACGACAATGTTTGTTCTGAATAAACTGAATACTTTTCCTCCAGTTCAATGAGTTCCCATGCCAAGCTTACTTAACCCTCCTGCGTTTAAATATTGGAAATTCAACCTCTATTCCACAAACCAACTCTCTTGAAGATGGACTGTTAAAGGGACAACTGCGACATTTTTGGGGGGTTGATTTGATTCTTGAATATTATGTAAATAGTCAAATTCTAGGATAATAAATGATTTTAAAAACTTACCATTATGCAAGGAATTATTTGTTCGCATTCGATCTTGTAGTTCTAAAATCTCAACAGATACACCTTCAATCTCACATTCTGAACACACCCATTTACCTTAAGAAACACACAATAGAAGAATTATTTCTTTTTTACCAATTATAAATGTGAAAGAAAGAAGTATTTTGTCGTCATTCATTAATAGACTTCACTGCACATCAGTTTTAAGTAATATACGCGAAGTAAGATAACTTGGTGCAAAATTTTTGGATATTTATCATCTCTTTACGCAGAGTGGGTTAAATAAATTTAGCAATGCAAAAAAATATTCTTACCCAATGGTTTATCAGATACAGGAGGCTGATGACAGTTCATATGATATCCTTTATCACAACCATCACAAAACAACATCAGATCCTTTAATATTAAATAAACACAAAACAACATCAGATCTTTTAATACTTCATAAACACAAAACAACATCAGATCCTTTAATACTTGATAAACACAAAACAACATCAGGTCCTTAATAATAAACAATCATTAATAAATGCAAAACAACATCAGATCCTTTAATAATAAACAATCTCTAATAAATGCTAAACAACATCAGATCCTTTAATGATAAACAATCACTAATAAAACAAAACAACATGAGATCCTTTAATGATAAATGAACACTAATAAACACAAAACAACATCAGATCCTTCAATAGTAAACGATCTCTAATAAATACAAAACAATAGCAGATCCTTTAGTATCAAATAAACACAAAACAACACAACAGCAGATCCTTTAATGATTAATTAACACTAATAAACACAAAACAACTTCAGATCCTTCAATAGTAAACTACACTAATAAATACAAAACAACAGCATATCCTTTAGTATTAAATAAACACAAAACAACATGAGATCTTTTAATGATAAATTAACACTAATAAACACAAAACAACATGAGATCCTTTAATATTAAATAAACAAAAACAACATGAGATCCTTTAATATTAAATAAACAAAAAACAACATGAGATCCTTTGGTATTAAATAAACACAAAACAACAGATCCTTAATTCAAAACAACATGAGATCCTTTAATATTAAATAAACACGAAACAACATGAAATCCTTTAGTATTAAATAAAAACAAAACAACATCAGATCTGTTAATACTTCATAAACACAAAACAACATCAGATCTTTTAATACTTTATAAACACAAAACAACATGAGATCCTTTAATATTAAATAAACACGAAACAACATGAAATCCTTTAGTATTAAATAAAAACAAAACAACATCAGATCTGTTAATACTTCATAAACACAAAACAACATCAGATCTTTTAATACTTTATAAACACAAAACAACATCAGATCTTTTAATACTTCATAAACACAAAACAACATATGAGATCCTTTAATATTAAATAAACACGAAACAACATGAAATCCTTTAGTATTATATAAAAACAAAACAACATCAGATCTGTTAATACTTCATAAACACAAAACAACATCAGATCTTTTAATACTTTATAAACACAAAACAACATCAGATCCTTTAATATCAAATAAACACAAAACAACAGCAGATCGTTTAATGATAAATTAACACTAATAAACACAAAACAACATCAGATCCTTCAATAGTAAACTATCACTAATAAATACAAAATAACAGCATATCCTTTAGTATTAAATAAAAACAAAACAACATCAGAATCAGATTCCTTAACACTTATAATTTATAAACACATTAAACACAAAACAACATCAGATTCTTTAATATAATTATTTACATAGACATATAGCTTCTTACTCCTGTTAGTGATGTAGCTCACTAAAGTAATATATTAACAAAGATAATGTGTTGTTGGATCAAGGAAGCCTCATTCTACCCTTGATAAAGCAATATATAATGATCAAAGTAAGATTGACTTACTGGTTCTCCTGATTCATCACACATATAACATGTTTTACAATCAATACACTGCCATTGTGACTGACATGCTCTTCTTGATAACTCTTCAGAATAGTCCATACATGATGGATGTGCTGAAACAAAATAATATTTTATATGATAAAATCTAAGCAATAAATGATATACTAAAACTCACGTGTTATTCATTCAGACTCTAGCGACACATCAAGCCTATATCTGTGACTTTATGAAATGAATGGAAACTATGGTTTCTAGCGTAATAACAAGCTGGTTTTGACATCTTTTGCATCTAGGACAGTAACTCATAAACCTTCATCTAACCAGAGTCAAACTCTTCAAGATCCTTTTATTCATTTTGTAGAATGCATACGAAGTTCAATCAAAATCAAATTAAATCCCTAGTTTTTATTGTGCTAACAACAAATGTTGACGGATGAACAGACAGACAGGGGCACCATCAATGTACATCCAAATGAAAATGTAGAAGTTTCCATTAAAAAGACATAAACTAATTTCATTTGACTTAAGAGTGCCAAACATTTTGAAATCAAGAGTGATTATAACCTACCTTTAGCATTACAATCTTTACAAATCAATAGTACTTCAGGCACACCATTTTTATTGCTTTCTACAGTCAGGTTACAAAAATCACATTTAGGTTCATTGATAATCCTTGGCTTAATTTTAGGGGGTACCACTGATTGAGAGGGTTCACCTTCATCAATTTCATAGTTATATCCTCGTTTTAATTTCTACAAAATTCAAAACAATGATGAGGTTATTAAATAAATAATTTCTTTCAAGATATTTAAAAGTCAATATGATTAATTAAAACACAGTTTATAGACAGTCCACTTGCCATCCATGATCTGAACAAATTATTGTACAACTATTGCTTGCTCACTAAAATATTCAACCAATCAAATGCTATATTCAATAAAGCTTTATTTATCACATGTGAGGAATTCTTGACATCCATTGTTTAACATTCAGTTCACTTCTTTGTTTGATTAGTTATAACCCTATAAAAATTTGCACAAAAAGCAACTGCCTGCAGTTTACAGTTGTTCCTCATAGAAAAAATGCAAATATAAAGTTAACTCATGGGAGACATTCCAACTATATTGAACAACTTTAAGTGCAAGAATGCACCAATTCAGTTTGTATATTTTCTAATTTTTTCCAAACTTAAAACTAAATATTATATGATGAAGAAATTATTTTCATAAGGAACTTAAGATGAATTATATTTTGACTATATAAACCTTAAGATCAATTATCCAGAATGTTGAATATATTTATATTTCATAGAATAACTTGCAGAAAATCAAACAAAATTTTATAGGTGAATTTTTTTTATACCGGTATTCTAAAAGACATAGCAGTGCATTACCCCGTCTTATATTAATTCATTCTTCTCTAATATATTACAAATCCTTTCCCTTCAGCTATAATTTTAATATTTTCTGACTTTTACAAAGTAATTAAGGCTTTTGAAAATCACCTTTTCTGATTTTTCATTTTTAGTTTTGGGAGGACGACCCCTTCGACTTGGAATCATCTTTTTAAGTTTATTTGGAGTTGATGGTTCCTCATTATATTTTATTGTATAATTTCCATTTGCTAATTTTTCTAGACGACCAGCATCCATTTCTCTTTGTAAAGCCACATTTATTGGGCATTTCAGTTTATCAATACTGTCATGTGATTGAAACCATTTTTCGATGTCTTTGATTGTGGCACCAAGTTCTTCCACATTTTGGGATTCACATTCCAGCACTGCTTCTACTAAATTACGGCTAGTAGATGTTGAATTCATAACAACACCTTTTAAATGACTTTTCCTCCATTTAGCAGCATGTCTGTAACTAGTATTGCCCTTATAGTCTACTTTCATTACAATTTCACTATCCACTAAACGTTCAAGGCAAGTCTCCGTCTCGACTTCTGACAGGCCGTATTTACGATTCAGCATGTGGCAAATTCGTTCAAGATCCGGCCGGGCCTTTCGCCCTCGAAGATGATCGATTGTATCAAGAATCCATTCTTTGTGTCTTGGATGCGCCATACCAAATACTAATTTACATATCGTCTGTAATTCAATGTTAATTCAGTTCACACTGACAGAGTAAATAGAAATATTTTTTAAAGTTCTTTCTCTTTCAGTTCCCATTCAGGACACGAAATATAAAAAGTGCGCATGAGCGTATGCGCTGAAAGTTGCATTATGGGACGGATTACAAGAAATTATTGATGTCTGAAGCCAAAATATTGAGCTTGACTGAATATGTCCTTATTTCCTAATATTAATGGTGAATTGATACAAAGCGTCATTATTCTTTTTCATTTTTTCTTAAAATGAAGAAATGTAATTTAAAGGAATTCAACATCTTAGAATGAACATAAACTTCAAATTGTTAAACATGACCAAAGAGTAATATTCATCAGTAGAACCACATTATGTCATAACTATTGATAAATACACCACTTAAAGCGTTTTTCAATTATTACTTACATTTTGGAAATTATCTGATTACACAAGGATTCTTTTATAAAATTCTGACACGTATTAATTAAGGCAACTGATGAATAATTATATATTACTATAACGTTTTAAGAATTAAAACCAGAGGGGGTGTGTTATACCTGACCAGTGAGCTAGACTATCTATTTGTTATAATCATGTAGTTCTTAGATGACGTTGTAATCGTGCATCTTCTGCAGGGAAAATATGTCGCAAGAAATATCGTCGGAAGGATAATTAACGGTAATCAGTAGACACCTTCGACACTAAATAATAGCGAAGAATAAAGACCACTTACATAATTCGCATACACTCGTAAATGACTGGAGACAACAAACGTTCCCTCACGGGGTTTTATGTTGAAGAAGCTGTTGCCATGAAAGGGGTGCAATTCGTGCCTACAAACATTGCTAATTTAGCCGGCAACCAGTGAGGTAAACTTACTATTAGGCTAAATAATAGATCGTACGCTAGGGTTGGTTTTAATAAGAATGTAATAGAGCTTTGGTCAGGTAACATTAGGATGGCTACACAGGAGGTTTGGTAAAAGATTCTCCCCTCCCCGAAAACAATTGATTTGTTGTAATTTTTCTTTTATAATAGAAAGTAAAATTGGATGCTCCAGAAACATGAAATCTTATTTCAATACGTTCCTTCTTAGATCCTCCCCCTACCTCAGCGATCCATTTCCCCATCTGGATATATATTACGAGAAAATTATGTTTTTTATACCAGTACTACTACCAATTTATGAAGCACTGTAGGCGAATCCCCAACATGAATCACCGTTTCAACATGCTTGGCGTGGTCTGATGAATGAAGAGTTACTCCCCTTTGACTACTTCTCTACAAAATATGGACGAAAATGGTGCTTTATAGTTTTGATTGGTAACAAAAATAATATTATTTTCTCTCTTCTATTAGAATTATAATTGCATGTCTACTTGTGGTTTTTTTTAAGGGTATGTTATTGTCATTGATAGAGATTGACATTACCTATGTTACCACCAGTACCATCATTGATCAATGCCTTATTGCATTATTTATGAACAAATAGACAAAGGCTTTGTAGCCTACCACTGAATATTCTTTTCTGACTCAGTGCGACAGTAAAACCTTGCCCTTGTCTTGACTTTAGTTTCAGAGTAAAAATTTAAATGCCTTGAATTCAATCAAATTTTTTTGAAGTTACAGAAATTAGGCATGATAAGGAATTAAAATGATGCTGTAAATGTAATGATGAACTGGGAAGATAAATTTTCATCTATCATCAGTGAAACTGAATCTAATCTGCATAGAGTCAAGGTAATATTTTACATCCAATTCCTGCTCCATATTTCTCTAATAGGTCTAATAGACCTGTTATTCGTTTGTTTTTTTCACAACTTTGCATTCTGATATTCTTTGGGTTTTTTTTTTATTTTTAGGAGAAACCAATTGAAATCTGTTAAATTTAATTCTTATGTAAATGTATTTTGATTTTGTTATTCAGGAGAAACTTCAAAGCAGACACATTGTAGGTAGTGGTTCTGGTAATCGGACATACAGTGGTGAATATTGTTCTTCTACAGGTAGGCCTATTGTTGTTATGTTTTCAATGTGTGTCTACATGAATTATGATATACTGTTGTTACATGGATGTAGCCTACATTGTAGGCATCACTCCAAAATCTCAATATTGTGTTCAACACACTATCATCTTACCGGATGTCTAAATGATGCATTTACTTGTGTCCATTTTGTTTTGTCAGCATGGAATGAGCTGCTCTTGTTACTATTTAATGAAATAATAAGCAGAATATATTTAAAATATTCATGAATAGTGGTAAAGTGTTCAATTAAAGATTAAAAAATACAAAATTTATTTTAGGTTATGAACCATCTGAAAGGAAATCTTTGTCTATGATGCAATTTCCAGTTTCCTCCACACCTAAAACTGTTCGTTGGGATGCAGACATGGGAGACACTAATATTTCTAGATATGAAGGTTCTGAATCAATTTCTCTGTGTAATAAATTAGAACAGCAAACTAGGGTAAGTCTTATTCTAGAGGTACATTTTTATGCTGCTAAGATATTAAGATACATTTGAACAATGAAAGGATTCAGGGAATGCTGTATTTCTAATATTGTGGAGGAATTGTCATCAATAAATCTATCCAAATCTTAATCTATGTAGACATGATATGGTTCCAATAGCTTTCATGTCTTTCTTGCAGGTAATAGATCAGTTAAGTAATATGGTAAGAGTTATGGAGAAAGAAAGAGATGAACATAAACAGCAGATTGGTGAACTGAAATGTATGTTGATAAATTTGTAGTTTTTCAACTCTGCATTTCATTCAAAGAGCTTTCATACTTAATGTGGTAAATTTAGTGGTGGATGATTTCTATATTTCATAATGATTTGATTAATTCATGTATTCAGAATAGAACCATAATCACCAAATGCACCAAATCAATTCAATTTTTTGAAAATTTTCTTGTGAGAACCCTCTCAGATACTCCATGATAAGCTTGTGACTAATGACACCTCCACACAGTTGCTGCATTTTGAATTCAGCCCCAATAGTAAGTTGTCCCGCCATTAAGTCAGTCTGCCCCTATCCTATTTGTTCCCTAGTCTTGGGAGGCTGATCATTATATGATTATTTTGATCTACTAAAATCAAGTAATGAGACTAATGAGTATTTAAATTTCAGATGAAATAAGAGAATTATCAAAACATGTTACTGATAGAAATAAAGAAGAAAGTCTTCAAAGACAGATCACAATGTTAAAGAGTGATATTTCAAAGGAAGTTGATAATATTCGTGATCAAGTTCAGAGTATTAAATCACGACATGATAGCAGTAGATATCAGTATAATAGTAATACCTTGGAATATACTAATAACTTTTCTAGATCCAGTAATAAAGAGATCTCAGACCTGTAAGTTGCCTTGTGTTTCATATTTCAAAACCTTCTAAGTATCTTCAGACTTTGAACTAATTATGTTTCATATTTCTTTTTCGTTTGTTAATACTTTTAAATATTTTGATGATATTTTTTTATATTTTGCAGTCGTGAGCTTATGAGAGATGAATTTGAATATTTGAGAACAGATATTGACTCACTCAAACAGAGAATAGGTATAGGTTTCTTTTAATTATCATATTAAGAATATTAATTATTTAATATTGAAAGAACTTTTAAAATCCAAATATGATCTTTTTATATCCACATCTCTCATTTTCTGAATAATAACCCTTGTGGTTTTAACCTTTGTAGTCTCACATACTGCTTCTTGAGTTTTTCATACAAACAAATTATGTAGGTGTATATGAAAAGAACTTTGGTGGTTTGAAACGCCATCCCGCTAAAGGACCTTTGGGTCTCAACCTAATTTCATTAAATTGATAATTTCTCATTTCACCAAGTGCATAGGGCATATAATCTAATATCTTTTTTTTGTAGGTTTTATGGAATCTCATGTACATAGTAACAAACTTGACAGCAATTCATCCAGGTTAACTAAGGTAAATTGTTTGAATTCATAGCTTTTATAAAACCCTGCTTCAATTGTAACTTCTGAAAAATATTGCGCTAGATTTTTAGTGCTAAATGCTTAACATACAGGACTTATAACCTTTAGTCATTTATTGTAGGTAATGGATAGATTATCTGATAATAGAAGATTATTACATGAAACAAGAGATATTATACCTAGTACTATAGCTGACAAATCTCTTGATAAATATGAAATGGCACATCTCAGGTAATAACACATCATACACAGTGACCTTTTTTAGGGACGTGTACCAAGCATGTAAAAACTCAATTATAAGGAATTTGAAACAGATCCTACTATTGTCCATGAATGAAGATTCTTTTTCATAATGAAGAATGATCATTTTAAAGCTAGGACACATTGTAAATGAAAACATAGCATATCTAGATCAATTGCTTGTGATTTATGCATGCACTCACATATTTTTGAAATATGTAAATTTCTTCTTGAAATTTTTCAGATCAAATGTATCTTTACTGAAAGATAAGTTAGACAAAGTAGAGGAGAAATTACAGCAAAGTTTAACAAAACAACCATTTACTTCAGCAACAACTTCATCATATCTTTCAAACAGCAGAATTTCCTCAGGTAATAATGGTTGTCCTGACAAATATTAGAGATAAAAAAGTGTAGATTTACAATTACAGTTTTCTGAACCAGTATTTTCATTTTGATTTCAAATAGGAGATTTGCATCCATGGAAGTGTGTGTCTCCAAATGGGCAAAACTATCATAGAATCAAAACAAACATGAATCATAGTAATTCAAACCATTTGATTTAAGGGTCCACTAATATACACAGCAGAAGATCGTACAACAAGCCAGTGTCCTGTGATATAGATGATCTCTATTTATCTGATGATAAATTTGAAGACAGTGATGAACTTGACTCTGATATTGATGACATAGAAGAAGATGGTGCTCCTGATTTAACATCTACACGAAGAAGAAAAACTTTTAAACATGAGACAGGTATGACATTTAAATTGAAAGGGGAATTTCTGGATCGGTGTCAGCTTTGTATAAACAGGAAGTGTCGTGTCACTAAATCCTTTCTCCCAGTGCTCAATTTTGTCAGTATTGTGAAATCAATTAGGTTTTTTCCATTTATGCCAATAGAGAGAGCAATTCTTATTTTATGGAGTTTATTTGATTATAGCTTTTTTCAAAACCCTGCTGCATTACCACTATCATATACATATTCAATATATGATATTTTTGTGTGTTTTGGGGTTTTTTTTATCTTATGTTCTCCTATTTCAGTTGATGATTTAGATCTAGAATTAATGAAGTTTGAGAAAGACGAAGTTGATGATGGTGATTTATCTGATGATGAATTAGATGATATTCTCGATAATATTTGATTAATTATTCTTTGATTCCATAAAATGATAAATGTGCTTTAACCCAACTGATGTTAAATTTCAATTATTTCTACAGTTAATTTACCTAACTGAACACAAATATATGGATATGGCTATTTCCTTAATATGTACTGCATTATGTGTTACACAGCGTTATAAATGATATGACTTCTTTTGTAGAATTGTTATATTGTTAATGATTAGTTATTGTGTTTTCAGTTATATTAATTCAATAAATATATTATGGTATGCTATTTTTGAATTATCACATGGCAGAGTTAGTGCTTTCGTTAGTGCTTTCTTTATGTTTATCAATCATTTAAAAGTAACATTTTAGAGACTTCATCTTGTGTTGTATCTATGCTTTGAATAATAAAGTACTTATTACATATAGACTTTTTTTTATAAAAAAAGATACAGTATATCCATAGTTCCTAACATTATCTTATTATCATATTACAAAGTAATTGAGGCTTTCACTGTTTTCTTGATACTTTATCAATAGTTGTTTGAAATGGATTTCAAAACATAACTACAACAGATAGCTAACAATTAAATGAATATTTGGAACATTCAAGTGATAAAATGAGGATACTATTATTGAAAGGTCCTGGAGAGCATAAGAATTTACTAATGCAAATAAGTTAGGTAACATAGTCAGTGACGTTTCTATGAAGGGCCGAGTAGGGGCCACAAAAGACGTACCGGCAATTCTTTTCCTATGTAAAATAATATGAAATTTGATATGAGGGCAAAGGCGGGGTTCGGCTCTATCTAAAATATTTGATGAATATAGGTAAGTGGAAAGAATATTTAATTTTGACCCGATTAGTATGCAGCATTGTATATTATAGAGTTAAACAATAGATTATCCTAAAGTTACCTGAACGCAACCAAGTAGCCTTAATGGGAAAATTTACTGTTGTCTGTATTCAGTCTAGATTATCTAGATGTAGACGGAAGTGAATTTCAAATCGAGGCGTCGCATTAGCAAGCTGCCATTGTTTCTCTGAGTAGATGCAAAGTGCTTGCGTGTTAGATATATTCCAGAAAATAGCACGGATCGTATGTTTTGAATAGATTTTTTTTCCAGTAGATTCTTGAGAGAAGATATCATGGAACCAGAATTCGAAAGAGATCAGAGTTCGGGTAACGATGCTGGTGGGAGTTTCAACAACAAAGAGAAGGGTCGAGACAGAAGGAGGTCACGCTCGCCAAGAAAACGATCACGAAGTAGAGACCGGGAAAGGAAACGATCCAGATCTAGGGAACGAGGTCGAAGAAAGCGATCTAAAAGTCATTCTCCAAAACCACAAAAACGAAAGAAGCCATACAAGTACTGGGATATTCCACCAGCTGGCTTTGAACATATGAGTGTGCCTCAATATAAAGCTATGCAAGCAGCAGGACAGATTCCAGCAGCTATGCCAATAATTCAAGCTCCCCAGGTTCCAGTTACCAATACAACCATACCATTTGCTGGAAGTACAATTAGTAGACAAGCTCGACGACTGTATGTTGGAAACATACCTTTTGGTGTTACAGAAGAAGCTATGATGGATTTCTTTAATGGTCAGATGAAGTTAACAGGGTTAGCACAGGCAGATGGAAACCCTGTTATTGCTGTTCAAATTAATTTAGACAAAAATTTTGCTTTTCTTGAATATAGGTCAGTAGATGAAACCACGCAAGCTATGGCATTTGATGGTATCAACTTCCAGGGACAATCATTGAAGATTCGAAGGCCCAGGGATTATCAACCACTTCCTGGGTTATCAGAACAACCTTCAATAAATGTCCCTGGCGTTGTGTCCACAGTGGTTCAAGATTCTCCCCACAAGATCTTTATAGGTGGTCTTCCTAATTATCTGAATGAAGATCAAGTGAAAGAACTTTTAACCTCATTTGGTCCTTTAAAAGCTTTTAATTTGGTGAAAGATAGTGCTACAGGTTTATCCAAGGGTTATGCATTTTGCGAATATGTTGACATAACAATCACAGATCAAGCATGTGCTGGTTTAAATGGTATGCAGCTTGGTGACAAGAAACTAATTGTGCAGAGAGCTAGTGTAGGTGCTAAGAATGGTCAAAATTTACCTGTTCAACTACAAGTACCTGGTTTAGATTTACAAATGGGAGCTGGTCCACCAACAGAAGTATTATGTTTAATGAACATGATATTAGCAGAGGAATTGGAAGATGAAGAAGAATATGAAGATATCGTTGAAGATGTAAAAGAAGAGTGTGGAAAATATGGTGTTGTCCGCAGTTTAGAAGTTCCCCGGCCAATCAGAGGGGTTGATGTACCTGGTCTTGGTAAAATATTCGTGGAATTCAATTCCATTATCGATTGTCAAAAAGCTCAACAAGCATTAGCTGGAAGGAAATTTTCACAAAGGGTTGTTGTCACATCATATTACGATCCTGAAAAATATCACAGAAGAGAATTTTAATCCTGTCATTGCAAATTGTTTTCATGTTTTTCAGCTTTGATTTGTAGATCATAATTTTTTTTACTTATGTTAAGTGAAAAATCCTCTCTTTTAGAATGATTCACCTTACTACGTCATTAATTTCATTTGTCATTGTTGATTCATTAGTATCAGAAATCTACTTTGGTTGATTTGGATTTTGTCAAGTATTTGGATTGATGAATTATGCTTTCTATATTATGTCAGTGTGGTTATTAGTGTATAATGCTAGTATTAACCTTACTGAAAGACTAGTTCAAGGATAATATTTCAATTTATGTTATCAATGTCATTTATCTTAATGTTAATTGCTTTAGAATGCTGAAGTGTTTTTTACTTGCAATGTAAATCTTCTTGAACCTAGGATATTTTATTTCAGTCAATAAAAACTGTATATATTCAGTAGTGCCTTTACTGAATGTGATTTTTTGTGGTGGTTATCTCTTTATTTTTATCCAGGCATCTCCAATTTTTTCATGTAGGGTTAATTCTCCAAAATTCAAATCATGCTGTAGGAAACTCTTATTTTTAGCTACCAGCATTTATTTTTAGCAAGATACAAAAAATTTTTGAAGGTGGACATTTCAGACACCAAAACTTTACATTTCAGTACAGTTTTCTGGATACCAATAGACCAAAAACTTTATTTGCAGCCTTTTCTTTTATAGCATAATATTCTATTGTAATTGGCCTAATTTTCTGTTCAATCTTTCGAAACAAACATACGAAATTTAATATGTAAAATATCACCCCATTTAGACTGTAAATTTTCACATAAATTCATTTCAATGATCAATGCATATGTTTACAGCATTCTCTTTAGCCTTTCAACAGTGGACAGGTTTTGATTAAAGAAGAACCTTGGTCTTTTCTTTGGCTTTCTATTTGCAGCAATCTCTTTAGGGCAGAATTGGGAGTATATTTTTATTTCCAGCCTTCTTTTTAGGGCAATCGTTTTGGGTTAATGGAGCCTGGGTAAATGAAAAGATAAGATGACCATAACAAGGGAAATCAAGCCTGCAATGAAGCAAGGTATTGGTATTGTCTTGGACTTTCAGGAATAGCAAGGATGCAATATCACAGATCCACCGCTTAAAGTATCTACTTATTCTTGACTCGTATACAAGATTTATATGTAACTGTCTATTCTGCATGACTATTTGAATGAAAAGTGGGTAACAAAGCAACTTGGCCTGGAAAGTAAATTATTGGACTATTATGCACAGTGGCAAAAAACCAGGCTAGAAATATTGCAAAGTTGACATAATTGAAACATCTTTCTATCTTTTGCAGAGATGCACGATCACAGCCTCCAAGGTGGTCTCGGAGAAGACCTTGTTCAGGGAAAGCGCCGCATTACTTTCAAAAAAGCTTTTAGAGACTGGTGACATCTGCCTCTTCCCTTTTATGCCCAAATGTCTACATGTGCATGTTAATTATAGGCGCACCCAGGCCTATCGGTCTGTTCGTTAACACAGTACAACCCATATTTTCTATCTTGATGTTCTCGAAGTATTGAAATACTGCGGTACCTGTAGGTTTCCGCCGATTTTCATGAAACTTGGAATGAAGTTGAACAAGACAAATTGAGTGTACATGTATAGGTCCGCATCTGAATTGATGTCTTTTGATAATATGTGTTGCTTACATACACTTGATGCTATTTACATGCGTACCGTGTATGTACGCCTTAATAGATTTAAATGAGTACAGGTTTGTTTTAAACAAAAACTTACATGTGATTACGTTGCATTAAACTTATAGTGGAGTCTGTTTGATCAGAGTTATTTCCCTTGTCAATATTATCATGAAACTTGATTTCAATCGATACTAGAAACTTACATTGATCATTGTAGGCTTCATATTCAAAAATGTTTTTCAGGGGTCAATCGCAAAATAATAGCTGGTAATGATAATTTTTTTTTAATCTTGGTAGTTGATCGAATCAAGTTCTTATGGAACTGCATAGAATCTTTTCGATGAATTGTTCGAACATTTAATAAGCTATTCTCAACGGAATTTAAAATATATTTGTGAAAGGTAAAGAACATAATTCCCAAAGTATTATTTGCTTTTGTATGAAAAGGGACATAAAGCATTAGTTTAGGACATATATGTATATAATTTGTGTGCCTTGATTATTTTTTTTTAATAAACGTTTCCAATGAGTTTTGTTTGTTTTAAACAATTATTTATCCTCATGTCTCCTTTTGAAACCTGCTTTAAATACGCATTATCCGATATGATCCTCGAAATTATAATATTATGCTTATACTCCAGCATGTACGGGGATTAATCGAACATATATATGGCTATCTCATTCTGCTCCATTCTTATCCCTCCGATATCTATATATTATAAGCCATATTTTCTTACTCTCTCGGCCTACTGTCATTAACAAGTTATAGGCCTATTGAAAATTATTCTGTTGATGGGCAGAGAGTTATATATTGGACCTTTCTGACGTTCTGATAATGACAAATTAAAATTCAGTGTAGGCTACCAAATGTTTAAGCCCGACTCAAAGGTCCAAAATATAGGAAATACAATCTCATAGTCAGTATTTTGATCGTGAATATATTTGTAGAAAAGGCTAAAGCAACACAAAAAATTTCAGTGTGTAAAAATCAATATATTTTCATTTACAAGTAGTTTTATTGAACCGAAACCTCCCAAGACCATGTTGGCTGAGTGTGCTGATTTTGAGTCGGAATCGACTATGCATATACACTATATTGTGTTTAACACAATGCTTGAATTAAAGCTACATAAACACATTTTGGCTGTGCCAAGCACAGTTCTGCTAGCATCGTATCACGAATACGAGTTTTGACATGGCCCCGAGGAAGTATGACGAGGGTGTGGACACGATGTTCTGCTACGTACTTTGACACGATATTTTAGTATTAAGTTAGTTGTGGTCTGAACCCGACAGGTGCTTGACGATTTACTCCGGTACTGCTTTGTTTACAAGATGGCCGCCGAATCGGACAAGTTATTTGAAATAACTAGAACATCTGAAGAATTATCTAAATTAGCTTCAAATCTTTTAGATTTAGAAGAGCAGTTACCATGCAATCGAAACCAGGTTATCAGACCAGGCTCTCAACTTTCCGAAAAGCTTCATTTTCATGATAAAAATGGAAACGTTGTCTCTGCTTATCCTGTCATAGTAGATTTTCGTAGACTTCTACAACTTCATAATACAAACCCATATCATAACAATGATGTCATATCTGGTGTAAGTATACACAGTTTTGGTTTCAAAAAAATGAATTAAAATTAAGCATAATCATTTACTTTAGCAGCCTATAGCCTAGTTCGAAACGTCTGCTTCTATTCCAGCCTCAGATCTAGAGGCCCTGTAGAGGTACGTTTTCTCTAACATAATATTGAAATACCTTTAAGATGATTGTAAATTAGAGTTGGGCATCACCGTAACTTTCGTTTTGTTAGTATCATGTGAATCTGTGACCTTTGAACTTTTGGCTGTGCATTCAGTTTTAAATGGCTGATGCTAAATCAGTTTCGCCCAAAAAAAATTTTTCTAGATCCGGTAGCCTATTTTTTGTATAATGATTGTAATGAAATTTTGCTTGCAATATACCTTTAAACATCTAACTATTTGAATCTATTACAGATATCAAATGACAATCTTCTACATGCTGTTGTTGGTTTATATGATATTGCTTTATCCGAGATGACTTTAGATGTATTATATGCTACAGTTTGTGAAAAATGGGCAAGGACAATTGTTTTAGTGCAGGATATGAAAGGTAAATTCTTAAATAAAATTCCAAGTTTCATCTCATGTAATAAGTTAACATGAGATCAATCTTAGGACAAAAAAACTTCAATCTCACTCCAATGAAATAAATGGAGCTTTACATCCTACTTTTCTGAACCTATAAAATTTGAGCTAATGTAATCTAACGCCAATTACAGCATTTCAGTTTACTCTCATGAGTTACAGGGTAACTATCAACCTATACTTATATAAACTTATAACATTTTGAGTAAAAATATTTTAGATGCTGTAAAAGATGCAGAATTTAGGAAGAAAGAGAAAAAAGAGCAAATGAATGGCAAGAGTGAAAGTGATGATGAGTCTAATAAATTGGATGAAAAATTAAATGTGGATATCGGTGATGATAAATATGAAGAAGAGGAAGGTTCACCAAGTAAATTTGAAGGTGTATTTAGTGATGTAGAAGATGATGAAGAAGATGATGATGAAGAAGAAGAAGATGAAAGGTATTTTAGATTTTTCTTTCTCAAGCTAAGAGCTAGATAGAGAACTGATTGGGATGTGTGAATCTATCACAGATGTTTTCTAGATGTGCAGCTGTACCACAAATATATCTTAAATATGCAAAATTGTGCTTTAAAATTGTTTTATAGGGTAGACTGATAACTTCTATGTGGACTTAGACCTTTCTCAAATCTTTGAGAAGTTGGTTTAAGAAGGCTTTCTTAAGTTGATAAATTTTAATGATTACACATTGATTTCTAATTGACAGTGATGAAGAAGATTTTTCTGTTGGTATTCACTCATTTATAAAATCAGCTGTTACGCGACGAAAACAACGTAATGTGAAAGAGACGTCTTTAGATGAACATGATATTGGTGTTGAAAGTAGAATAATAGGCTGTCTAACATTTGAAAAGAAATATGTGTAAGTGGTATCTTATATGCCTGATTATCTTAATAAAGTAACACATACAACAAATATGTTTTTTTTTATTCTTACCTAAAGCAGTATTTCACGTTTCACTACAAATTAAGTAACACTTGGTAACGATTAACTGACTTATTTTATGTGAAAAAAAATTAATTGATATTCCTTTTAGGAGACATAAAGAGCGAGTTGTTCATTTAACTATTGTTACAGTTCGTCCCAGATATAGAAAATATGGTATTGGAAAATATTTACTTTCGGTAAGATTTATTTTACTTGAAATATGCATTAATACACCATTCTTCTCACTCCTCTGTTTATATAAATTCAATTTTGCAACAAGATTGTAAACAACTGTTTATTTATTTGTTAGGCAAGGCCATATTCATATATTACCTGTTACACATTAGTAGCTACTTGATAATCATTATGATAACAACAACCAAATAAATGATAGTAGTACATGTTTTTGTTTGATATTAACAGCAAGTGATAGATTCCAGTGTATCTGGTCAATATGAAGCTATAGTGGTACATGCTGACAATGGAGCTGTGGAATTCTTTCAAAAATTTGGATTTTCTGATGATGTAGTATTGAACAGTAGATGGAGGTAAGTTGGTTGAGATTTCAATTTAGATCAGCTTTGAACACCATGTATGTTGTTTGCCATGTGAATTATTGTAGATTATGATACAACTATATTTCTTGATACTTATCAGTCTTGTATTATCTTATCCCACACTTACACACTAAAATGTTTTCTTGTTTTTCAGTGAATTAGCGGAACAGTTTACAAATTGTACACTGATGTGTTACTTACCTGGTTTTACTGGTAGGTAGTTCTTTAAATTGTTGAAACTTTCATATTGACAAGTTTAAATATATTATTTTAAAAGGTTTAAGCTGCCATGGATTCTGTGGCTCGTTCTGTTTAAACATAACAAAAGGGTCTCTCTTGATAATATGCTATGAATTTTTTTGTAATTCAATATTATACAGGACATACAGTATTAAGTGCTATCAATCTACCAGGATTAGAAGTGTATGAAATGGATCAAGAATTAAAGAAATGGTGAGCCTAGTTTCCAATTACATGTATTACTATTTGAAGAAGTGTTCCTTTGCATTCCTCGTAGAGACACATTATGTATTTAATTTTGCACCTTTGAGTTGATTAATAAAAGTCTATTATAGCTTATCAAGACTTTTAGAAAAAAAAGTTAGCCAACTTGACATTTTAGTTCCCCTGATCATAAAGGGTTAAATGATTGGCAGGAGAGTTTCATGTCATCCTTCATGTAACTTCCCTATTATCATCAATACCATGTGTATTTTTCAGGAAAGACAAGACATTAGAATCGTATCAGGCACAAATAACATGTGTAATGAGAATGAAGCAGGAAATATTCAATCTGCAGAAAAAGGTGAAATGTCAAGATAACATGATAAAAATGTTAGCAGTGGAAAATGAAAAGGTGAAGCAAGAGAAAATAATATTAGGTAAGGATAGACAGTGGTAGTATTCAAGCACATTATTTTATTATAGTAATATGATTCACTAGCAACATCCTGTGAAACATTGAACACTCTTCGTAATCCAACCCAATACTCACCTCCCCAGCTTCCAACTTATTTTTGTTTCCAAACGCTGACCTACTTATGTCTTTTTCAATAGAAAAAGAACTGATGATACAGAAATTAAACACAAGAACCAACATGCCTGGAGGTATGTCTATATATTTATATCTTCTCAATTTGTAGTACTGAAAGTATCATTTGTTTGTAACTAATAGAATTAATAAGTAGGATTTCTAAGTCAAGAGATTTGGCTCTTATAATATAATTTCTGATCATCTGACATATGAGTAAAGAACTATCACTTCAGTGCATCTGTTTTTTAAGGAGAAGAAGAATTGTCAACCAGTGAACTAATAACAAGATTACAAGAGGAAGTCAACAAGTTAGAATGTAGTGATATCAGACTACAGATTGGCTCTAGAATTGAGGGTAGGTGGATTATGTATAAAATGTGGCAGTGACAAACATTTGATTAAGCAAATCATTTCAGTTGTTCAATATTTGACTTATTTATTGAAGAATTGACATTGTCATTTCATTTAATAGATGAATTTTTAATTCTTGAGTAAAAATTTTCATCTCAAGACTATTAACAGTTTTGCTATACAAGTATTTGATAAATCAAATCCTCAAAATGTGATACTAACTGAATCTCAGTACTGAAAGGTACTTTTTACTAATTTTTAATTGAAAATATTCTTGTCATTTCAGAATATAAAGATTTAGATGTCTTTCCCATGTCTCCGCTGCGAAAACATCAGGAACCATATGATCATATGATGGATGCTGCCTTATTTTATGATATAAGTCAACAATTTAAAGAAGCTATGCATGCTGATCCTTGTATTAAAATACAATATGAAGTCACTTCTGTACATAAGGTATGTCTAAACTAAGACTTGTAGCGATGTCAATTTATTGCATAAAGAAAGATATATTCATCTAAGAATCATTTTCCTTCTGGTTGATGTCAAATTCAACCTTCCATAGCTATTATTATCAGTATTTAGATTATTGTTCCTCTCTGTTTTAATCGTAAGTCTATCAGAAGTAAGGAATTCAATGTGAAAAATGTAATGATGTTATGTTCCTATGTTAATAATTTTTTTAGGCCACCTTGTCGAATGAGGTTAAAGATAGATATAAAACTGCTACTTTAGCTCTACATGATTCCAATATGGTCACACAGCTCTATTATTGTGGTGGGTTAGAAAATCCTCAAAGGTTAAATCAGATAATGCAGACAGGATTTACAGAACAAGGTATTTATGTGATACATATTACAACAAAGCTATAATTAGATGAAAAAGTCTTTGGAATCCTCGAATCCCTTTTGGTGATTTTTGTCTCAGAATATCAATTGAAATTTAATCATTTGTATGTTTTCTTGTTTTTACCAGATTTTTCTCACGGAGAGTTTGGAAGAGGATTATATTTCTCTAAATATCCTTCAAGGGCTGCTCAGTTTTCAGCAGTAAGTATATGAATATTATTCTTTGGATCAAGTTGATGGCATGTAGTAAAACCAGTTGTCACTCCCAAATTATATTAGGCCATACTTGATTTCACATTTTTTAGTCTTTATTATCCAAAAGTGCAGGAAAGAAGGATTCAAATCTTTGCCATTTCATTTCATATATTAAAGGCTTAAAATGCCACAATTGGTTAAGAGAACTATAAATGGTTATAAAACTTGGCACCTTGTGTGTTTTTTTAATGACTATATTATTTTCTATTTCAGTTTAGTATATTAGTTTTAGTTGAAGTGGGTTTAGGCTCTGTTGAAACGGTTACTAAGCCAGATAGAGCTAGAACTAAACCATCATCTGATGCTGATTCTATCATTGTAAGTAATATTATGTTTTGTTATTATTGACAACTGTACATTGATAATAAGTGCCCTGATGGTCGATTTTATATATTTTTGGATGTGAAAATTAGTTTCTATAAATATGTGAATATGAAGGTCCATAAAATAGATTGCCAAATAAAATATTGGGTCATATTCACAAATACTTAACTTTGTGAACATTGTACCATTGCTAAACTAGATTTAATGTCAATTGTATTGATCAATAAGATTAAATATTTCTTAAAATCTAATTTTGTCCAAGTTATGTTATTGTAAATCGGACAATAATATGATTTTTAACCTTGGAAGTGTAAATATATGCTATACATTTTTTATATATGCTTTTTCAGACACCAGGAAGATTGTATAAACTGGAAGATGAGACACATGAATCCATGTTTAATCAGGAATATGTTATATTTAATACCAAACAAATTCTACCATTATGTCTGATCAACTATGTTACTGCTGACCATGGGTCTTGATAATGACAACTGCTCAGTTACGTCTTGTAATTGATTTATTGTTACAATTCAACAGTCAATACAGCAAAATTAGTAGATAAATGTAATAAACGAGAGCTATAGTCAAGACAATTGATATATTATCAGTTACCAATCAGTACCAAGAGTAAGACAAGTATTATATTTGATTGTTATCTGTGCCAATCAGTATTACTTTTATTAAAAAATTCATATCAACTAGGTATACTTCCATATATTCTTATATATATTGATATTAATATGTTCTTTAATGAAACATAAATCTGCTGTTGCTTAGTATATAAAAAAAATATTCCAATTTGTACTGTTTTACCAAAAATATTTTTTCAGCACCTAGTTTAGTATTATGTACTGTAGTAGGATTATTTATCTTGGATATATTTGGACAGTTTTGAATTATAAAATTGAATTGTTCTGATTAATGAGAGAAAGAATCTGTTATGTGATAATTTTAAACAAAAAATATTTTATGTTATTTTAATTTATAAATTATATTATTAATTTATGTCAAGATGTCATTTATTTTTATTGTATATTTCAATAAATTTTATTTTCAAATTGTTCATAATTTTGTACTTTCATTTACCTCGAAAGTGGGAAAGGGACATTCGAGAATTCTTCTTAGTCATAGAAATCATAGATTGTTTCTTAATGTTGAAAAGTCATTTTGCAATGTGTTATTAAAAGATGAAATTGGGGACTAGTTTGTCAGTGACGTCACACACCAGTTCAGGGGCCGTTTTTAAGACACTTATGACAAGGCATGTGCATATGCTATTGCTCTGAAGAATGACCAGTGATTTTTTTAGTGAGGATACCATGACATTAACAAAGAATGATGCATGTAACAACAACAATTTAATAGTGATGGGTGCAAAATGGTCTACAATTTATGGAGTTTGAAATAAATAACCAACTAATACAAATAGTTTCCGTATTTAATACATTATTTAAAAAGTGTATCCAGTTGCTTCTGTATAGTCTCTAATTGCTGATAAAATTCATAAAGTTCTTCATGAGAAAAGTCTAATCTTATTCTTTCTTTCTGTTCACTATCTTCACTTTTTAATGCTAGTTCTATTAAAGTATTTGGTGCTTTAAGTTTCACCTTTGATGATTGTGCCAACTGTAAATTAAGTCTCCAATTTATATCTTCTAACACTTTAGGGGCTAACCCTTTACTTTTAAGTCTATTAATCACTTCATAAGCACCATTTGACCACACTTCCACAATGCAATCCACTTTATCTTCATTTATTTCAAGCCCTTTCAACTGACTGGCCAAAACTTGAGGCTTTGCCGAATGGTATGCTGCCTGTTGAACAAAAAATTCCAAAGTTTCCAAAATCAGACCAAGATCATCACCTGACACATCCAAAGCACCTTGCAACTTGGATTCTTCCTCCTCTGAAAACGGTCTGCTTTCCGAGACGTAAAGTTTTGATAAAATTCTGGAAAGCAATAAAGAAACTTTTGAATTATCCAAATTATTTATCAAAGATACGGCTTTTTGAATACTGGGTGTATTTGTAAACATAAGCGCCGCCATGTTGAATGTCATATGACTTATTGACCTAACTAACAATGTCAAGGTCTATTTTCATTCGGGCTAACGAGATTATTACGTTATTCTGGTAGAAAATTAAGATTAGAGTTGGTGGATAACTACAAATTATTTCACTATTGCAAATTAATCGCATTTATTTCATTAACTAATCCAGTAAAACAACTCTAAGATAAACTTATTATTAATTTGATTAAATTGTATGGATTTTGTCAAGATATGTATTAACCGGTTATCCCCCTTGCATTGGCTGAAAATGTAAACAAATAGATGTTGTTATGCTCAATTTTAGTTTTGTTTCAAATCATTCCATCATTATTAAATTTGTAACTTAAATTTTGACACTGGAATAATGGGAAGCAGTGCAAGTAATGTTAAAGAAGGTGCTCCAGTAAATCCTAGACTTCTTTACACCGAAAATTTGTCAAAAAATAATAACAAGGTCAGTTTTGTATGTTGTTGGTAAGTCCGTCGCGGCGCTCCATGTCAGCTTGTTCTTTAGACCACTAAATCGAAATAGATCTAACAAAGAATATTTCTAATATCAATTTACCACTAGCTTTTAACTGTCCAGACAATAAATGTCAAACTAATATCAGAAGCTTATAAGAATAAACAAGTTTCATGCTGAATAGGAAATGTATTAGGACATTTTTTTTTTTGATGTATCTTTTGATGTAGCTATTTATAATTGATATGTTGCAGCCATTGGTTTTAGACACACCAGTTTTGATAGATGTAGATCATGGTTCTATAAGATATAGATATGGTCCGTATAAAGATGAACCAGTTGACAAAAGAAAGAGAGTAGAGAGACCCTATGGTGGAAGTGAAACTGTGGATAAAAAACATTATTTCTATCATGCTAGAGTCAAAAAAGGTTAGTAACTTTAGAAACCATAATGTTTAAAATTTTTCTTAGCCTAATCTTCAACTTCAAATGTAAAGGATGTCATTTTTAGTATGGTTTAGTTTGACTTGATTCATTTTGGGAATATTCTGAAGCTATCCTCAATTTTGCTTTTTAGTCTTCTTTTGAGGATCATGTTAATGGTGAAAGACACAAAGAACTATTGTGTTTCTCTTGACGTCAATCTTGACTTGAGAAATGAGATAATGTCATTGATGATAATGATCATGGAAATGTACTTGCAATGAAGTAAATGGAAATATATCAAATTAATGTAATGTTGTTTATTCCTCTATATTTAGATGGAGAAGAAGATTTTAAAAGAGTTTATGTTGCTAAAGGACCAACTAGATCTAAAGACAAGTTTATTTATTATGTTTATGGTAAAGGTGGTTTTGAAGGTCAAGATGGTGACAAAGTTTATCCTTCACAGAATAAATTAGAAGACAAAGATTATGCTTGGCCAGCAAATAGAAATTTTAATGATCTTTATTATGAAGTTTCATTTCCACTACAAGGTATATAAGCTGTGTATTCACCCTGTAAATTTCGGCCATCTGCTCATAATAGACTGTCTAATATTAGTGCTGTAGAACTCACATTGTTTAGTTAGCTGATTTCTCAAAAATTTTTTAACAAAAACATAAGAGTTGTTGAGTACCAGAGTGTTTATTCCTAAAGTAATGTCAAATTTAATTTTATTTTTTAACAGCTGGTAGTCCTTGTTTTGTTCTTACCAAATATAGAATATTATTTTGGTTCATTAAAACTAAAAATTCAGTGGACTTACCTGATGTCATAAAGTTAAAACAGACTCACTGCAAAAATTCACAAAACTAATTATTGAAAAATGCCTAATCTTAATAATAAGCGTTTTTCAATAGTTGATTGCATATTTATGGATAATCGATAATTACTAAGTTTTTTGGATTTATCGGATTATATAAGGATCCTGTTATGTTATTTATGACACCAGGTATATGTACTGATGAATATATGCTCTTATTTACCAAGTTTAAAATTATTAAATTTTATGTTCATTCTAAAATGTAGTGTTCCTTTAAGATAAACTCTTGTCAAAGAAATATAGATATAGAACTTGGCTATATATATTTGTTGGATGAAAGGGAGTTTCTACATACAGACCTATATCTTTGTCATATATGTACATGTAAAATGATTTTATTCTGGTTTCTATTAGAAGACAATGTAGAAATGATTGAAGAATATAATGAAGAAGATAATTTCATATCAGAATTAGAATCTACACCTGATAAATCATTAATAAAGTATGTATTTCTCTCTTATTTTTAATATTTATACCACTTGTCATGTGTGTACTGCAAACATTGACACACAAGTATTTCAGTATTTAATATTACGTTGTTCAATTTTCATAGCTGTTCCGTTGCCAAAAGGGATAGATTAACAAGGTTTTTGAATTATGAACTGTATTTCTAGATGACTGATTTATAACACTTCAGGTTACTGTTACATGATACAGATACAGCATTAAATATCAAATCATCTTTAGTTATTAAATTACTGAAAGCTGCTAGTAATATTCATATCTATTATAAAAATAAAGAATTAAGGTAATGATATATGATATTTACCATAATTGACTACATTATATGAATTGTCCAGTTAAATTAAAGACAAGGCATTGTGTTCAATGATTTGATAATTTATATCTTCAAAAAATCGCAATAGCTTTTGATAATATTATAGCCATTGTGTTCTGAATATTTGCGTGTATAGTGCGCACCTTTTGTTTGTACATTACTTGTAAATATTCTAAGAACTGAGAAATGGTATGTCTGATGCCATTGCTACAACCTTATTGGCAAATATCACTACTTATAAGAATTGTGTTCATTTCAGAAATGAGGATGTAATAAGTGATCTGAGAGATGGTGACCAAAGTAATTCTAAAATATTTCAAGTGCAATTATCAAGAAAATAAATTTCCATTGTGATATAAATCTATCTGTGATATTTTATATAATAATTTTTGCTATTTAATCTGTGTGCAATATCAATTTTATTCTGAAAACATTGAAATATTGATCCAGTCCAAATTATTGTGATTTTTTTTCTTTACTTTTCCTTTAATTATATTGAAGCATTGTAAGAAATGTATTTTATTGAATTTTCTTCAATTTATATGTTATAATGCATTTGTATAATAAACTTCATGATATTCAATTGTATTCTTGACTCTACAGAAAGAGATGTTATTTGATTACGCTACTACCTCCTTGGTGAGTCAAATACAATAACAGCTACCACGATGTCGGGGATTTGTAATTCAGAGCAGAAAAGTTCCTAAAGCAGCAATATATTGAAATATTCTTGTCACAGGGTCCATTCATTTATATAAGAATAGAACCAAAAGTTTGTTGTTACCCATAGTTCACTATGAGTGATCGTCAGACAACTGATTTTCTTCAGTCTGTGTCCCTATTGAAGTTTGACATGTATGTATATAAAGAAAAGACAATGGATCTTTTTGGTCAGAGGACTGTGATTGACAATGATATGTCTGGTTTTGACTTAGTGGAATCAGGCCCTTTGTATCGTGGTAATCATGTGCAGAACCCATATTCAACAAATTTTTATCTGAATATGTGCGAACTTTCCTCTCACTAAACACTACATAATCCATTATAGAAGAAATCTAAAGCTCGACGTTTTTTGTCCACGTAAAAGTTTATGTGAAACTGTTTAAGATTGATTATTCAATCAGTCCCAATGGCTAGTCTTTAACTACGGTAGTTATAGCACCAGCTTAACATCGGTGCCAACCGATCGAATTTCAATTTATTTAGAGTTCACTTTAAATCGCGATAGTAATTTGATGAATTGGTTCGGTGCCAAATAAAAACTGTGAAATATGGTGGTCATACGATCCCTCGTTGTTTAAAAAGACCGATATAGATTTTATAAAGTAGGAGAATAAAAATCAACATGACTTGACTAGAATGATGATTAAGACCGAAATCATCATGTTTTCTATGTACAGAGTCTAAGACGAAAATCAATGTTGATCGAAGATTCTTGTGTTACCAACCCAAATAGTCAATATACTCTTCAATTGTTAATTTACTTTTACTTTTATTATAAATATCTTGATGTCTTTATCTTTTTATTTTACTTTCTCACGAAATTCATTTAAACCAAGCCCTTTACATAAAAAATAAGCCTTCAAATTGATATTCTACTTATTGCTATGTCTTAGTTTGCACTGCCTGATAGAAAGTACAAGAGTTTACACAAGAGTCAACAATTATCAGATTTGATCTGATGTTATATATGTTTAAAACATTTAGCTGCACCTTTGAATGAAATTAAGATATTCTCTTGTGTTGAATAATCTCCATTTCCGACTTCCAGAACGACATGAAATACTCAACCCGCTGTCGGTAATATATCAACCACACCAACTGCTAATTTTATTCATTCAATGCTTCCTTCAATGAATAATTTCGGTCTGCACTTGTGTTAAATACAGGTTATTTGTGTTTGAATGGTAGAGGTCGTAGACTGAATGTTGGAGTGGCGCCAGTGTTTCCCGTGTTACGCCTGTTAATTAATACCTAGTTTCATTTGATAACTGCTAATTCTGTTTTATCAACATAATGTTTAAAAAAAATCTGACTTTAAACCTACTGCAGTTTTCAGATATATTTTTTAAGAAAGGTAATCAGTAAACTCACGTTCAATTAAAGAAAGCTGATAAGGTAATATTTTTCAAACTTACTGGCAAGGCTTCCATTTCAATTGCATGAAATTGACCAAAATTAGACTGCGTCAGTTGTGTAACTAGACATATTCTGAAAACGACGGATATTAAAGAAAGAGACATCTTTATATTTTAATATCGATAGACAAGACATCTTTATAGTATACTAAAATATAGACAATGTCAATAGAGAAATAGACATCTGTATAATATACTAGCAATAGAGAAACAAACATCTTAATGTTCAACTACCAATAGAAAAAACAGACATCTTAATGTTCGATTACCAATAGAGAAACAGACACATTAATGTTCAACTACCAATAGAAAAAAACAGACATCTTAATATTCAACTACCAATAGAGAAACAGACACATTAATGTTCAACTACCAATAGAGAAACAGACACATTAATATTCAACTACCAATAGAGAAACAGACACATTAATATTCAACTACCAATAGAGAAACAGACACATTAATATTCAACTACCAATAGAGAAACAGACACATTAATGTTCAACTACCAATAGAGAAACAAACATCTTAATGTTCAACTACCAATAGGGAAACAAACATCTTAATGTTCAACTACCAATAGAGAAACAGACACATTAATGTTCAACTACCAATAGAAAAAACAGACATCTTAATGTTCGATTACCAATAGAGAAACAGACACATTAATGTTCAACTACCAATAGAGAAACAAACATCTTAATGTTCAACTACCAATAGAGAAACAGACATCTTAATATTCAACTACCAATAGAAAAACAGACATCTTAATATTCAACTACCAATAGAGAAACAGACACATTAATGTTCAACTACCAATAGAGAAACAAACATCTTAATGTTCAACTACCAATAGAGAAACAGCCATCTTAATATTCAACTACCAATAGAGAAACAGACATCTTAATATTCAACTACCAATAGAGAAACAGACATCTTAATATTCAACTACCAATAGAGAAACAGACACATTAATGTTCAACTACCAATAGAGAAATAGACATCTCTATATTTTATTATCCATAGATACACACCGTTTAAATTCTACTGTCAGTAGAGAAATAGACATCTTTATAGTCTACTGTTAGTAGAAAAAAATAATAAACATCTATCTAATATCAATTTCCGAATTCTAGAAAGCTAGAACCGCTTTTATGTATATTCTACAATCAAAAAAGAAACTGGATCAGTACTTGAATAAATAGTCTAAAGTATAACGTGATATTTAACAACTACAGGGACATTTAAATGAGGATAATGTTGTTCGACAGTAGCTCTGCAGTATAGGAATACTTGTAATTAATTGAAGAAATCATTTGCTGACTGCATTTGGAAGTAATTACGCTAATGCTGGTAAATATTACCTGAATTATTGAGCTACGCAAGTGGAAATAAATTGCCATTTTACATGTTTCTATCTCTTCAATAATTTGTTTGTTATTTTAAGCCAGACTTCTCTGATTTAAGAATCTGTAGCTTGTGTAACTGCGCAAACTTCAGAAATCTGCTCAGTGTTCAAACCTTACTTCTTATTTCAAACGGTATAGGCTACCGATAATAGTGCTTAGCATAATTATGATTTGTTGGTGTATTTAAGTATATTTGTTGACTTCTATATGTTTCCTAATTCCACTGGATTTTTCTAGAAAATATGGAATAAAATAATTAATTTCACACGAACAGATAGTAAAATGTTGTATTAAGCACGATTTTCAGAGGGAATGTTATTTTTTATATCTCGAATATAAATTCTTTTTCGAGAAAATGAACACCAGACATAAAATAACACGTTGGTTTATTGGCGGTACAATTTGTCGTCTGGGTGTGAACTTCCGGTAATAAGTCTCGTGGAATGGTTTCTTATGTTGTCACTAACCTCAATTACAAAAACCTGGAATATTTTCTCATATAATATGAATTATTAAAACATTCTCTCACGTTAGAGTATCAATTCGTATGTACCAGGTTAACAATAATATATCTATACATATATTGTCCTATATATATATTGGTTGCTTCTCCCATTTTAGATTGGTTTTACAGACTCGGCGAAAATCAGCAAGTTTAAAGATTATCTTTCAGACGAAATATTGGAATTAAAATTAAATCAGACTCAGATTGCGTCCTGTCCCAAAATACCCATCACCCACTCCTTCAAAAAGAGAGGATTGATATGACCTTTTGGCTGTTAAGAGTTGAACCTTATGTAAAAAAAATGTCCTTGGACAGACAAAATAAAGGTGTTATTCTTTGACAACAATATAGGATTTAATTGTCTGGCAATATGGTACAAAATCGATAATATTAACCGAATTAACTACTTTGATTGATTTAAACAGGAATTGATTCTTCCTTTCTTTATTAAAACTATTGTGTTGTTTCTTATATTGCTGTACTTGTGTACGCAGCCAAACTGGTCATTACCCAGACCACATTATAGGCAATTTCTACCAAATATTCATTTTTTAGTAGGTCGGGCTAGTAAATACATTATTCCTGGACCTAATATACTTGAAATTTTTATCATATTAGCTAATATTTTTATCTAATTGTCCAAACTTAACAAAAATAAAAATAAATGCTTGACACTGCCAGTCAATAATAACTTCTGGATTATGTTTCAATCGTTCGTTGACACACAAAACGTAGATGAGATGACAAATGCTGAGAACTTCTGTGGTATCAAATGGTAAAAATAGCTTATCCACATACAACCCAGGGCGTGTAGGAACCGTTAGAATGCCATAAACTTGTCTTACACATAGGCTTAATTAATGTGCATATCCCTTGGCAATGAACGAGAAAAACAGCCTAACCAAATGTCACCAATCTGTTGAGTTCCAGGCATTTTATTTCTGTACTTCTTTTTGGTTCCTTCCTTATTTGGCATCATAATTACGTTACCCAATGCACCTTAACGAGCTCGATATATATGCATCCAGGCAGATAAGATAAAAGACATCTTATGCAACCTTTTGTAATATTTGAAAAACCAAACCCTAAAAGTAGAACCCCATTTTTGATAACTATGAAGAATACAATACAGTATATAAGTCTTTAATCATTCAGGAAAAAATATAACACTTGCAGGGTTCATTAATATAAGATTATAGTATGTTAAAAATATATGCGATATGAAAAAATAAATATAAATATATATTATGAGAATTTTCAGATAAGGCACGACTTAATTCAGATATTGGTCAAATTCATCCCGATCGACTTCTGTTAATCCCTCCACGGCCGCAAAGGTGTTAATGTGATCATCTCGTGAAAATACTGAGGCAGCTGTAGATCTGAGAGTCTCCGCTTTTGATCCAAATTGCTCGAACTGTTCTGGCACATTTTCATCATTGCATTCAATCTTTATAAAACGGTTGTCTATCGTATAGCTAGGAGCAAGTCTGAAGGATGCACTGATCATATTATTGGTATCATAACATAAAAACTTCGGCAAATTCTCTACCAAATGAACACTATCGTCAGATTTTTCAGATGCACATAGTGGTGTTTCAGATGCAGTATACCCATTGTCCAGATAACAATATTCATTTTTAAACATATGGTTCCTATCAGAATAGTCTACTGTTGGATTGTCTAGAACAGTCACAGATGTATTTCCAGAACTGATATGATGAGAAGGATCGTGATGGTTGGTTGAGTTTGGTATAGCTGATCTAATGATATGGTTTTTTGTAAACTGCGCTGGTGATGTTTGAAGGCCTGCAACTTTGACATCTGATTGGTTCCTTTTACAATTCATTGAAATAGGAGAATAAGCATTATAAACCCATTTTCTGTTAGTTTCAATAGAGTTATTAAATGCTGGAATTTGACATATCCTTTTAGAAACTTTCTTTCGTCTCGGTTTATATTTATAATTTGGATATTTTTGCATGTGTTGTAAACGTAACCATTCAGCTTCATCGATGAATGGTCGTTTTTCCTCTTTAGTCATAACTTTCCATTTCTTGCCTGCAAAAATGAAGATATATCGATTTATAGGTAGAATTAATTTGATTGCTCTTAAACCATTTGAATGACATTCAATCACTCTGCTATAGTAGACTTTTATTTTTTCGCGATGCCCAAAAACAAAAATGTGATTTGACACAACCCAAGGGTTACCGTAGTTTTCATTTTACCAGCTGATAGGGCATTACAACTAAACACGAATTTTTTTTAGAACGAAGCTCGGATATCTGATATGTTTCCAGTTACGTTGTTGCAGCAGTGAGTATCTGATTGAAGGACGCGCATAATATAATATGCTTCTGAATTTCAATGTAAAGGGTTTAGATGACGTTTTCTTTTATTTTGTCTTATTGCAATGCGGACACTAGAATTTTAAAATAATGACTCAACATTGTTAAATTTGAAAAGATAACCTTTTCTTGATAAGAATTCAGGAATTTGTATTTAAGAAAATGTCTCAGTCATAAATTAGGTTTTTAGTAAACATATGATAAGAGAAAAACAGATACATGTAAACTAAGATTACAGGTGTCCCAATCTGCTAGATACATGATCTTAATACAAAACATTTTAAAGTTTTATGTCAGCAAATGCACCATACTCTTTAGTATAAGCGTTTGAAAAGTGAAAATATTTTCTTTTTGACACTAAGCAACAGTTGTAGCATTTTAACGAAAATATAGGCGCATGAATTACCGCGTAAAATATTGCTAGATAAATTTTGGTATGTAAATACATGTATTCTTTACCGCATGTAATTTGTATATATCGATCCTTGTATCGGCATCTTTTCACAAGCTCGGACTGTCGGTCGGTTATCTGTTCCACAATCAGGCACACTACACGTTTTTCTAGAAGTGAAGTCTATATCACTTACCTAATATTTTACTTAAATCAGCATTATGTATGTCCGGATTTTCTCCTGCCAATTTCTTCCTTTCACTTCTAGCCCACACCATAAAAGCATTCATAGGCCGTCGAATTCGTCTCTCATATTTCTGACTAATGGTGTCTACAGGACTGATAAATGTCTCTTGTTCCATTGTGTTATTCTAATGTAAGATGAGATACAATTTAACTGTTGGTCTCTTAAACAAAATGGCGTTCTGAAAATACACCTTTCACTTGTCGCTAAACCTATTATTCCAGATGTCGAAACACATTCAGATTCATATTTCCACAACCAAGTCAAAAGTCGACACAAAATGACTTCCTTATACTTCTTGTAAGGTACTATATTAAATTGGAACCAAATTTGTTTTGTCTCGCTATAAACTAAGTATGTTTTAAATTGGCCAACCAATCATTTGATATTTTGGTGACCGTGTCGCTTAAACTGGCAGACGACAGGAGCAGTATGTTAAATCTGGTAACAGTTTCACTTCTGGAATGTTTTAGTGGAGGAAAGTGACTATCCTTCTGTAGGACATTAAAGTGACATTTCTATATTAGATACACCGGCAATTTGAACACGTGTTCGTTAATTAAATTCCGGGCATTTAACCGTGGAAAAAACATTTGCAATTTTGCAGATCTGCAATTTCTGAAAGATCTACCCATATTGGTTTATGATTTATAGACTGTATAATGCTTTGTCTCTGTAAATCCGACAATTTCAAACGTGATTATTAATACACTTGAGATGATAATTAGGTGTAAAGATACGATAAAATAAATGCTGAAAATTTTAGTGTCCTCTTGTCTTCGCTTCATTCTCCTGGTTTTGGCGCGTACCATACGATTGTTTACCTTCAATTAATTTTATGTACTGTTTTTTTTTTAATCACAATCATAGGCTACTTTCTTAAATATCAAACAAACCAGCTTTTAATTTCAGAATATTAACGATGTGTGGTTGTCAGGGTATTGGCCAATTTTCCCCATTATGACCATTGTTATGAAGAGCAAAGTTTGTTTCTCTAGTAACAGAGGAAAGATCATATAAACAGCTCTGCTTAAATTATATCTATACTGATGCATTTTCTATGATATATGCGTAAGTAATTGATTGAATGGTGAGAAAACAAAGTACAAAATCTTTTCTAGACTACTATTGCGTTGGGGTGCGATTAACCATTTCAAACCTGTCTATCCGTAACTGGTTAGAGCAAACCTCGTCTTTATGAGAAAAGAAATAACTATATTTTGCAAGGTTACAACTTAAGTTCACAATGTTGAAGATCTTTTCTACCAGCTGGTCTTTAGTCAAATCTTCAGGCATTGATCTTTCCCAGATTATTAGTACCTATTTACACCCGGGTGGATTGGAATAGAACATGTTGACCTTTGTAAATGATTTCATTTCAAATCATATGACATTGTGTGGCTCATTCGGAGCTCCAGGTCCCAAAGACGTTCTGTTTAATGGATCAAATACAGATGAAAACGTCCTACATATACATACACAATTCAGAAAATCCCTGTATAAATTGTTATCATTCAGGTTCTAGGAAATTATTTGCGATAACACTGAATAATATACTATAATTAGAGTAAGAAGATATTTGAGAGATTCCAGAACATCTTTTAATAATGAATAATCAATCTCTTCCTTCCTTATCTCCTCATGTTCAATTTAGATCAGATATCACTCTCATATCCAATTGTCTGATTAATTTTCTGAACATTATCATAGTGTAGGCAAATACATTTTGGTTCCTCAGATTCTATCTTTATGTCCTCTGGACATATGCACAGAGTGCAACAAGGAAGGATAAAAATAGCGCACTGCATTTTTTTCTGTATGACTTTGACGCTTGGATTTAGCTTTTTAATAGTATTTATTACAGGTGATATTTATAGTTCACTTTGAATCTGTTTCTAACAACTCACTGTCTTCACTTCACTATAGTTAGTTCAATATCAGTAATTAACCGTCTGGTACAGCAAACAGGTTATAGATATGATGGACAACATACACCTAAAATGTGACTTCTCTTTATCAATTTTTTTGAGAAAATTCTATTAAAATGGTTCAGCTGCTTCTAGAGTATGGATACCCGGAAACATCTGCGGATATTAGAAGCATGCTATAATGAACTGTTTCGAAGCCAGGGTGTGTTGAGTCAATAATATGGGATAATGATGTCTATATATGGTTTTCATTGACTTCCTGCCAAGTCAGCTTCAAATCATGTCTGCTTTTTGCAATGTAAGTACAAGATCGATGCATTGCGTTGCCTTTCAATTTCAATAGGATATACAAAAATAAGGTTTTAACGAACACACATAAGTCTACCACTTGACAGATTTGACGATTGGCTTCTTTTACTCAGAAGATTGTTGGGAGTTTGCACAGTAAATAAATGATGTAATCAAAAGCTGCAAAGTGGTCGTAAAATCTTAAAATTGCAGTGTTTTTGCACATATTCCACTCTTCTTTCGTTTCCACTGAGTTACTTTGTAAGCCTCTTAAAATAATAAAACCTATTAACTCAAACCATCTTTAGATATCAATTTAAGTGGCATAATACGCATTGCTTTTGATGAATGAATTTTTCAATTCAACTATGATGGAGAATCGTATTATTTTTTCTCTTCAATTTTAAAATCTACCAGCCGTTATTATTGTTTGTCTGGGCTGGTTCTGTATTGTTTTAAGTCTGTAAATTGGTCGATAATCTTATAAAGTAAAATATCCCTTCAAGTATCAGTAAATTGTTATTTCTATAAACCATCTTTTATCATGGGAAAACAATGATTCCAACATCAACCACATTCTTTTTCTCACTTTCTAGCAGTAGACAGAGTTCAAAGGTGTTTCCAGTCTCTCAACTTGTTTATACAGACAATATTGATTTGTTTTAATCAGTAACGTTTTTATCTGTCCACCGATTTGGTCATATATCTAAATAAAAAGGTGATTATTTACTGGAACCGACGTCTCTGTTCAAACTTTCAATATCAGTCCAATGTCATGTCAAAGTTAAATCAAGAACAAAGGTTCGTGCATGGTCTATCTACACGGGCTGTATCTCGACTTTGAATAATTCAACTTAAAGAAGCCATATAAATAAATGGCAGTATACTGATACAGACGAGAAAACGTAAAGTTCATCATGCAATTTATTCTGGGAAGCGAGGAAAACATAATCATACTTTATGTCAATCATCTTTTATCCATAAAAGGCTTTTTCTCCATGATTTACTTTATCATATTAGGTTGCTGGTTTATAATATTGAAATATTTTTATAACCTGATGCGAGTTAATTCACCAAATTTATTAGAAAGCTTTAGAAGAGGTTAAGCTCAACTGGTGTAATGTGTAATAAAAGATTGAGACTTAAAAGCACCATTCACATGCAGACTAATTACATTGGAATACTGTGAATAACGAAACATCTGAATAATGGCAAAATTCGTTGATGCACTTAGTATTTCAGACGAATGAATAGATCATTCATAAGCATGCAATTAGACCATTATGAAACCCTGATAATAGATCAGACATAAAAGCTGATGTATGTAGAGAGAAAATAGTTTGACATTATATTTGATCAGCTTAGATAGCAATCTCTCATTCAACCCACTAATTACTCAAGATAATTAATAAAGTATCCGATGAATTGAGAAATCTGAATTATTTCTGTAAACAGAGTCTCTGAAGTTCAATAAATTTCAATGCATGTCCCATGGTGCATCATATAGTATATAGATTATATTGATCATGTGTAATGAAACTGATCACTGCAATACTTGAATGTCAAACAAATTACCTTTCTAAACTCTAGATAAGTGACATTGAAGTTTACGCAGAAATTTAGGTCTCACTCTGGAAATTTTATGTTCTATTCATCTGATACAACAATTACTAATTACCGATTGAAATATAATTATGTTAATCTAACATTATCTAAGTTGCTGATTTGAAAAAAAAAATGGTTAACGTCACAAAATTCCTTTAGAATGTTTTTCCTAGGTGCATCCTTTTCCTTAAGTACATTTATCTGCAATTTGTTATTACTCAGTTAAAATTACCTGTTTTATCTTATAAATTATGTATAATTCCTACAAATATTGATAAATTGTTCTTGTCCTGAATTTAGGAAAGGCTCGATTTGATTAATGATTTATAGGTAAACTATGATATATTGACTAGTACGGTGTTTACCCTAGGTAGTCGGGAAACAATGGGTCCATGTCCTGAATTTATTGGCAGACTGACCATTACAACAGATTACATGATAAAATTCTTCCTCTTGAGAATGCTGGTAATTGTATTTCTTCTTATCTTCAGAGTTTCCTTCCTTTTCCAAAAAATCAAAATTAACAAACCTTTTATTAGTGAAAAAACAAAATTTGTAAAAAAAAGGGAAATAGCACAAATGTTGAACAAAATCATGAACAAACCTACAGTGAAATTCTCTGATGGCTCTGACTGATATTGCAATTTGAATAAGAAAACTGCAAATCTTACTGGATAGAAACATTTGCATGATGCCATGTACCGTTTTATGGGTTTAGGACATTTTTGTCTCAATAATCAATTTCCTTCATCTGTTTTTAAGGTAGAGCAGAGATCAGAGAATTTCAGATTGAACAAATATCATTCCTGAACATAACAGTGTATGTAAATACTAGGTATAAAAGAAGACAGAATAAAATCTATATTGATAAGGAGTATTGGTACTGAGAGCAATCGATGAAAGAAAATCATCTGATTAAATACTGGTTTTTACCCAGTTAATCAATAACAATCTTAAAATCTTGGCAAATAAACTCAAATTAAGATGTAATATATAGCTGTATAAAAGAGTAGAGGTATATTATAAGATTCTTGCCAAATTGATTATCAAGAGTGAATTGATGAAGCTAAATACCACTGAGATATTCTTTTAGATTCTACAACAGTATATCATACATACACTATCATTCTGACACTTGTTATAAGATATAAAATATTTATATTATATAACTAGATTTAAGTGGTATTAACCAGTCTGATAATATATTAATGGCCAAGTGAAATATAGAATATATATATAAAATGTAATATCACTACTTCACACTAATAAGTGTATAATAAAATTGAATATCATATAAAACTTGATCTAGTATACCAAGGTAACTGAACTAGGTAAGATCTAGATAACTGTGGTCATATGCTAAGTATTTACACTGGAGTTGTCTCTTTAACTGGGGACCTGAATAGACTTTCTACACGTCAAGTACAAATGCATAAAACATTATCTTTTTTAATGTATTCCATTACCTTCAACACAAGAGTAGTGAATTTAAATTCTTTAGTCTTTTTTTCTTCTAATTTTATTTTCTAATTGCTCTAGGAAGTATTCATTAAATCAAAAATGAGCATTAATGTAATTTATATACAGTCTCAATCAAAGCAAGTTTCTTCTATCCATATTCAGTTACCATGGGTTTCTTCTATTTACATTGAATACAGATCAATAAGTGACTCATCCAGATCTTAAGAACTAATAAAATCACAACAAAACTCAATAACAAAGAATCTCATTATCTCATTATTCATTTCATTAAAAAACTATAACAAAAAAACAACTACAACTAATTATCCAAAAACATTATCTGCATTATGTAAATTGAAGAGATTATAATTATCATTGAACAAGGACATAATATTCAGTCCATAATAACAACATAAAACTAAATAAAAAAAACCCCACTCTCTTGAGGAAAGATCAAAGAAAACTAATTAGCTGATAGGATTTAACTGTGCAAAATGACTAAAAACAATGCCAAATGAAATGGAAAGTTAATTTGTCATTGGAGACAACCAGCTGTATATAAGATACATCTTTCTCAAGGTAAAATTTCCAGCTGAGATTTCCTTAGATGTTTTGATTACATTCTAAATCATCCATGGACAACTAGCAGTACAAATAATGTCCATTGCTAAAGTTAGTCTTTTCCAAGCAGGCTGATCTTATGAAACACTTTTTCTCCTAATCATCAAAACAAACCAGTTTTATCTGCATGTCAAAATGACCAATGTTACTAGTTTCAGCTCATAAAATGGCAGATGGAATGTGATCTATTTTAAACTACTTATAATACTGATGACAATTAAAATAATTATGCTGTTAAATGGATTTCACTAATAACAGGCAATTTACATGCTAGTAAATACATTTTGATCATATAATCAATACAAATTAACTACTTGTACAAAAGAGCTATTCTAGACATGATGATGAATTGCATTACCATTAAAAAATGCACTAACTACTGATTTAGCTTTTAACATGATTAGCTCATTGAATTAATTTACAGCAATCATAATTTGGATATTTTACAAACTGTCAAGAGAACTTGCTTTGGTAGTAAGTGGAAGGGATTGAGGATCTGCACTTGGTTACCTTAGGCATCTGAGAATTTCCTTGCCTTGAAGATTACATTAATTTAGGCCAATCCTCGAGAATCACTGTTTGAAACAGTTATAGGCCGCCTCCTGCTAGAGCCCCTGAGAATGCTTTGACTCAATAAGAATCCAAGTATCTGATTGTCCAGTGCCAACTCAAAAGTTACAGAACGATAATACTTGAAATATATTCAATCATATGATACATATTACCATTAGAAAATTTTCAAAAACCTCCACAGCATAAGGTAAGCAATATTTCAGAGCCAAAATTACCCAAAAATTTGTTAGTCAACATTGTAGAAGCTGTATAACTTATTGATATTTGTAAACTAGGCTAAAAAGAAACACAAAATGTTAACTTTTTACAATTATTCACACATACTAGGTCAAAATACCTGTGAGAAATTATCTACCATAATCTTTATTTTTCATTTAAATGCATAGCTTAAAATGTTCCTGTTCAGCTTTATTTGTTGTGGGCTACCTTCACTAGAAGGTAAAATTAGGTTTCTCAATCTATTTATCAGTATCATTGAGATAACCTCAAGATCTAATGCTGAAACTTCTAACATAAGTATACAAAGGCATTTGTGACTACAGGTATATACTGATATTCTGTTTTGTTATTTTTTTTTTACAAATTACAAAATATTTGTATTCTGAAAATATAACACTACTTTATGATTGAAACAGTTCTATAAATCTATTTAATCTTAACATAAGCAGGGATGCAAAGAAATAAAATGAGCTAAATTTCAATATAAATATCTAATTTCTTACCGAAGTTAAACTAAAGTTATGCATACAATGTTGCTGCCAAATTAAATAGAATTAAATACTAAATTTACTCAGTATAAAAATCTATTTTGATATCGAAATTAAATATTTCTAATCATAAAATCATTTCTAAGAGTTCTTACATCTTAAACTAATAGATGAAACGGATTCTATTCTGATAATTCTTTAAATAAGTTTCAATCCTCAAAAGACAAAATACAAATAGAACTAATGTAATAACTCCTGTAATAGCATAATCTTATCTTTCTCTAAACAACTTTATAGCACTTTTAAATAGAAATTAAAGGGAATATCCAATATAGACTTTATTACCAAGAATACTAACAAGTAGTGGCTTAAGTTGAAGTTTATATTCAGCGTGTTTTAAACACTTATCTATATCATCATTTTACTCTGTATATAGCTCAAAGAAGTATTAGAAAAAAGAAAGGTATCATAAAACAATGTTCAAATAACTAATATTTGCTTATTGCTTTGATCTGACTCTTTAATAACCTAATGCCAAACCTAATCCCATATTTTTAGAAAAAGATGAGCATGCTGCCAAACTTACAATATATTTTATATTCAAAATCTATTTTCGGCAAACTAAGTATCTAGCTAAAAAATATGGGATCAAGTTTAGCTTTGCCTTTTATGGAAATTGATAGTTTCCAGTAAATCAATATAAATATTAGAGATCACTTCTGATTCTGATGAGGTAGCTGCCACAGAGCTTAAATTTAGACACTGTGTTACTCATTTGAAGATTTCCTTTAAAATCAAATCAATACACTTTTGTGAAATTTTGCTCACAATATTTTCTAAAAATTGCATTTTATCTATTCAGATTGTAAAATATAGTAAGGAACTTGATCAAGATCATTAAAATAAACTTCAATCCACGTCTTACCTTCTACCATACCAGTAGGACCTTTCCAAAGTCCTTCTGGTAAATATACCTGACGTTTTACATCACCTTCACATAATATTGGGGTTACCAATATCTTATCACCTACTAAAAATTCATCATCAATAGTCTGAGCTATCGAATCCTGTGGATCAATCCACCATAATGGTCTTATTAAAGGATCATTACTTTGATTCTCTTGTAATTCCCTTAAATATGGGATCACAAACTCATTTCTTAATTTGGATAAGTTGTAAAATCTTTTCTTCATCACATCATTTTCCAGGTTGGGAAGAAACACAGGAAGTCTGATTCCAGGATAGAATATTACAAGCTGTAACCATCTAGTCAGCAATTCATCAGACACATCAAATTTCGTTAGTATTTCTCCGTTAGCTATTATTAGTGAATAGCCCTCTAAACCTAATAAAAACGTATTCGATATCAGACCATTAAAGCAATGGTGTTCTTCTGATACATTCATGATAGGTTGTACTGCAACATGTATTTCATTTAACATAAATCCAGCAACATTTTCAGAAACTAAAGTTACATTTAAATCGGATAACATCTTACCAAAGAACTTGGGGTAATCCAGAACAGAAGCATTTTTATCTTGAAATGTTATCAAAGTTGGTATGTCCACATGGAGTAATTTGAATGCTCCAATATCAATTTCACTCAGTAATAACTGTAAATGATTATTGTACCACTGTGTTGCATTAGGATTAGTTATATCTAAGACAGCACCTTCATGTCCATCCCAATTTAATAATTTACTAACCAAATTCATTTCATCACGTACAAAATACTTTTCAGAAATACCAACATCAAAGTTCTTGGAACTGAATGCAAAAAAGGCACTGACTGGTACCATAAATTTGCAATCATGATTTCTCAGAGTAATCTGAAGAGATCTAAGTTTGCTTAAAAGCTCAGGCTTGATAACTAGATCTCCATACTCTTTTTCCCAATCATTGAACAACTCAAAATATGTACATTTTGCATTACTGAGAATTCTCGAGTCACTTAATAACTTGTCAATGTCTCCGCTATTTGACACATAATTAACAGGGTAAGGTGTAACACTATTAATCTCTGGAATCACAGGTATTTTTTCTAAATATTTTTCCAGAAACTCTTTGGTTCTGTAATAAGTCTGCTGCATATCTTCCCCCTGACATATTGTATAACGCAACACTGGTTGGTCTGTTATAGATTTGAAGCTCTTAGTTGCTGAAATACACAACTGTCTTTGCGCTGTCACATTCCAACTAACAGAGAAAGGAATATTATTATTGATCACAATACTAACACCTGCAGATGATAACCAGAAGGGCACAATGTTTTTCTCTAGCTTATCTGGATATTTGGGGTAATATGACACATTATGCATTTGAACATCTTTGATAGGCCAAGTTTTATAAGAATCTGAAAGATGTCCATACCAATTATCTCTTTGAATGTAGAAACAATCCTCAGCTTCAAATGTTTCAGAAAATGCTGTCCAAACAAAAGAATAACAAGAGTTGGTCTGGCCTTCATTTCTTATGAAATTAATCTTGGCCATTTTTCTCCAATCTATGCAATTGACTTCATATTTGTTTATCCTATCATTCCAACATTGTTCATAAGGTGTAGCTTTTAATCTCATTCCCAGATCTGCATATAAAACAACATCCCCCTCTTCATTGTGAATTTCTAATGTCCTAGCTTTCACCGTGAATTTGAAATTTGGTCCCATAGAAATGGATTCATTGCTATCCTTATGAAACAACCAGACCGCAAAAACCCCAACCACTATTAAACCAAACATCATGTAAACAGCAACTTTCATAATACGCCTTTTACGGCGCTTATTTTCCTGTACATGTATAGCCTGAAAAATTAATTATTTGGAAATCTGTAACTGGAATTTAACTTTTAATAAGCAATAGATCCAATAAGATCCAAAAAGAAGTAAACAAAAATAACTAAACACAATTTTCAAATACTCCAAACTTATAGAAATTAAACCAGAAATAACAAAACACTTGTGTCAAAAATTTAAATAACATTAGGCAATCTTTAATATATTTACCTCCTCATTTTCTCTTTCCCTCATGAGAGGTGCATTGGCTTCTTTGGCTTGCTGTGTCTTAGACATACTGATGTTTTATATATTCAGGATATTACAATAATTTCAAAGCTGAACTGAAAAATAAAAAAAAATTGTCTTGTGAAGTGTTGTTGCCCTTGAGGTTGCAGGGCCTACTAGAGCTGAAAAGGCAACTGTTCTAGAGAAGTGATCGTCTTTCTGCTCTATAGATATGTCATATAAACAATGTGGGAGGATTTTGAAAACTTTTGAAGGTTATATACAGACACATTTTAGCTTACAACTGCAATACTAGTTTAAGTAATAAATCATTTTACCATAATTAATATCCAGTTTCTCCCTTGATGAAACAACAACTAGGCCTATACTGATTACTACATACAGCTCATATTTACATTTTTGGAACCCAAAGTCTAAAATTGTTCATAATCTGCTTGATACTCTGTATAGCAGGCAAGTCTTAGCTTAGTATAATATACTACGCTAGTAGGCCTACATGGTTGCTGAATGAGATGTCTGTTGGCTACGGTAATCCATTATCGACTTTACATCGATAAAAAAAAATTATATGAAGTAAAATCATTACCAGTATGTAAACTCATTTCCATGTCTCTTATGATCATCATTTCCATTTTACTCTTGTACATCCACATCGTACATTTCTTGTAACTTGTGTCCTCATCGCTTGGATAATTTCTGAATACTAATTGAAGTAAATGAGTTACCTCCCTTTAAACATCTTCACGGAGTCATCGATTTTCCACTTGGTTCGCGCGTTATTATATACGGCTATGTTTGCGCGCGAAATAATGGTGCATTCGACACTTGTATTCACAGCATATTATAACTCTATGATTCACATTGAGACCACATTACTTAACCAATTAATCTTCCTTGTATTGGATCTGACAACTGAGAGAGGAAAATCCTCATGATGGACCCACTAATTTGCATAGGATTAGTTGAGTAAAACCTGAGTAAGTAAAGATGGATAGTAGGCCTACCTTTTGACGTGTAGGCCATACAGAACCCCTAATGCTTTAATTTCAAGGAATTTATTATTGATTCCAATTATCATGAAATATAATACAAGGGTCGGATACTACCCTGAACCAAAAGCTGATAAGACGAAAAACGACACCGTACTCCATTCTGTAAATATAAAGGCTATATAGGCCAGCTTGCAATAACTGACCCCGCATAGTTGTAAGTTTTTTTCGCGCCTAAAGTAAACGTTGACAATTGACGTAAGCTTATCGCAGATATGCCTTCAAGGGAAACAACCCCCATAACCAAAAACTTATCAAATGAAGGAGAAAGTCTGCATCATAGACTAATATACAAATCACCTGTATCATTATATACAGGTAAACAACTAAGAACCTTTCTCTACCGCTGTCTAAGCTGTGCTATTAATTAATACTTATTGTTGGTTGGAGTAATAGTAGCCTACAGTTGTATTGACGGGTGCTTTCCTACGGTTTCGAATGCAACATCGATGGAAAGTCGCCTGAAAGATTTACTATTCAGAAGTTATTAATTATTAATTCCTTGTAAATAGTGATGATTCTGGTGCTTTAAATCAAATACTAACAAATTTATGTTTCCTTAATTGCTCCCCGTGTTATCACATCCGTGTGTTCCAGTGTTTCGAGATAAACGAAAAGTTTCGAATGACAATGGTTGCCCCTAGTGACGTAAGGCATGTCGTGTTTATCTGTCTGTCACAGTGTTTGTTCATGACAAAATTGAGAAGAGGTTAAAATTGTTTTCGTCGGAATTCGGTCATAATAGTTCAGTTGGAACAAACTTGGTATGTATTTACTAAGACATAGATATCAAAGATTACAGCAGGGTATAATTTTGTTATATATCAAATGTTGCAAATATCGTTGGTACTTTGAGATGGCACCATCTTTAAAATTTCAACTATCCTCAATGCTCAGTCTGTACTGTTGACTGTTGTAGTACAATGTTGCCTAATCATTAGGCAACATTGTACTACAACAGTACTGTTACTGTCTCCACATTAGGCTAATTTGGATACAGTAACAGACTACTCACTTTTACATTTCACAACTCAGTTGAAAAAGTCTGGTGATCCAATTCTTTGCAATTGTACAGTTCAGAAGCTGTCTGTCTGTCACTTTTATTGTTTTTGTGAATAACATCAGATCTGCATTAAGGTGCGAATAGACCAGCGCCTGGACCCGTACCTCGTTTGTTCACTTCTTCTATTTTTGTTTGTATCGATCATTCTGCACCGTACACCGCACTATCTATAATTTCGCACCAGACATCATACCTTGTCTATTTGCATTTTTACACTTTGAGTTATTGAGTAGCCTATGACTATGAGGGGAGGATATGGATAACATTTTGAGGATATTATTTACTTTTACTGTTACTCAATTACTGTGGCAGAAACAAATTTTTTCTAAAATATTCTGTTTACCTCTCCTACGACAAAAACTGTGTGGAATGACCTTGAATGCCCACAAACATAACATCGAATAAATCACAGTTGGAAATCTTGTCAATCGTCCAGGCGTAAGGAATAATATCTCAATAAATAAGTTCTGCCTTGCTCATTGTCTATCAATAGATGATATTGATTTTCATTGTAGAATATGACTGCCTGATGTTTGCAGATACAAATTTATTTTGTTTATGAAAATTGGAAAAATTTGACTGTTTGTCAAATTTAGCTGTCCTGTATTCGCTGTAAATTCAAATGGCCCTGAATGGCTAGACGGATCAAAGTCAGTCACTTAGACTTGGTTTACAAACTGACGGTGTCTAAATCTGAAATAAAAAAAACAACATAAATAATAATAAGTGATTATGATGTAATTGATTTTCACGATTATTATTACAGTAGTGTTTTAAAGGTAAAAAATACTTCTATATAAAAAAACAGAAAGTTAATAGGTAATGACAGATGGAGGAGTGTATCAGCTACTAATTTGAACAAATTCATAACTCTTTTATGAAATCACTTGGCAATATCCACTTTTAACTCTAAAACTCTAATTAATTTGAAATCTGATCCCGACAATTGAAAATAGAAAATTCAATCTTTACACACTTATTGCTCCTTTCCAATTTCAAGATTTTAGTTAATATTTTCATTGGCTAGGAATAAATTGTTTCCAATGTATACGTTTTGTATTGAATCATGCTAAAAGTGAATCAAATAAAGCAATGTTTATTATTGTTTTTCTTCAATATTAATATTATGCTATGCTAGCTGGTAACTGGTTACAAATAAATTAAGTTCATAGCTATAAATGATAGTTAAATAGCAGTTTATCCACTATTTTATCAGTTTTTATATCAGAAAATTAACAGTTTACAAAATTACATAATTATTGATTATATTGACTTGTTCAGCCTTTATATTGTTTTGTCTTTGTGAGGATACATCAATATAGGACTGAATTACCTGGGTAACTAGTAAGTAAGTAATTTATATATTGTAAATTGTGACTTAAAAGGTAACTTCTTCATTAAAATTTATAATTTTTGTCAAATTTTTGTAAGGTTATTTAGAGGTTTTATTTGAGCGATAGAAAGAGATGTTCATTTAATAAAATATTGATTTAACCTCATCTGTTTTTTGAGCAAAAGAAATAGGTGCTGATATTATGGTAATGTGATGTGCTTGTTTAGTTTCCTTAATCTACACACGTGTAGCTTGATTTTGAAATGTTTTCAAAGAAGTGAAAATCTATTCAAAATATCTCAAAGTGTAGTTTATATTCAAGTTATTAAAGAGACATAATTTGTAGGATGTCAAACTGTAACCCAATGAGGGAAATAAACAAATGTTCTCAATCTATTGTTTATGTCTGTGTCTAGATATCACATGAAAGGTAACATTAGTTAATATGTCGTCTACAAGGAAGTTCTGGATATTAATTGAATTTATTTAGGAATTTGAAATGTGAATGTTGTCCTTGTGCAAGATAAAGGTAGGTCTAGTGATTAAATCAAAAACTTTATATACCTAGATGAAAAAGAGTAATTTTAAGATTCAGAATTTTGGGTCAGTGTCTTAATTATGGTTTATGTTATTAAACCCCCTTATAGCACTTTAAATAGTTTTACTATTACACAGAATGTTGTCTGGGAAGCAGATAATATGAATATGTAGAAAGTATGAATTTACCCATATGGTCGTTAGAATTACAATTTTATGATGTGTTTTAAGCAACATATTGCAATAAAAAAAAAGTTTGAAAATTGTTTTTACAAAGAGTAAGGATGAAAATAAATTTGCAGAAATGTTTGAACACTAAAGTGAATGGTTTATTTAAAACCAATTTAAACTCAAATGTTGTTTATTTGTTACTATATCTAGGAACTTCTATTGATCTAGAATAATTAGACCTTGTTATCTTTGAGACGTAATTGATTTTTACTCTGTTGATTATCAAAGTTCATTCAATCTTGCCATTTAAATGAAACTTGTCAACTAAGTCTGGGTTAAAATGGTTTTATTTAGAAAAGATTGTCAAAAGTTGAAACATTGATAAATTATATTAAAGAGAAATGATATGATCCTGTGCTGGTATGGTTTTGTTTTCTTATCTGATCAAATTTTAACCAAATGGACAAAAGACATATAGAAATCTCAATAGGGAAGGTTTATCTTTCTTTCCTTCATAATTGAAAGATTTGTAAGAATATAGTATTGTATCCAAAGTCATAACTTCCAGACCATGGTAAACTAAAGAGTCTTATTCCAATCCAAATCAATATAGGCCTTAGAAAATTTAAAGCAGTCAAATCAAAGCCAATGATGTTTATTTTTGTACAAAATTTGAAGGAAAAGCTAGAACAGGGAACAATTCTCAAATATATATAGACACAGCTTTATGGAACAACAATCACTGCTTAAAGTTTTATGCAACGTTTCGACGTGTTTCCCCCGTCGTCCTCAGGCATATAATGGGAAGAAGTGATGGGCAAACTATATATACCTTAATGCTTATTATAAAGAACAAATTATTACATGTTTGGGTTAGTTTCCCCTCACTCTTTTCAAGCTTGTTTATGAGTATCTGAATATATCTGAAAATTGCCTCATGTATTTTATTTTGACTCTAACAAATTCTATAGGCCTCTTCTCTGATTGGTCAGCTATAAATATATAATCTCAATGCCACAACTTTCACAGTAAATGCTCATGACTCAGTTAATGCAGGTTAATGTTATGAAATATGTCAAACTCTATAGTTGATAAGATGACGTAATATGAAATTGATAGTAAATATATGTGTCTATTCATTGACTGAGATGTTACTGTCCTACATCATACTACATATATATAATATGCTATACTTGGGGGTTTTGTTTGTTTGGTTTTTTTCTTATATGAAGGTTTAATCTAAAAATTACTGCTTCTTTTCTTATCAAAATAAAAATGTCCTTTGAAATTGAATAATAAGCTACTTTAATGTTTTACACATTAAAGCCATCAACCAGATGAAATTATTGGGGCAGTTAAAATAAAAGCCCTTGGCAACTAGATGAGATAAATAGATAGATATGTTATATTTAGCTTGTGTAAAAACTCCTATAATTGTGTTGATGCCTCCTATTGTTTTGTCATAATAAGTTTATCCTTGTTTTAGTGAGTATTGTTACAACTTTTTCTAATAGTAATAATTGCCACCTCTGGGAATTCATAGAAACATCCTGTTTACACATATAATATACTAGATTTACCAATTTTGATTAGTTTTAATTTACTGAATCTTCAATGTCTTGTTGTTGTAAACTTGCTTTATAGTATTCATTGCCAACTTGCTAGTTTTCTGTCAGACTTTCGTGGTTCCTGCAATTCCACTAAAACTAAGCGTTTTATGATGTCACTATTTTGCTTTAATTCATCAAAATTTTATTTGGGAGCGAATGTGTGAAGAAAGTAATTATAAATCGAATATCTAGAAAATCATTTATAAGCTTATGTACTAAACATTTTGATGCTTTTATTTTTCAGAATGTAAAATTATCAACGATGTCTTTGAAAAGGAACCAAACCTAATTTCTTCACTACAACCTTTTAACACAGATTACAGATTATAAGATGAAAGATACGCCTGAAAATGAAAAGAAAATTGAGGAAGATGAAAATAAGATAAACAATAAAGTCAGTGTTGATTCATCAGCAACTGTCACAAATGGCAGCACAGCAGGAAGCACATGCAGCGATGCAGAAGTCAAGTTAACTCCCCTAGAAAGGTTAACTCATGACCTCAATAATGATCCTAAATGTACCAAAGAAATAACGTTAGGAAAACGAATTGGATTCTATCGAATAAGAGGAGAATTGGGGAGTGGAAATTTTTCTCAAGTCAAGATGGGTATTCATGCTTTAACAAGGGGTAAGTAACTCTGAAATATTTTCATTGTGTTAAGACAAAATTTCAAGAAGAAATTGCAAGTATGGTAACCTGAAAAATGTTATGCATTTCTAATCAAACTGGTTTGAAGCAAAAGGAAACTGTGAATCAATTATTTACTGGTTATAACTATGAAACAGATGTGCCTGAGGTTTCTTTTTTTTCTTTTTTTTCTTTTTTTTTTCTCTTCTCTTTTTAACTTCCTGTTTTAATTGATTATCATGCTTTCTAATAATAAATACTATTTTTTTTAATGAAACTTGAAAGTATCAAATAGATTGAAGTAAAAATAGAAACCACAATAAAAAAGTATAAATATAATAATATTATTAAATAATCACAGCCCATCATCTATTTTATTCTTTTGACATGCTTCAAGCTCTTTTATTATTTTATAGCATGCAACCTCATGACTAGTAAATATGGCCATCATAGAGATCTTTGTGGCATAAGCTTATATGGTATCATAACTTTTTTTTCAAGCATGATAAAGATTTCCATGACAACCATTACTACTGTAAAGCAATATTATTATATATCCTATGAAAAAGCAATTTCTGTATATTCTAATTTTGTTGATTGTATATAATACATTTTTAGATAATTTTTCTTGTCAGTAGGCAAGGATTTCTGATAAATCTATTTCTATATTCAATGTAGAATAATTATACCATAGGAATACTTATGTCTAGATATTGTACAATTATCTAAGATGAAACTATTGAAAATATATTGATTATACACAAAACACTTGAGGACAGAATTGAAATGATGCCATATTGAAAATACCGGTATTATTTATATCAGTAAGGATTCTGTGAAGAGCAAACACAATGAATTTTGTTTGATTAAAATCTAACACAATTCCTGTTGTATTTTTCAGAAAAAGTTGCAATAAAGATATTGGATAAAACCAAATTAGATCAGAAAACACAGAGACTCTTATCTCGTGAAATAGCTAATATGGATAAACTTCACCATCCCAATATTATAAGACTTTATGAAGTAGTAGAAACTCTAGCCAAGTTACACATGGTCATGGAGTATGCATGTGGTGGTGAGGTTTTCACAAAAATTTCAAATGAAGGCAAATTAAGTGAAGCTGAATCCAAATTACTGTTTTCTCAAGTCATCGCTGCAGTAGAACATATGGTTTGTATAAATTTATTAACAGATATTCCCCCTTTAGGACATATTGTCTTCACCTTGTACCTCTGTGTAAGCTTTATTTTATTCCAATTTTCCTAAACATAAACAGTTTTTTATAAATCATAATAATAATTCTTTAATCTACTCTGTCAAATTCAGCTTTTAAAGATTTTCTTTACCAATATTAAGCTTAAAAGCATTTCCATTATTAAAGTCTACCTGTATAATGATTAGTACTTGGTGAATAGACTAGAGAAAAATGTCAAGGAGAGAAGAGAGTAATGTGTTTTTTTTACCATGATTTATGATAAACAAGTATACTGGATTAATTGGAATCATTAGGTATATTTTATCATATAATGTAATGGTATCTGCTCCAGGGAATAAACCTAGTTGGCAGATCATTCTCTAGAAGGGGATTCTGAATTATTTACTTTACATTATAGAAATTCTAGTCATGAGACATTATAGTATTAATTCTTGAAAAAGCCAATTTTATTTAGATTTTTTATTTTTTTTTATTTAAGAAATTCAAAAAACATATTTTAAAACAATTACAACTTTCTTCTAACCTATAACACTCAATAAAATGCATTTCATAGTTGCAACGTTGCATTAAGCTTGTAGTTCACCCCATTAAAATTGTATTTAAGTACTTAAATTTTGCAGTTAGCTAATAGACTGTTTCTGAGCAGTGCAGACTTCTGATATAATTAATATTGGGTATAATTGGTTCATTGAACATTATGATATCTATTATGAATACCTACTTCATATCAAATTACAACCTTACAAATATAAAATCACTAGGGCTTGAAATAACTACATATACCACCCATCAAATACATTATATACCTAAATTATAGTCATGATAAATGAACATTGTCATAGAATAGAAATAAGGCTAATATTATAGCCCAAAGGACTGGTTAATGGCTAAGTAATATCAAGTATATCAACTAGTCCAGTGGACATATTAACCTTTATGAACTATTAAAGTCCCCCTCAGCAGTCTCAATCTTAAAAGGAAAGAGTGGTCTAAATATTTAAAAATAAAAAATCACACATCAACTGTATTTCCAAAAACCTTCCAAAATGGCAGCAGTAATGACAAAATTCTAAATTCTTATTCTGTTAATAACATTCTTGCAGTCATCAAAAAATTCTCTCACAAAGCACATGTTTGAAGCAATCCAGCAGTTTTACAATCTGTAATAACTGCATGTAGGAATCAAAAAGACCACCTTGTCGCTGTGGCAGACATCAAGTTTTCAGATTCAGAAAGCTTAAACTGAGCTCGGAAAGTAAAATTTAAATGCTTAGTAAGATACTTATAAGATTTTGATAACAATTTATTTACTGTATGTATGGTATTGCCTGTTAACATTGTTGAAAAAATCATATTTTTTATTGGGATTGGATTATTACTGTTAGTCTGAGTTTGAAATTATTTGTATCAACCACTAAACAGTTTTGATTTTCTTTTTATTTTCAGCATGAACAAAATATCATTCACCGAGATTTAAAAGCAGAAAATCTGTTTTATGCCTCGCCAGTATTAGTCAAAGTTGGTGATTTTGGATTCAGTACAATCAGTAGACCTGATCAAACTCTCAGCACATTTTGTGGTTCACCACCCTATGCTGCACCTGAACTATTTAAAGATGAGAGTTATTTTGGTAGTTATGTTGATATCTGGGCCTTGGGTATTATGCTTTATTTCATGGTGACAGGAATTATGCCGTTCCGTGCTGAAACTGTGGCAAAACTGAAAAAGTGCATTTTAGATGGTAGCTATACAATTCCGTCCTATATCTCTGATAGTTGCCAATTTTTAATACGAAGCATGTTGAAGCACATTCCACATGATCGTTTCACAATAACAGAAATCAAACGAAGTGAGTGGTTACGTGATCAAAACTTTCCGCAAGCTTTTGAACCATATAATCTAAATCCAACACCTCAAAACCAATCAAAAGAACTGAGTAAGGAAGAGAGTGAGGCAAGACAGGTATTAAAAGATTTAGGTATAACTGAACAACACCTGTTAAACAGCAATAGTCAGGAATCAAGAAGTAGTATCACAGGTAGTTATAGAATTGTCTTACATCGGATTCAGAAGAAACATTCTGGGGTTGTTGAAGGAATGATGGAACAACCGAGAGATCTACATATTTATGATAACAAGAAGAATTCAAAAAAATTAGCCCAACATTCCAAACTTTGTACAATTTTATAATTGATTATTCAAATACCTGCATTCCGTCATATTATACATTCAAGCTGGTTCTGCTTCTGGTATGGTCCAATCAAGGGTAAAATTCTAAGAGTCTTTTATCAAATGACATATCAGTAAAAATCATTTTTTAAGTAAATTAAAGATGAAGCAATCTAGAAAAAATGGAAGTGACCAATTTCTTGACACCTTTTTAAACAATTTGTTAGTTTTTTTTTTGTTTTTTTTTTAATATTTTGAAAACTTCATATGATCTGATCATTAGTAAAATTTCAGGTGTGTTTTATTTAATGACATACCAATAGGATCAACTTCTAAAGCATATTAAAGATGAAGCAATTTGGAGAACTTCTTTAAACCTTTAAACATTTCTATATTTTATTTTGAATATTTTGAAAACTTTGGAACCAGTAAGTCAGTGCTATTTTTGATAAATTCCTTTATAGATTTATTCATTGCCTTGCTATTGGATGCCATAAACCTAAATTATGAGATTGTTAAGAAATATATTTTGTGTTAAGACATTGTTGTTGAGATTTTATTGTTATTTATTTATTATATATATATATATATATGTATATTTCATTGTTATGTACAGTATTCATCCAGCAATCAAATACCAGTAATGGTAGTATGGATGTCAAATAATTTATCTTTTTCAAATATTGAAACTCAGTTAGCTTAGAAATGACATTGATGGAAATAATCATAAAACATAAATAATTCGTAAAGGAAACATTCCAGGTGAGTTTTCCATACAAATATTTTTTTTTGTGTTCTAAATCATAATGTAAGTAGTTTAATATTTAAAATGAAGTAAAATATGCAGTGGCAGCAAAATTTTTCATCTGAATTCATTTCGTGGCTAAAGAAGCATACTGCAGTAAATTGTAACATGAAGCTATAATATTGAACTGATTTTGATAATATCTTTAATTTTATCCCAAATTTTCTTTGAGGTCTTAGCAACATGTTTTTAATGTCCTGTTTCTTTTTTTGAAATAAATCCATCTGGAAATGTATCATTAAATATAAAATGTTGTCACAGCACAGAAACTATCTGACGGTATGATTTAGTGTTTACTTGACCCTTGTAATTAGTCTATAAGAACAAGTGACATTGCTGTAAGCTATTGTTTAACTCTTCTCTTTATTTGTAAATAGGTCATTTGCTGTAAGCAATAGAATTACAATGACATTCAATATTTTTAGATGTGATCAAAGTTAGACAACTCCATTTTGAGAATTAGTTCAGACCAAATATAATTTCTCTAAGGAAGAGATTTCATGATTTTATATAGTATTACTTGGAAAATTTCTTTGTCATATGATAAAATGCTGAAAGGTTGTATTTCAGCATCACAGAGGGCTTTTTCTATATGCACATATTTTTGAAATGTTTTAAATAGTTTCTCTACCCTTGCACCATGCTTAGCTTAAAGATTTGTGATTTCAAATTTAAATATATTGAACATAAAAATACATAGGCCTAGCCTACATTTCAGCCAGAAAAGAACTATTTTGAACTAAATTCATTGTGGGTTATTGCAGACCAAGAATAGAAGTATTCTGATCTTATGGTCTGTTGATTTACTTACATATAAAATAAATACTGCTGTAAAAATATATTGTATTTTTACACTCTGTTTTCAAAATAATTTGTTGTTTATATATTGTGTCAATCTTAATAATCAAATGTTAAAGATATTGTTTGGGTTCAGAAATATGCTGGTCATATTTCTACCAGAAGTCCACTGGGTTTAGATCAATACCATGTTTTTGAGAAGGTGTAGTTTAGAAAATTTACTTTTTGTTCAAGAGAGTTCCATTATCCGTATATAAGGGCCAATATCATTGTGATATTTTTTATTTCAAACCAAACATACAATTTAAGAAATGGGATTATTTGTTTTACTACTTATACAACACATTTTGATATCACTTTTCTTTTTAATTATTTACTTAATATTTTGATGTGAAATAGCTGAACTCTTCAGTTTTGAAGTAAATTTAGAAATTTAATAGAGTTATCTCCCATTTTATATAAGATCAAGACCAAACTCAACAGCCTATTTTATGTTTGCTCACTACAGTGCCTCCTGGCTTGACAAATTTTATTAACCTACAATAAAATTGTTTTTTTGAACATTTTGGTGTAGTTATTCTTACGACAAGAAAAAAATTAAAGTTAGAATACCACAAATCGGAGCCCAGCTATTTCTCACTACCAACAATGGATAATTTGTTATATAGCCTACACAATAGGGATCACCACAATATGTAGATAAAGAAACTACCATATGAGATGAAAATGATACATTATCAGCGGATATTATATCAGATTGGCCAAAGGGGATACCGAATTCACAGTAATAATGCAGTGAAGTTCAAACTCCTTTGACTGCAGGCCTAATAGATTGAAAGCATATGATTGCTGTGATCATCTTTCTATATAACCCAAAATAATCACTTGATATCACTTGAAAGGTGTACATGCATTTCTATAGAAGTTTTTGTCCATATATAGCGAATTTAGAAAGCATCCTGACAAAACAAAGCTCTCATTGGACCAAGCAGAATATGTGCCTACTTGGATATAATATTTCTTGTGTGCTGTAGAATGTGAAGCAGGCCCAAATGTTTATCAGGATGTCAATAAACATTGAAAATTATATGGATCAGTCTGATATAAATGAAATTTTGAATTGCATGAAAATTATTTTGCTGCCATATATTGAACAATTCTTCAAAAATTTGAACGAAACTGGTTTAAGAAGAATATCATAGTTTCCTTTTATCCATCATAACTATATTTATTAGGCTTTTATTTCAGTTACTATTTTTAAGTAGATCTTGATGTTAATTATTTCTAAACCTTTTAATGTAACATTCCAATGTCGAACTGGTATTTTCATTGATGTATCAAATTTGCTGTGTTGTTTTTCTTCTCAAACCTATATCCAGATAATCTGGGCGAACCTGAAAATTGAACTTCTGAAATTAAGTAAAAGTCAAATCAAATTTGTTATATAATATGTGAGAAAACGTTTTGAGACTTCTAGACCAGAGAATTTATAATGATAACAATAATTATGCCAGATTATTCGTAAGAATTGGGTGAATCTTAAAAATCCACATAAACCAGTCTTAGACCTTTCCGATAAATTTGAGATTTTTTGATTTTGTATTTACCACTAAAAGGCTTTGTGTCGGGCATCACAAAGAAAAATGTTGCCCAGACATAAATGTAATAAGATCTAGGCGATATATTTTGAAGCTTTCTAGAAATCCATCCCCGTTTTTATAGCGTTCTTAAATCCTCATTTCATTTTTCAAATCTTGGAATCAGAGCTACATATTTTCTTAACTGAATGTATTTAATGATATTCATTAAAAACGTCAATCGTTAAAGTTATGAAACGATACATGTATACTGCAACTGTCGAGGATTATGTTATGACAAAGATCAGAAAGCTACAAATCTCCATTGTAATGTTATTTTAAAACAGTCATATGTTATAATTATGGATTTTCAGTGAGAAAAGAGCAAAATGTTCAAGATGTTTTCTGGATCGTGATCTGCTGCTCTATGAATATATTGTTTAGTATGCAATAAAGATTTCATCTAGAGTTAACCACCTTGACAGCACTGTAGCACCATACTCAACTAATCGAATCATTAATTCTAGAAACTATATAAATTTGTAAATAATAAACGATATATAAATATGATGGTGATGGTATATGTAGACCTTTTAATACAAAGAAATGATTTATGACAGCTATTATAAGAAGACAAAGTATATCCCCAGATTCTAAATCTGTTTTCTTACTCTCTTTCTATCAATCTAACATATTAAATTACAGCAATTGTAGAAAACAAGTATTTGATATATATTGGTAAGCTTATCGTTATTTACAAACTATCTTTAATGATAATTTCTATCAGGTGTTGTCATGTCAAATTTCGTTTTTCGACTTTTTCTCAAATTCTTGACATCAAACATAATGTTATTTAAAGGAATTATTTCTCATGCTTCCAATCTTTGAGAGGGAATTGGCTGCCAATATCATGAACATTGTGTCAATTTTATATCTAAATCTGGGTCAGAAGTTTCAGACTTTCAACATACACATCTATAAGCATCTGTTAGCATTCAAAAGAGCCTTGATGGTAACGATCAAGATCGATATGGTAAATAGTGTCAAAACAGAAAAAATGATGCTGTATTCCCGAATTTATGAATGGTGTGATACAATGACAAAGTTCATTTTGTCATTGATCGAAATATGGCCATCTTTAATAAAAGGGGAAGGTTCTCTTTAAATGTATCATAAAGAAGGCATAAAGCAAGGCGAATATCTTTTGTGTTATGTTTTATATACACGTATAGATAACATCTCTATTTTGCTTAATAATTATTATTCTTGTCTTCTAACACATATGTGAGATGCTTGTACCGTAAACTTACGAGTTTTTATGAAACTTTTATTTGTTTTCTTCCTCTTTATCAGTAATTTGAATCAAAATATTATTCTGATATTCATAATATAAAAATACAAAGAAATTTTTTACTATGATTTTCACAGATGGTATTGTAGGCTTGTCATTCAATCGAGAATCTAATTGTTTTATCAAATGTTTATTTTCTGAATATCTTCATATAACGATAGATATCAGAGCTATAGAAGCACATTCAGGCTATATAAGAATAAGTTGGTGAGCTCATCTCTCTATATTCATTGTATTATAAAGCTGGATATAGAGATATAAAAAGATGCCAATATGTAGGTGTGGACCAAAAAGGGCACAGTCTTCAAAAGGCATACAACAACTCGGAAGTTTAGAATATTTTATTCTTTTTTTTTTTAACTTAATAATGGCATTTCTTGTTAGCTACTTTATGGGTAGATTCAAACCAATTAATTGTTTACAACAACTTGGGTTGGTGTGAACGTAGGTAAAGTGGTGCAAATATTTGGCCTATATTCGCTGTTTAATC